TTAAAAAAGCATGGGAAAATTGCAGCTTTTAGAACCAGCAATAAATTGGAAAACATAGTTAATCCAAAGGAAAAACAAAGCATTAATAACAAATCTGGAATTTATCAAGTAACATGCAATGATTGCAGCAAAATGTATATAGGTCAAACTGGGCGATCTTTTGAAAAAAGATTTAAGGAACATATCCCCCGAACCAGGGAGACACAAATATCCAGTTTTGCCGAGCATCTTGTTAATGAAAATCACAGTTATTCAAATGTCAGTACAAATCTAACAGCTTTACATATCTGTAGGAAAGGACGAACTATGACAACTTTGGAAAATTATGAAATATATAAAGCAACAAAAATTCGCCCTAATGATTTATTAAATGATAAAAGCTTGTTCCAGTCTAATATATTATTTGAAACATTAATAGGATTAGACAGAGACAGAAAGGAATGATAAAGGAAGCCGGGGGTACAAAGTACAACTACTAGGACAAGATAACCTCCAGTTGAGACTCGACATTGAAAATGCATGCATTGCTTCACTTTTGTCTCTCGTTTTTAATTAGTAGGCCTACTGTAAATAGTTTTTCGTGTTTAAATGTTTTGTAACTGTGTTTTAAAAACTGTGACGTGATATCATGAGTCAAAAAACTTCAAGTTTGTATATGGATCTGATGATGGTATAACAAATACCGAAACGCGTAATCCTGTTGGATATTTAAGGACCACTAAAGGCAGTCTGCAGGTATTGTAACCTTCTTATTTTGATTTGCATGAAGTGGCCTAGAAAAACAACTAGAACATGAAACAGCACTACAAACAAATAATCACACCAGATTTTAATCTATATAAATAAAATTACAGTTTTGTCTGTACATTGATTATAATCATGCAGTTTTTGGTTATTTTTACGTTTCATGGCCTAAGAAAGCCGAAACGAGTCTTATCTCAATTTCTGTCTGTATGTCTGTCTGTTTGTCCATTCTGTGACTTCGTCTGTAACGCCAAAATGTCATTTTACGCGGCTTACTCCTAGAAAACTAGAGTACCGATCAAGGTTCTAATCATTTTTCTGTATTTACTGAATTGGTAAGAGTGTCTTTGGCTATAAAAACATGGCCTCGCTTCTTTGAAAACAAAATAACAAACCACCAAAAACCCATTTTTGCTAGATTTTTGTCAAATTTTCTCCCAATGTTTACTATTACATTTTATGAAATAACGATCAGCAGTTTGGATTAATTCTCACTTCTAGCTGTCACTGATATGTTTACATTCAAAGTTGTTTACAAATACCGCAACCATTTCCGATCAAGTTTTGTCAGCACATCCAAACCAAGTGAGATTTAAAACGTTGTGCCTTACTTAACCGGTTTAATTAATCGCAAGTGCAACGATTGTTCTTGAGTTTTGATAACCGGGGAAAATACCATGAATCAGTGTTGTATTAGTGCAAGGAAACTTACATTTTTTTTTAATCATCGTCACCAGTACCGTAGCTTACAAAGGTTTCCACTCATTGACGGCGCTTCAAGGACAGTTGTGTTACAGTAGTGTTAAGTGCAAAGTAAAAAATCACAACTGCAGTGGGTGATCGTGGATGTTGCTGCGATCTTGGAAGATTGATTTCGCTGTGATCGTACCGTAACAGAGGTTTAACTTAACAGATGTAGCTAAACTCGCTTATCCAATGTGTCAATTTTGGTTTCTACCTTCTTACATTTCGACAACGATATCGGTACTTTTCCTACTTAGGAAATAAAACTAAAAACGTACAAAGCCCCAGATTTGTGCGTTTTTAGTCACATTTCCTCCGAATGTTTGCTAGATATATGTACCGATTATCGTTTAGAGATTACGTACCGGTAATCTTTTAAATAAGAAACCTTTGTTTGGTTAAAGGTAGTTTCTTCAAACTGTCATTAATATGTTAACATCTTTTCTCAAATTTAAACGTTGGTTTTTGATACTGCTACTTTTCTTTAGAACCGGTGGAAGCAGTAAGAATCATTTTTACATACACACACATCACTATTTTCACTATTCATCTTAAACACTGCACCTTATTGCTTATTAAATTTAATTGATGTCTTACTGTATAATTTTTAGCGTTTTCTGTCTGGACTCCAAAATGTTGTGTGTACTCAATTCTGTATTTGTGTGTGTATGTCTATTGGTAATGCAATAATGTCCTTATTTTTCGTGGAAATGACAAGAGCACCATTGTTAATACAAATTTCAACCCGAATAAAGTGTGCAGTAGTGAGGTTGAGGTAGTTTTTTAACTACTTTTAACCAGTGTGAAAGTAACTTTCAATTACAGGCCTACCTTAGGGCTATACCTCATAAATCTATACTGTAAAGCAATTCCTTTCATCGTTAGCTATAAAATATGGACTAACACGATCGGGTGACATTTAATTGCGAAGAATTCGTTTTGGCTTTGAAACTGTCAGATATTGTATTAGAGAAGGTTTATATGTATTCCTAAACAATTATAGTGTTGCCATCATATCTGGAAAAATGCACACTAAATATGCAAACCAACTCCTGTTCTAAATATAAGGTTTTAACTTACTACAAGATTCCCGTACGTAGAACGGGCAAACAGCTAGTAAGGTAATAAATAATTGAAAGAATAACATACAAATAAGAACAGCTGAGGTATTTTTAACATTAAGTATATGGAAAGTTCCCTTTGGAAAGCAACTAAGACCTTAAAGGGCAATTTATGAAAAAATGGATAATTTTGCGCAAGGTTTCTCGTCATGACGTACATTTTAAGTATATGGTTTATGGGGGTGTGACTTGTAGTTTTCTCAAAAGTTCATGGGTACTTTTGCCTTTATATATAGATGTTATTTAAATTGGGAATAAATATGTCTTAGTTATGTAAATGTTTTAGCAAAAATGTAATCAGACAAGTTGAAATTTGCTTAGTCTGCAGGTTTGCTACGGCTGGGGTATTTAAATACTCCAATCACTGATGTCAGAACCATTTAACACTATCTTTACCTTTAGATAACCTGGACGATTAGAATCAAACAACATGACAGAATAGCATACAAATTGTCACCGACAAATGCCGTAGGCAACTGAGTAGAAATGGCGCTCACGTCCATAGCAGAAAATTTATCCACTTAAGGTGCATTGTCCCTGAAGCGACTCTTGCAATAGTAGCTGAGCGATAGTAGCTGAGCGATAGTAGCTCAGCGATAGTAGCTGAGCACTGGATAGCATTGTTTCAAATGGGACCATTGTCCTTGACACGACTGCGACTGGAGTGGCTAGTGGCTGAACACGGCGACTATAGCAGGTCTGCTCTGAGGGGAGTCAGAGTCGCAGTCGCTGAGCGATTTGTGTTGTGTTTAGACTTGTTTTGGTCGTAATATCTTCAAAGAATACAAAACTGCTTTCTATCCCTGAAGAAGATGAAAAGCTGTTAGTACAGAATAAGTATTAAATAAATACTTGAAGATTTAAAACGTGGGGCGCATGCTAATTTACAATTATCTTCCCCTATTGAACTATTATTATCTATTGCATACGCCCCACGTTTTTCATTTTAAATCTTACAAGTATTTATTCTCTCCACATATTTATAAATTATTTTTACTTTTTAGTGTGTGGTATTTTTAAAAATTATTTGTATTTATAATTATTTTCTACTAATTGTAGAAATAATTTTAGTATTTACAGCTGACTTCAATTGATATATTTAGGCCTACATTCTTCCAAAATGTAAACATGAAAAATTTGGAAGCCCATGGGAAATATGAAAATTAAATTATATAATATTGCATTTTCATCCATTTGTGAGCTATATTTCAAGTTTCAAATCTCTAGCTCGTCGGGAAGTTAGTTATTGATTGCAAAGTTTGTACCGGACAAGAAAATGAGCTAATAAAAAGTTTTAAAATTAGCTGGTGTCATGGCACTCATGGCACCAATTCACTCGAAAAGTCAGCAAAAATGAACAAAATCGCTCTAGAACAATCGCTTCAGGGACAATGACATGGTTAGGTACTATCGCTGAGCTACTGTCGCTCAGCTACTATCGCAAGAGTCGCGTCAGGGACAATGGCCCTTTAGGAAACATTTGAGAAGCGGTTGCTTGCTAGATTTAAAATTGGAGCATGATTTAATTTAGATGTGCTATTTCTTTCAAACTTTCGGTGTAGCCTATGTAAAAATTATTGGCATTTGCTCGAGATAATATATCAATTTTATTTATCTACCTTCCAATTATACTATTATTTTTTTTTTAGATTTGTTATGTTTTTGGTACTTTCTTACCTGAGGATGGGATTAGATTATTCCAGATGCCATTCTGTAGATAAATAAATAAAAGAGATCTGTGAAAACATTTTTTTTTACTAACACATGTGCGTCGTTGTTCATGTTAGCGGTTGACATAATTCATGGATAAAGCAGTGTTTTACGGTGATTTATGTCAGCTTTTACAATTTGAATTACTCTGTAAGAATCATAGCAATATAATTTCTAATACTCTTCAGTTAGCCTATATTTATCCATACTGTAGAATGATTCAAACTGATTGGCCTACTCACTTCTATGATCAGCAACATTTTTTTTTGAATCTAGATTGTCTTTAATCAAACTTAATTTTACCCTCCTACTGGACAACTGTCATAACAAATTTGTGTTGCATCTTGTGACTAACCTGTACTATAGTTCGTTCACAAAATTAAGAAGGTTAGATGGGAAGTTCCTTCTCTACTTTATTTGCTAAACGTATATGCTGCAGCTGATTGCCCATTTGGCAAACCTCAGCTGTTGAGCTATTATTTTAAAGGTAGGATCAAGTGAAGGAAATAGATTTCTTCCCTTAAAACTGCCTAAATTTAGTGAACGGAGTATAGTTAATATGTACATGTGATGGGTGTTTTTTACGGAAGCATAACTTTTAGATACAACATGTGATTCTACCCAGTGCAGGTCATCTAGTTGTCTAATGCTTTGCTGATATCAATGTTGTTTTGTTCCCAGCATTTTCTCAAGAACGTGATCACCGCAGTATTAACCCGTAGGAACGGTTTCCGTATCCACAACAGTGGCGTGCAGTACGCTGTAGGCATGCCAGTGCCCAACCCTTGGCTCAGGAACACAGCCAACTACTTTCCATGTAGATCTGATGGGTAATTATAATTTTATTTGTAAATCACAAATTCAGTTTAATCTGGCACTACTTGGTTTATGTTATTTTTATTAGTTTGAATTGGTATTTCAGAAATATCATGGGGAGATATGGAGTAAAAATAAAAACTTGTCAAATCGTTAGGTCTCAATGAATCAATTTCACCAGTTAATTAAATTAATATCATAAAGGACTACTAGTTGATTATTTTGCTTTGTTAACCAGAAGATGGTTTGTGCAGGTCAGTGCTGGAAGTGCTGGAGTCAGGAGAGACAGTTCCAGCAGGTCGCCCCTCTGTCAGCGACCTGCAGCAGGACATAGCCATGGCTCACGCAGCTGGCGTCGAGTGTTCTGACAAGAAACCCGTCTCTGCGGCAGAGTGTTATGAGGCCCTCAAGGTATGCCTAGTACTGAGTTGTGCTTTCAGTTGGAAACAATCTATCTATTATTAAAGAATATTGATCACTGCTTCTGTTGATGTTTGTATTAAGCTTATTTGAAATATTTAGGAATTTAATCAAATGAAAAATTCCATATTTATTCAGGAAAAGTTGAGGCCACATGGCTCTTTCTTACACAAGGACACAAAACAGTTTTAAAGTTTCATACTGTAGTGAAAATGATATGCCTATAATAGGGAACAACGAAATTAGTAGATATATTTTTTACATAATTCAATAGAGTAAAATTAAAACATATTTATTTAAAAAAGCAAAGGTAACAGCAAGTCTTCTTTGTAAAATCCTCTTACCTTACCTCCTTGGCCATCGAAATCTTAGCCTCTCCATTCTTCTCTATTCTCAGCTCAGGTGTACTGCCCAACGCATCCATATCCTTCAGCACCTGGCTCCTCGACCGCAGTCTCGTCCTGCCGAGTTGTCTCCTGCCTTTTGGGTTATTCTAGTCCATAGCTTTTATTATCAATGAATTTTCTCTCTTCAACACATGTCCTACCCTTCTCAGTCTCCTGCTTTTTATCCTTGCTACAACATCTGGATGGTGATACATATCTCACGATTCTCTATTTTTCCTGATTCTCCAGCCTTCTTCATCTTGAAATAATGGTCGATATATTTTTCCTTGAATCTTATTTAAAAAAATCATAAGTTCCTTTTCCCGTTTTTTTGTGAGCACCCATGTTCTGATCCATATAATAATACTGGATGAAGTATTGAGAGGTCGATTTTTATTTTGGTATTTTTTGGCAAGTTTTTTAGATGAGCATATTGACTAGGGACAAGTAGGTTGCTGAGGCTAGAATTATTCTATTTTGGATTTCTTTTTCCACTTTGTTATTGTGCGTTATTGTTATCCCTAGGTATTTAAACTCATCAATAGGTTCAAACTCAAAATTACCCACTTTAAGATTCAAGTTCTATAAACATGAAATACATTATGTATGTCAAGATCTCACGACTTGAGAATAATCTCAGCTCTCAGACCCACATACTTTGATGAACAGAATTCAGTGAACCTACTATTTACAGCTGTACCGGTTCCCCTCCAGCCATGTTTATGCCATCAACATGGAGAGAATTTCCACCCAACTGCATCACCCCAGCTGGGACGATACTGGCGAATAGTTTTAGCAAAAAATAGATGTGAATATGTTTCTGTTTACTGTCGATATTAAATAGCTTTGTAAGATACGGTTTTAGATTTATTTCCCCATTAATCACCTCAAAATATATACAGGGTTTTTTTTTAACGCACAACCCAAATTAAAAGTACTGTGAGGCACATTTTAATGACCAAACAACCTTATATTTTGGTATCCCTGTGTTCTTTACTTCATTGCTGATCAGCTGATATTCGTTGTTGCATAGTAATCTATGTGGTTTAGTGTTGTTGGAAATAAGACACAACGTGGTGTTTCCCCAATCTCGAAGAGCTAAGTCTGCAGGTTTGCTGCGACGGGGGTATTTTATGTTTACTACGGATTCGGTTTACTTCAATTTTTACTATTATTGACATGTACAAATTTAAAGAAACCAAATCTTTGGTGAACAAAAATTACCTCCATCCCAGCATACCTGCAGACTAAGCGAATTTCCATTTGCCTGATCTGATCCACTTAAAATATAGTGATTTAAGTTTTACTTGAATTCGGATTCAGTTTTCTTAAATTGTTATATGTCTATACGTCAATAATAATTTATTTATTAGGTACTGGAATCGCACCTGTTAAAACTTAATTTTAAACATTTCATGGCATAAAACCAATGTTTATTTTCAACGTATTATTCTAACTCTTTGAGATTGGGGAACGCCATGTTGTGTCTTATTTACAATATATTCCCAATAACACTAAACTAAACCACATAGATAACTATGCAAAAAAGCTTATCAGCTATACAGGCATACCAAAATATAAGGTTGTGTGCACAAAATGTGTCCCACAGCACTTTTCATTTGTGTTGCGCGTAAAAAAAACACCTTGTATATATTAAAAATAGCAACAAGATAAATATTGATTTTTGATGAGTGATCTATAGTATATGAAGGTATAGAAATACTTTCTTTAATATTAGCTTACTTTATGGTTGAATTACACATGTTTTAAACCATATTTAATCAAAATTAATTTGGTAGCACCAAAATGAACTGAGTAGGCTCGGATATTACGAATTGAACAGCATTTTTAAAATAAATAGACCCTTTTCTTAATTTAGGCCTTAGGGATAACAGGACTTGGATTTTTAACTTTTTGTCTAATTTAACTTCATGATGGTATGGCCTTTGGATCGTCTGAATTAACGTATAGTGGTTAATGTTACCTTGTTACTGTCCAAAACGATCCTTTGTAGTTCGTTGTGACTACAGCTGTTTCGTGCTTCGGAAGGAGCACATCATCGGGTCAAAAGAATGTCAAGCAGTAGTCATTAGATATACCTCATGGTGGAGTTCGTCAAAAGTTTATAGTATATAAATAACACGGACAACACATAAACACGAAACTGAACATTTAACACTGGTCGGCCAGACGGTAACGAAACACTTGATACGGCACCGGTTGAGAGCAAGTCGCGACTGTCACGTGCAGGCCCGCTTTTATAAACGGCAGACTGGGTATATGCCCAGGGGCGCCCTCAACCCACCGCCCGCACAAGGAAAAAATTGGGTTCGATCAGCCGGGATTTCAAAAATAAAATGGGTGATTTCAACTTGTCCATTTGTCTACTATTCAACTTGTAGTTAAGTGATTTTCCCTTATTACAAAAATAAATAAATACAACAAAATTGAAAATACTCAACCTTCAGATTATACGTCGTGTAGTCAGTGAAAGGCAGGCAGCAGTCACTAACACACCGGGTGCACTCACCATATTATCAGAGGCCTGCATAGTGGAAGGAAAATACATAGGTGCTCTATTCCCGTCACATATGCTGACGTCACTCAGATTGCAAACACCATTTTACCATTTAGAAAAATTTATAAAAACAATAACAATCAAATCAAAACAAATATATACTTACTAGCTGTTGTACCCGTGCTTTGCAACGGGAAGAGGACACAAAATGCAAAAAAGTTAATAGTACTGCACCCTGTTGGTAAACCTTATAACTTTTTAATGCTATTTAATATCATAGAACCAACTTGTGTAGTTGAAACAGCTGACAAAATTCTTTTATTCCTTTTAAATATGATTAATCATAAGGTTAACATGGGAAACTCCAGAGCCACTGGGGCGGAGCCCGAAAGGACTTTTGAGATAAGAATGCGTCTATATGTTAATCGGGAATGTGAACTATCATCACACCAAATTTCAGCCCGATCCGACCAGTATTTTTCGCGTTTACTTGTCACAAACATACATCCATACATCCAAACTTTCTCATTTATAATATTAGTAGGAAGTAGGATATAAGCATAGATTTGTTTATGGGCTAACAAAAAAATCAGCTGATGTATTACCATAAGGTAATATCAAATCAAATCAAATCAAAAATCACTTTATTCAGCTTTATAAATACAGGAAATAATTATTAGTGGTAAGAATAGTATTCCCCCGAATGGACTGCAAGTCCGTGCTCGAGGGAAGAGCTCTTACCAGCAGGAAATATGTTTTGGTTATTGTCCATAAGTCAAAAACATGTGCACACTGTTTATAAATAATGTGTACATCTATACTTAAATACGTATCAGGAGCTCTTAAAAAAAAAAATATATATATATATGCTATATAAATATATTGTATACTAGAATTATTTAACAATAAACAGCCTTAAGCAACAATGAAAGTATTAATCTATGAAGAAAATGTATTTTGATAGCTATTATGGCGGTGTTTGATGTCAGAGATTAATTTAAATGTAAGGCGAGCGAATTAAAGCCTCTGCAGCCTCTCGTCCCACAGTCATCTGCCACTCACAGACCTTGCTTTTATACACAGCGACACTGCCTGATTCAGCATCAGTTATGTTGGGCGGCAAGTTGCGATAAAGGATGTGAGCTATGTAAAACACGTTATTTTTCAACGAACTATAGGGTAGTTGTGGAGTGCGGTATCCAAAGTTATGCCTGTGTCTAGTGTTTTAACTGTGTTGTAAGTAAGAAAAAATAATTTCCTTGTTCTTAATGAAATACATCAGCTGATTTTTTTGTTGCAATTTTGGCAACGTCAGCAAATGACAGGAATAGCACACCTATGTATTTTCCTTCCACCATGGTAGGCCTGTAGACTACAGCTGTTGACGTGCCCCTCCTCTCCCTCCCACCCACCATCACCACACCCACCCCCACAAGTCACAACCTACCCCGCGGCGCCAGTGCCAGTCAGTACTCCTCCAATAGGTTGTGTTCTTGTTGTGCCTGCTGCACAGTTGTCAAATCAGTCACAACAACCTAAACTGTGACAGTCACTAGTCAGTGTTGGTTGACACTCACACTGCAGTTGGTGAACCAGTTATAAATAAATAGAAGTGTTGATAGTAGGCCTATAACAGTGAAAAAATGCATAAAAAACCTAGTGGAGCCAAGAACCACAAGCGGTTGGCTCAAAGACAACAAACTCAAGAAGCAGTTTTAAAGAAAGTGAAGTGTATTAACCAGTATTTCCACTGATACTGAATTGAAAACTCCCTCCCGAAACAAAACTGGTAAAAAAACACGCTAATAATGTATAAATATATATATATGAATAGGCCTATAGTAGAACCATAGATAAAACATACTTCCTAAGTAGAACCTCGTTCAATACGTGTGTAATGAACTGCACACTGTACTGTACTGAACAGTAATCAAATCACTGCGTAGTGCATTAAGCTATTGGCGCAGGGCAAGAGGCATTCGCATAGCAACTGTCAAGTTCATTGCACTCACCCAAACCCACCTGCTGTGGATTTCGGCGAACTGATGAGTCAAACCCCTTCCCTCTTCCCCTCCCTACACTGCTGTGGTCAAAACCTTTTTAGTTATAGTTATATATATACATAAGGGGGGAGGGGCGCTGCTTTTGGGTTTGCCCAGGGCGCCACTGACCACTGACCCTTAACTCGGCCCTGGTCACGTGTCGTTAGTGTTGACCCCCGCCCCTACTCCTGTGATATCCTTATCTCGTTCTTTTGTTGTCTTTCTATTATGGATTTGAATGGCAGTGTTGTCGATGATGTTAGACTCGAATGATAATTTTTTGTTCAATATATGCTCAGAGCTGACCAATGTACGCTAATTTAACTACCAATATGGCTAGAAATGAACCAGATCTTTGAAAATTCACCATCTAAACAAAAATTCTAGCAATTTTGGCAGATATAAATCCCACAAAAGATTTGGTTGAATTAAATTGTCACTATAGAGTCATAATAAAGTTAATCACTTTTCAAGTGGACAAAGATACAAAATTAAACTGAAAAAATCATCATGTTGACAAAAAATGGTGATGCAAACAATTTTAAAATAAATCCATTATGTTTCAAATTTTAAAATAAAAAATAAAACATGGATTTAGCTCATATAAAAATTGGGTTACATCTGGATACTCTCATGTTTCTTGTTAAACTAATTTAGTTCTTATCAAACTGGGAGAGTTAACAACCTAGTGTTACGGTTGTTGTTTCCACATAGTCGTTTCCACATAGTCGTCAAAAAGGTTATTGTTAAATCCATATCAGTTATCAATTCTAAGAACTGTATTTACCAAATACAGGAGGAATACTGTAGAACATTTAGTATAAGAAAGTGTCTAGGTGCAAACTTTTACAGTACTGTGTGCTTGTACAACATTTTTGCTGAACCGTTGGAAATGTAAGTAAAATAAAATAATGTTCTTTTCATATAGGCATGAATTATCAGTAGATAAATAAATAGTATAAATAAATCTTTGACAGTAAAAATATCATAAACAATCTAAATAACTCTGCGATAAAAAATAAAATAATTATTATGCCTGTCACAAATCCTGTTAAAAAAATATGATAATTGCTTATAAATATTGCTAATAGTAAACTAAAATTGGCTTTGCACAAAAAATCAAAACTAAAAAGTAAAAATGTTTAACCACAATATGGACTACAGTAATGGAAAAATCAGTAAATTTCTATGTAAATTAATTATGATTCATCTTTACACACTGTAGACCAAAACAGAAAACAATATGTGGCTATTGTTTTAGAAAGTTGTCTTATTGGAGCTCAGAAAAATCATGCATAATAGGGAGTTTCCTTCGGCATAGGTTTTACCTAGACTTCTCATCCCATTGTAAATTTTGAAGCTTGTTTTTTGTATCTAGTTCTTGTACGTTGACACTGATCGCTAGATAAAATTTTTTTTGTATTATGTTAGGGGTATTTTCATGATTTGTGCTTTACTATTTGGTTGTATAACTAGAACAACAGTTAGTATGTTTAGAGTTTTATTTGGTTAAATGAGGTTTTAAATTACTGATATAACAAGAAACAAATTGTAAGCATAAAACGACCTCTACAGATGCGATGTACAGAACTAACAATAAAATTGGCTTCAGCTGTTCCATGAGGGTGACAAATCTATAATATGGTTTGACATCATTGGATTTAATTCCACTTGAGAAGTGAAAGTGTTGGTTGAATGAAGTTTTATTCGTAACCATAGAAACTTCAAAAAAATTATTAGTTACAGCAAAATTCTTACTTGACTTGTATGAATTCCAAATTATTTAAGTGATTTTAATTCACCAAAGAATACTCTATTATTTTATAACTTCTCCGTCCTTCCCTTGCGTACAAAATCTCAAGATGAGTCTCCTAATTTTGATGTCTATCTTCGTCTGCGTCCTGGCCATTTTGGGCCTAGGAGCTTATGCCTTGGGACAAGAAGTGGTGAACAAAGTGTTTGCAGATTCAGATGAGAAAAATGAAAGTGAGTCTAAGAAAGTTGAGGAAACTGTTGAACCGCTGGTTGGAGAAGTTGATGGAATGGATAAGAAAGATTCATAAAGAAATGTGCTGCAAGGAATACAAGACACAGTGAAGTTGAGTTATAAGTTATATGGATTTTGATGGTTTGTAAACTAGTTTGATAAATACAAAATGTAACTACTGAAAACTGTAAGGATTATTTTAATGTGTAAAACTGGATACATAAATTATGATACAATATTTAATGATTTAATGTGGTCAACATAAATTCTTCAATGTAAAGGATCTTATTTGACCTAAATCGCAATAACACAAACAAAAATGTTGTATCGTTCCTTATTGATGGGGAAACAAACGTTAAAAAAAAGAAAAAATTCAAAAAATGCAATAATCAGTTTCTTTACAATTTAAAATTTTTGTTACCCACACAGTTGCAGAGGTTTACGGGACCATGAGTTCTTATGTGTATTTTTGTCGTACATTTAATATTAAGGCGTCATTTTAAAAAGGATAAAACTTCCTACCTACTGTTCCATAATAGTAAAGTTCAACAATAATTTTTTTATTGGGAGTAATAGTGATTGAAATTTTAAGAATTTCTAAAATTTGTATCGAAGATTTTACGGCAATTATTAATAAGAATCAAGAAATTGCTTTTTAATAACAGTGGCAAATTTCATCCTCTTTAATTTGACACTTTAAGATTGAATCAAGATCAAATGTAGGCTTAGACATTTTCTATCCAGAGAACACGCGCATTTGAAGACATGACGTAGGTAGAGCGCACCCTGAAGCAATAGTTTGCAAAAAATATTTCCCTAATCATGAGTTCAAATTTCCACAGCATAAACTTATATTTACACAGATTACATTTACGATGAAATTTGATTGTAAATGTTTAGGTTATATAGTTCAAAATATTACACTTTTACTGAAAACACAAATCCTTAAAAGATTCTACATTTAGTAAAATTGTTATTTTTAAATTATGTAAATATGAATAATTAATATGTTTTTTAACAACTTGCAATTTGTAACGTAAATATTTTAGTGACAGTTTGAAATCGCGCCACTTATCATACACTCATCTCCATTCATACTTGGCTTAAAATACCTACATTTGTATGGTCGCCATTTCAAAAGTAAAGTAAAGCTGTTAGTTTATACCAAATTACACTAAAACAATACTTAAAATGTTATGTCGACTGCTTACACTAATTTTAAAATAAAACTTAATTTCTAAAAAAAACTAAAACTCCAAACAAAAATTATGGCCTCGAGGTTCCCTTCCTTTCAGTATCATCTGTTTTTCAACACAAAAAACATGAAAATTCGTCAAGTGGTTGATTTAGAATCTTGCAATTAAAAAACCTCGCTTGTTTTAGCGAATTTCCCATACAGGGAATAAGCTATTACCGTGGGTAGTACTCATGGTAAGACCTGGACCCGGGACCGATTTACTTTTTTGTTTTGAGGTCCCTAGAGGCCAAATACACCATCCGTTTAAATTCATATTTATATATATGTGTCCGTTAAGACAATAACTCGAGCAAAAATGATCCGATTTTGATGAAATTTTGTATAAACGTGTAAACCTACATCTATTCGAGCGAGTTCGCGAACCAGCATGATCGGACTATTGAAACGGGGGTTTAATGGGGTCAAAATTGGCTTTTCCCATTTTTGACCCTAAAAACACAAAATTTCACAATTTAATCCCAAACCATTTTGTAGAGCTTAAAAAACAAATAATTTAGTATATTGAAGCGTTATTGTGCGCCTAATGGTTATGGAGAAAATTCCAAAATATTGTAAATTTAAAACTCCCATGTTATTTTTATGGAGAATAAGTCAACTGTAGTAGTTTAATTGCTTGTTTATGAACATATTTTCATCGAATTTGGAAAATACATTCATTTCTTACTAAACTATTAACATTTTACAAAAAATATTTTTACCCTCCCTGTTGCAGCAAACCTGAGTTCTTGTTAAACTAATTCTATTTAAATAGGGAATAAATGTGATATTTTTAAGGAGGCATTTTAGTGTAAATCCAATCAGGCTAATGGAAATCCGCGGCGGGGGTATCAATATATAAGATAACATACTGTTATTTTCAGTATTATAAGAGTTTATGATTGTTGAAATTATTAGTACCGGTACTAAAAATATTAAATTTTAATATTTCGTATAGTTTTTTGTTTGGCTCTAGATAAATATTGTAATCACTCACTAAGTAATAATTTTAGCTGTTGATACCATCAATCATTTATAGAAGTTTTAAAAACAATAGGAATAAAGAATATTTTTTTACTGTAGACCTATGTGTGAAGATCTTCTCCATATAAAAGTAACTATTAATATCACAAAGCTTATTTCATTCTTATATGATTATGTGTGATAAAAATATATAATTTCTGGATCATTTTATGATAGAGGGCTCTGGTTGTCATTGTGTAGAGTGGTGACCTTGACCTCTTAGTCATCATGTTGGTCAGCTGTAAGTAGCTTCCTGTAGTTCTCATCTCAGTCAGAACAAAGCTACCAAGTTGTGTTGTCAGCTAGCTAACCTCAAATTGCTCATCTACACCATCAGTGTCTTTGTCAACAATAAGTGTCCTCCATATTGTGAGTTTGTGTTGTTTTATTTCAATCAGATCTTTCTTTTGAGATTTCCCAGTATCGTAATAAAATAGAGCTTGCAGATTGCTGCTGTTTGCTTATTGATAAAAATGTAATACGACTAAAGGAAAAGATTGATTTGTAATAGTCAAATTAAGTTGTGAAAGAGCCTATCATTGTTTTTTTAGAAATTTCTTGCACTAACATGTGTATTTTCCTTTCTTATCAGATATAGTTAAAATTATAGAGTCAAATTAAAATTTGTGTATGGAGTAGAATTTAGTTTTCATATAAAGTTACACTGGAAACTGTTGAGGAAACAAATTTTATGATGTTGATTTTCAAATTGTATACCTTTCTTATTTTTCATTGTGTTTAATTAAAAATATGCTAGTGTTTGCATACGTATAAATTGGGAACTTTAAAGGTTGATATCGATTAAAATTATGGAAATAGGTAGTTTTGCATTAGCTGAAAATATATTATCAATACCGGTACTGAATTGTGCTAAAAAGACTTATGTTAGGTCATTTATGTCTTTGAATAGATATTGTTGTCTCTGTATTCTTTATGAGCATTTCTTTTTAAGTATTTATTTATAAGTATTATAAAATCATAACACAAACAGATACATTTTCAAGGAATTGTTTCTTAATTGTGTTAATCAATAATGAATTAAATACACATTTTAAGTGACCCTAAAATGAATACAGGTAAAGTGGTCATTGACCTATCTCTCACCACAACAGAGAATTAATTTTTAGCCACTTCTCAGGAGGGAAATCAACGTGATTTAAAATGATTGGATACCTTTATTGACTCGTCAATAGTCAAAGATATCATGTTTTATTTGTCTGATAATTGTTTAGACAAGCTTTAAGTCCAATTGATGACCCGAGACATGTTTTTTCTGGTTTTCTTATTCAATCTGGTGACATCATTACCGTTAACAGATAAAAACAGTATAAGAGTTTCAAATAATATATTTATGATTAAATATGGGAAAAAGATTACCGAGTTGTTAAATATATAGACAAAGGGAAAAAATCAGAAGACAGAGGTGTATGCTTTGTCAAAAAGTATACACAAAATAAGTTGTGTGTCCAACAAAGACTAAATATCATCAGCATATTGTTTTGTGTTGTTGTTTATCTAAGCACTTTGGACTTTCTTTATTATTGCCTCAAACGACAAGCACAAGCCAGTGGCAGATTTAGATTGAGGGGGGCGAGATTAGAGGTGAAGCCCCCCCCCTACAAAGCAAAAGTAGAATCTCTTCTCTCATTATTTACCATTCTGATTTCATAGCTTCAGTGAGCATGAATTTTGTAAACTTACCTCTGCTTGACATTCCCTAAATAGATGACGAGGAGTTTAGTGTGACAAATTACTTTACGCAATGTGTATGCACTATTACATGCAGTAAAAAAAATATGCTCCCTTCGCCCCCCCCCCCCTGGTTCGCCACTGGCACAAGCACTAGTGTACTGGTATCTCAACAGTTTCATAGATTAAACATACAAAAGATGGGTCATTCTTATGGATCCACTGAAGACAATTTCAAGACATGTTTCTGTCTAGAGTAATACTAGTGTTTTTACGCTTAATTATTTATTTCTTGAAAATTTAATATCTTTGAACTTTTTATTCTAAGTAAACTATGGCATGTCCTCTACAAGTAGAAAAAAATTACCCTATGAAATACGAGAGAAATAATTAATCAACATTAATATTCTTTTATCAGGCATATTGAAAATAAAATATATATAGGTTTAAAAAAGGCTTGAATTTTTACAATAGGATGAGAAGTCTGCTTGCAGCATCCAAACTCCAAAAAGTGTGAGTCGGTGACTCTGGCTCAGTTGGTATACTGTATTGCATCGGAATATAAATCCGAGGTGGCGTGATGTCATGGGCTTATGACTGGTGCCGCCACTAATAATTATCAGTACTACTGTATCGGCTCACCTCATAATTAATATTATGTTCCACACAGTCAGGAAACACAACGTCAAAAGAGGCCTCCTAAAAGAATCAATATTAAGTGTCTAATCTAATCTTTGATTCTCACATGGAAGGGGCTGATTAATACAAATATCTGAGGGGATTCTGTGGTAATAATTATGATTTAACATTTACTTGAAAGTTTAAACTTTTGTTCAATTTGAGAGAGTTAATGTTGAACCTCAATTGGAGATCTTTGTATCAAGGTTGACATTCCATTACACTTCTAAAATGTGCTATTGATTGATATCAGGAATAACTTTAATCAATGGTTTTGTTATCATTTTAGGTTGGGGATAATGCGGAAGTCATTGTTTTTAGTCTTAGCAGCTGTTATTATTCATCTTTGTCAGGCAAAGTTCAACTATAAATTGCCAAATGGCGGAGAGATTAAAGCAGTTTTAGTTGCTGGGTCCAATTCTTACTATAATTATAGGCATCAGGTAAGTTATAACAAATAATCATTATATAATGGGTTGAACCAGAGTCTCCTCTAACACAAAGCCGTGGCTAGACAAAAGTGGCAACACCGCTGTCAAACCGAAACAGCTGTTGCACTAATTTATAATGGACAGTATAGGAAATGTTTATGACTACACACTTCTGCTATTACCATGGCAACAGAGGTGGCCCTACATATAGGCGAACAAGGCGGTGCTTGGGGGCCCAGCACAGGCGTATTTCAGGTATTAAAAGAAGCCCACTATTGAATTTGGCATTGGGCCCCACAAATCTCTAGGGCCGCCACTGCATGGCTATAGGCATAACGCTGCAACGTTGCCACACACCAACGCCGTGTTAGCCTTGTGTTAGAGGAGGCTATGGTGGAACACAATATAAGTTGGAATGAAATACCTATTTTCTTAAATGAATATGAATAGTAAAAAACTTATTATATTTTCAGGTTTGTAGGGTTTTTGTCTTACTCAGACCATGAAAGATTAAATGTTAAGAGTATAGTTCTTGCTGATAAATCCATAAAACTAGAGTAAAGGCCAGTTGTCCAAGAAAGTGTCTGATGCTGATAAATAGACACTGGCGATGGACGCTCAGTGACTGCTATGCATTGATTTCAATGATTTTTCTGACGCTTGAGACGCTGAGTGTCTGACGGGGGGCACTGCTCCGGGAGTAGAGCAGGACGGGATCGCTGATGGCCAGCAGTCTATTGTGTCTATTGCAGTGTTGTTTCTGTGTTCTCCCGTATACTCCATACTATACAGTATCTTAATGTAATAGCTAACTTTTCTGCTCTTGTTATTGGACATGGAGTGTAATTGCATATTGTTTTGATATATCCTCTTCTTCTAGCAAAGTCGCAAATCAACTTAAACTGTTTCTTTTAAAAGTATAAAAATCACTAAACAGCCTCTTGTCTGCATTAAAGTTGTTTTTTGTAAGCATTTTAAAATATCCTTCCTCACTTCTATTTTTGAAATCACTAAACTATTTTTGAGTACACAATCGAGGTTCACTAAAGGTCCAGAATTTCCTCGTTTTCTATTTCTTAAATCAACAGGATCTTCAACACTTTGCTCTTAACACTCATACTGAGAGCAAACTACATTTTAACTCAGTCAGCAACCAATTGTTGAACTGAATAGACGCGTTCTTGGACAATGGGCCTTAAAGCGATCGACGCCCAGCGATCATCGCCCGGCGATCCCCACTCTGCGATCATCGCTTCAGATGCGTCTTGGACAATGCACCTTAAAGCAGATAAAAATATATAAACGTTACATTGATCATCACAAGATTTTTCATTATTTATTAGACATTGAAACTCGTCTACTGTGTTTAGGCCGATGTTTGTCATGCTTACCAAATACTGAAGGAAAATGGAATTCCCGACGAGAACATTATTGTGATGATGTACGATGACATAGCTTTCAGCGATGAGTAAGTTTTCCATCTACGTTAATATTGATTATTATTTTCCTAGTTTACAAGTGTATTGAAATTTAAATAAGTAAAACCTATAAATTATTTTGGCTGGAATTAAGATGCTAAATCTGTCCAGAGATTTTAGCAATTTGTTGTTAGTTCCATGAAAAATAATTAGCTCAAACACAAAATTATTATGACAATAAATAGTTTATGGAATTGGCATGAAAATATTTGTAACTTCTAGATTAGTTAAGCAAAATAAATTTTGTTTGGAATCATTTTACTTATATTTGTGCTGAAGTCAAACACATCAATAGATTTGATAACAAAGGTAAATTAATAAGAATGATAGTCACAATTTTGTGAGCCAGTGATGACTCAAGCGGTAGGCCAATGGTCCGCCCTTGTATCTCTGTGTGTGTGAGTAGCGTCGACCCTTTGTCCAGCCGCACTCGCTGAGCAAACAGAGTATACATAATAAATGTTAAATTTACAAACCAATACATATTCAACGTCTTGTATTAAGAGTTCGCAGGAAAGAAGCATGTTACACATTTTTTTGTCTACTTAAAATGTGGAAACTTTTCCTCCCATAGTTTGCAGTAAGTCAAACTAAGACATTACAAAGAGGTCATATTTCACCTTGAAGAAATAACTAAATAATATTATAGCTATACACAGTGCAGCTTGGGTCCACCACTACAGACATTAATATATCAGTTTTAAAATGTTTTTAATTTTAGAAATCCGGAAAAAGGTGTGGTCATCAACAGGCCTGGTGGCCCTAATGTGTACGAGGGAGTGAAGAAGGACTACACAGGGAAGGTATGGAAACAAAAGAGTCCTCAATGTAAATAGTCAAAAAGAAAATATTCGAATGTTCATTATTTTATTACAGAAACTTGCTGTAACATTTTAAAATTCTCTTTTGATATTCCCCACATGCTTTTTAGCGAATTTCCCTATAATTACCGTAGGTGGCACGGTAAGACCTAGGCCCGGGACCGATTTCCTTTTTTATTTTGATGTCCTCAGAGACCAAAAACACCATTCCTTCAAATTTGTATTTATGTATATACAGTAGACTCCCTCTTATCCGGACACCTTTTAACCGGACATCGGTTTAACCGGACTACACTCGGCGGAAATGACATCTCTTTAACCAGACAATTTTTATCAGCACATTGGTTTAACCGGACTAGATCGGCAGGAAGTGGGCAGTACTGAAACGTCTGTTCTCGTGGGAAAGATTTGAGACCAGTGATCACGTGTCTTGATACAATGCTCTCCTAAATTAAAGTCGAATATCACAGTAAACAGTCCGTTTTAACGAGTTTTTGGGGACGTCAGTTTAACCGGAAAACCCGTTATCCAGACTGGCCTCAGTCCCGAGGAGTCCGGATAAGAGGGAGTCTACTGTAGATTTATACATATATATATGTGTGTCCGTGAACGCGATAACTTGGGTAATTTTTCCGATTTTGATAACGGGGGGTTTTATGGGGTAAAAATTGGTTTTTCTCATTTTTGGCCCTCAAAACACAAAATTTCCCAATTTATCTCTAGGCTTTATTAAAGAGCTTTATTAAAAAAAAAAAATAATTTAGTATATCAAAGTGTTTTTGTAAAGTTATTGGTAACGGAGAAAATTCAAAAAAATTGTAAATTAAAAATTCCCATGTTATTCTTATGTAGGATAAGAAAACTGTTGTAGTTTGCTTGTTTATGGATATATTTGGATCAAACCTGGCAAATCTATTTATTTTATACTAAGCTATTAATATTTTACTAAAAAACACTTTATTACCCTCCCCGTAGGCAGCAAGTCTAGATACCCGTTAAACCTAATGTTATTTGAATATATTTAATTGAAAATCAAATCAGGCAAATGGAAATTTGCTTAGTCTGCAGGTTTGCTGCGACGGGGGTATTTATAAACCCCCTATTTATTACAAAACATTTATCAAAACATTATTGCAAACTTTTGATCAAGCTATGAGCACATCCAGTGTTCCAGCTCCATTTGATCCAGTGTTGAGCACATATCCTGGGATTTTAAAACTACTCAGTTTTATCTGGATTTCGATTTTATTGTAATTTACTATTGAAATGAATATTCCAGTTGAACAAAAATGTTCAATTCCCCTTAAATTGTATAAGAAAAAGTCAATACAAGATGTGAATTATTTTTCATTATTTTACGATTTTAACTGCTGTCCATTACTATTGTTTTATAACATAAATTTTTGCTCTTAATTTGAGTTTGAATTGAGTTTTTTTTTATGTTATGGATACCAATGTTTGTTTTTTATTAAAAGGAATCTGTTCAAATTCTTTTATGTTCATCAACATATTTATTCTGTCGTTGACTTTTGGATACTGAAGTTCTATGAACAGGCAACGGTTCTGTTCCATATCATCATCATTAGCCAATGATTAGTAGCTAATGACAAGGAAAATAGCAGTTTATTTATACTTTGACTCATTATTGCAACCATTCAACCATTCTAAGATGTAGTTTAATCTACTATAAAAAAATGAGATAACAACTAGTCATCTGGATTTTTCAACAAAACTTATTGATAATAGCTTTTTACTTCAGTCTAATTATTGAAATGCATTTAAGAAATGGCAGTGTTTTTGTTGGAATCTATATATATAAAAGGCAAAGCCCTCACTGACTCACTGACTGACTCATCACTAATTCTCTTACTTCCCATTTACCTAGGAGGCTGAAATTTGGTACACTGATTCTTTAGGCATTAAATAGGAAAACTAAGTTGTTTTTATCCTGATCGGACTCTCGGGCACCGCCCCAGTGGCTCTGGAGTTTCCCATGTTAACCTTATGAGTACTCATGTTTAAATGGAATTAATGAATCTTAACAGCTGTTTCAATTATACAAGTTGGTTCTGTTCTATGATGTTCAATAGCATTAAAGTTACAAGGATTACCAACAGGGTGCAGTACTATTATTTTTTTTTTAATTTATGACAACAGCTAATTTGCAACCAAAAGGTGAGTGAGCGTAGCAAACGAACTTCAACCTGGAAGCGAGTTAGCGTAGCGAACGAGCTAACCTGAAGGCAAGTGAGCGCAGCGAACGAGCTCTAACCTAAAGGTGAGTGAGCGTAGCGAACGAACTTCAACCAGGACGTGATTTATCCATGCAAACGAGCTCACTTATGAAGTTAAACGGGGCAAAGCCCGCGGGTACAGCTAGTTATTTGTATGTATGATTGTTAGTTTTTTTCAATAAAAATAAATAGATTGTATTTTGATTTGACAACAAGGACATAACATAACAATAACATAAACTTAATGCTTTCAACTTAAAACATAAACCTTTTGCTTGAAATTTAAAACATAAAAGTTCAATTAAGTATACCTCTCTGGTTTATCTTAAATATTTTTTACAAGTTTATTGGATTACATATTGAAGAATTTTTATCCTTTTCTTTGTTCCAGAATGTTAACAAGAAAGTTTTCTTTGATGTTTTGCTGGGAAATAAATCAGCTGTCGCAGGAGTTGGATCAGGAAGAGTTCTAGAAAGGTAAACCTTCATAAATAGTTATTTGTGTAACTAGTGTGCGAAGTGGCACTTTGCTGCACACAAGAGAAATGCTTATGCACGAGCCGCAGGCGAGTGTAGAAAGTTTCTCGAGTGCAACAAAGGCAATTTGTGCTCGTGTTACACATTATATTTTTCCTACAATTACTATAAAGCATAGAAATATTTAGTACTTCAAATACTATACAAAACTTTTTCCTAATCTTGGAACGAGTAAAAGAGAGAACTGTTGTTAAAAGATTGTGAATTGCTATTAATATAAATGGAAGCATCAATTGGAAACCTGAATGTGTTCAGGTTCAAAAATAAAAATCACTTACTCTTACTTATTATCTTTTCAGTTGGTACTAGAAAAAACTCATGCCAGTAGGAAACTTTCCATGTAACTTTCACTTTTGACTCTTGTTATTTTATGGCTTAAGATTCAAATCACTTTCTTTTTACTTAACTAACAATACAATTTTGGAAGGTTGACTTTATATGCTTCTTGCTTTACAAAGTAGTGTTGGTTGAGCTTAAGCAGTAATCATCTTACTCCAAAGCAACTTTAAACATAGATAATATTTCTTACTTCATTTGTGAAAGCTCAGCTGATTCCTTACTTTAAGTTTATAGTTATCAGTTATTATATAGAATTAAACATGCCACATCAAACAATCTTTAACATGCAGTAAAATGGTGTGAAGTAAAATTTGCTACTTATGATTTTGGGGTCTTCAAAAACCCCGTGATTGGGTACGGAAGGATCCAGAACAGGACGATGACAAGAGTTCTAAATAATTGTAGAAAATTAGGTACCGATAGCAAGTTTTACTACTTTACTTCTTGTTCCTTCTTGTACTTTAATCTTTAATTAGGTATTCTTATAAAAAGATAGGGCATTTGCCAGGAATTATTAAGGAAATTGACAGGAAAGCAGGCTTACCTTTAAATAAGTAATGGCAATGGCAGTTGCAATTTAAATCTATTACACCTTGTCAGGGTTGCCAACACAGATGAAGAGACTAAAAATTGTTTTTACTGTTGCATATGTATGAATGTGTTCACTTATTATGAATAATCCACAATATTTACACTGTTCTGTATTTACACATATGTACACACACATATTAAACATTTTTTATATACACTAGCCTGCTATGGAAGGTGAGGAATGGGGTTTATCTTAGATTAAGGTTTGGTGGGTTTCTAGAATGGGTGAACCATTGGTAGCTTAGTTCCCATCTTCTCAGTTCTGAGGGGTTGCAGTTTGGAGGCAGTTGTTTTATTATTTTTGAAGAGTAGCAGCTATTAAAATCAGATTTTGAGTGGGATGAGGCATGGTTGACTACTGGTTTGTCTTTATAATTATTTTTTTACATCTTGACGATGACCGTTCATTCTGGTACGGAACTGGTTCTTTGTTAGGCCTATATACTGAGCTGGGCAGTTTTTACATTGAAGCTGATAAATTACATTGCTGGTGCTGCAGGTGTTGTGTCCTTGAATCTTGAAAACTTCATTTGTGGCGTTGCTGGAAAAACTTGTGGTGGGGGGGTTGATGGGACACGTTTTACATCTGGAAGTATTACATGGGAAAGAGCCGTTTGGGGGTTTGTTTCTGGTTGTTGTAATTGGATCCGGTATCTTAGGATGAACAAGAATCTTTTTGATGTTAGGTGGTTGGCGAAATGTGGTGGTTGGGGGGGTTTTCAGGAAATCCTTTGTGTGTGGGGAAGCTTGGAGAATTTTGAATCCATCTTTTAGAATGGAGTTGAGGGATTGTAGGCCATGGTGGTATTCGGTTATTAGGTTTAGGTTTTGCTGTGGTTTTAGTTTCTTTGTTGGAGGGTTGTTTGATTGGGCTAAACGGATTTGGTTTTCTACAAGGTTTTTGGGGTAGCCTCTTTCAACAAATGCGTTGGAAATTTTCGAATTGAAATTGGAGAGCTCCTTTTCTGTCGAACAAATACGTTTGGCTCGGATGGCTTGGCTATAAGGTATAGATCTTTTGGTGTTGGCTGGATGACAACTGTCAAAATGTAAGTATTGTAAGTTATTGGTGGGTTTGATGTGAATGCCAGTGGTTATCAGTCCACTGATAATAATAATAATAATCCACTAATTAACTTTCTTTAATTAGGTATGTTTGATTTCAGCCATCATTTGTCAGACCATAACAATCCTGGGGCCAGCCCATAACATTACCTTATAAGTCATCAAGTGATGGTTGTGGGTTCTTTTTTAAATCAGTTTTACATGTTTTGTTTTTTATGTTCCCAGTGGTCCGAATGATCACCTGTTTGTCAACTTTGTGGATCATGGAGGTCCAGGAATTCTTTGTTTGCCATCCGAAGATATAAAAGCTTCTGAACTACTCGGAGTGTTAGAAAAGATGGCAAAACAAAAACGTTTTGAGAAGGTAGTCCTTAGTTTGTATTTCCTTTTGGCCTTTGATAAAACTTCAGTCGGAAAAAAACACTGAGTCAGTCACAAAGTTTTTTCAGAAGTTATTCCATGAAAAAAACCATAAATTTGCTTTGGTTACTGGTACTTAGAATGTTGCTTGAATATAAACATCCTTTATCCACAAAACTCAAACGAAAAATACATTTATGATCGTAAAATTACTAAAGAAACACTCTAGCAAATTAAGGTTGTTTACATAGGTAGTTAACGTTCCTCGTTTTACATAAACAAGTGGCTGGAGCTCTACATGACCAATCTTTGTTGTGACTGTCACAATATTCATTTAAAATATCGCCTACTAAACAAACTCTTTCATTCAGTAACTAAAAATATATTTTTTTCAGATGTTCTTTTACATTGAAGCTTGCGATTCTGGATCAATGTTTGACAATTTGCTGTCTGATGATCTAAATAGTGAGTATTGAAACAAATATACTTAATCTTATTTCTCCTGGTACCTGTTCCTGTGAAGTATCTTACAGCCGTCTTATACAAATCTTCACCCCTAATTTAACTATCCACTTCATTCCTTTCAAAAAAGCATTTTACCATAAACTTCTATCAATAGCCCACAAATTATTTAAGCATTTTCTTTGCTTCATATAGCCCCTTATGTGAGTATATACATGCATGCTCATTAAGGATGATGTTTTTTCTAAGACTTTAGTGCCCTTCCATTGTTTTTACATATTTAGCCCTTTTATTATTCAAACAAATTTAAAAATTGAATCCTGGACTAATTAAAATCATGATTGAGGAAACATAAAGGGAGTTAAATGGATTCAATTCCATTCATCTGTTGCAGACTTTATTTGATTCTATTTACATTAGGATCTATGGAATTGGATATTTTCAAGCACAATGAGACCTGACTTACTAAGCCCTTAATAATTGGAAGATATTGGTTCAAAAGAACATTTTTTATCTCCTTGATTTTGTTAAATCACATTTGATCTTTTAATAATACAAACTCAATAAGTGTACCTTTAATCAAGTACCAGTTTGTCATTGTTCCTTTATAAGTAAATCAATCAGTTGTTCCAAAAGTTGCCTTTATCAAGGTTCTGCTTTAACAGTTTCACTGCTTGTTTCAGTTTTTGTCATGACTGCAGCAGATCCACACGAGTCATCCTACGCTTGCTTCTACGATGAGAAACTACAAACTTACCTCGGAGATGTGTTTAGTGTCGAATGGATGCAGGATGCTGAAACTGTGAGTGTAATTGTGTCGGTCACTAAAAAAACAACAAAAATACAGCAAATATATGAACTAAATTTGAAGGAATCTTCAAGGTATATTTTTATGAAAGATCATCTGACCTAATGATTTGGATATCTTAAAATTTGTCAAATTTGTATTACCAGAAACATGTTATCACAGTTTACAAAGTAGTATATCGTCAATACTGGAAATTTTGTGTTGTATTCAGTAAGATGCAAGTTTTTATGCTATCCGTGTTTGAAGGTGTGTGGTTAATCATTTATCTTGTCAAATCGTTAACTCCTTTACATGAGAATTTTCTTGAGATTATTCAATCAATGTCAAAATAAGAAAATCCATACCCACTTTCTCTACCACTAGGTTAAAAATAAGCCAAAAAGGAGTTATATGCAATCCCTATAGAACTCACTAATTCTGTCAACTTTCATCACCGTTAAGTTAAGGTGGGCACTCACACTAGCTGAATCACATTAGTGTGGGTTGCAGTTTACTGGAATCATACCTGCTCATGTAGCACCTTAGCGCTACCGGTACACTCATTCCAATATAAATGGTTTTTCCCAATATACAAAAATTGTTATTCCCTTATACTTTAAAAATGAATATCCTACTATAACAGTTGTTGTGTTTCAGGAAGACCTGAAGCAGGAGAGTGTTAACCATCAGTTTGAGAAGGTTCGGACTGAGACAAACACCAGCCATGTAGAAGAGTATGGAGACATCGACATCGGCAACACTAAATTGAGCGAGGTCATTGGCTACCGGAGTCAGCCCCTGGCTCGCTACCAGCTTGACTTTACTGTGAGTTGCTGTTATGCATGTGCGATTGTGCGGATTTAGAGGTTGTAAAGTAAACTACCTTGCAGCCAGTTTTACAATGACAATGGACGGACATCGTTAATTGACCCATTAACAAATACCTTACCTGCCTGTATGCTGCTTGGTCGATTAATGTCCCCATCCGCTGAAGGTTTTTCCGAATCTGGTCACCCCACCGTAGTTTGGGTCTTCTTAGTGGTCGGCTCCCTCGTGGTCGTCCATTTGTAGCTAACTTCAAGAGACTGTTTTCTTCCCTTCTCGCTATGTGTCATGAACACCTTAATCTTTGGCTCTTAACAATAGCTAGCTTCTATTTCTGGGTCTTCGAAGTACCGGTTGGATAATCGTTTTATAAATTATTATTTTTGAGGATTTCAATAGTAATTTTTATCCCAAAATTTTAGACATGCTTCAAAAGCAGTCATTTGTGGCAATCAGTCTCTTTACCTTTTAATTTTCTCTTTTGTTTATAGAGTTAACTGTTTGCTGTTATTCCCAGGTACTTGAATTTGGATACTCTCTCAAAGGTCAGGTTTTTGACATTTAATGGTCCCTCGTCCTCATTAACAGATAAGGTAATGAAAACTGATTTCTATTGAATACACAAATGAAGCTAAACTGAAAGAAAGTGAAGTACTTTAAACCTTTTAAGTATTGCATAGTCTTTATCGCATCAATTATTAAAGTATCTAAAATAAGAAAATCAAGTTTTTACAGTAGCACACTCTTTGTGCGACCCTTTCAGCTACGTTCATATTGAATGATAAATTTGATAAAACTAGTGGTTCATATATATATATCTACTCTGTATACAAAGTCTGTATACAAGTCTCTGCTATAACTCTTTTGAAACTTTGGTTCTTGAAATTAGGTTACAAAAAATCTAAATCAAGTGTTGAACCTGTGTAATAAAAATGAAAGTAATTACCTGATCAGAACTAGGCTTTAAGACACTTGGAACATGTTAGGAATTGTTTACAAACAGTCAATTAAGAAAAAACATAAATAACACGTGATTAACAATTTAAACATATAGTAAAAAAGGAAAGGTAGAGTATAAAAATATTACAACAACCTGTTATAAATCAAGCTTTAGATATTGCAGCAAGTTTAAGAATAGTGTACTTTTTAACCCCCTGGTATTTAGTGTAATAAATAAATAAAGTACAGGGACCTGTTTTATTTTATATAACATCCAGGTTATTTTGTTGTCTGATGCTAGCTAAATGCTAAAAGCACCTGTAGCAGCTTTTTAATTAAATGTATCTTATTGTCTTGAAAAATTTGAGTAAATATGTGTCACTGTTTCGGTTCATTCAACATTGTGTACCCATGTAGTTTTAATCAATTTATTATTTTAGTATATTGATTAATGTTTGTTTATGTAGGATGCCGTGCCTACACACCATGTCCCGGTAGCAATTCTGGGACGACGAATCCAAGCTGCCAAAAATTCTGAAGAAAAGAAGAAATTACAAAAGGAACTCCATGACATGTTACAGGTAATGTGATAAGAGTTTGTATTATTTTCATGACTTTGACACATATATGTTTTACATTATGACTTTCATGGCTTTAAATCTCAACTTTTTTATATTACAGTCACGGAAGGAGGTTAACAATTTCTTTTTGAAACTGGTTCAAGAAGCTATAACTCCTACCAACACAAATCTCCTTTACCAACAGACTGTCTTGAACAGGCCATCTCTGACAAAGAAGAATCTTCCTTGTTATGAAAATGCCCTCACACATTTGAACAACGATTGTTTCAACATTAGTGATGTAAGTAACATTTTATATTGGTAGCAATAAATAAGAAGAAGAGTTAATTCAAGGGCACTGTCAATATTTGTTACCAAGTACAAGTTTACATAAATATAGTTATTCCTCTTCATATAACAGTTAGGTTAAAAGTTTATATTTTTGTCATAGTGAGACTGATAGTAGAGGTGGTTTGTTCAAAATGTAACTTCAGTAAAAACATAGGTAAGGATTTCTGATTTAGATCAACTTAACTTGTAACTAGCCCAGAGTTTTGGAATATTTACTTAAAACCTTTGTCCATACTTTTTTGCAATAAAACAAAAATTCAATTATACAGACATTGAGTCAAAGGGAGCATTATTAATATATTTTGGTTTTAAGGAACATACAAACACTAGATAATTTGTCCCATGACATAGTTTTCTTTGAAAAGGGATTTCAGAATTTAGCTAGCTTGAAAAATTGTGCTCAGGGGCACAACTACCTGTATGTAGTTTTTTCGTAACAATTATTTGTTTTATAGGCACAAAAAAAACATCACAAAACAAATGCGTACCCTAATAACATAATAACTAATAAGTGTTATGTTTTGTGATCTTTAATTTGTGTTTCTATTAGAGCCTGAAGTCCATTTTTCTCAGGTAAGCTAGCGGAACACGATCCACTTATAAAACAGTTGCTAACCAGTCACTTGGTTTTTGTTTGAAGATATCATTTTGGTAAATAATACTTGGTTTCCAAACTATATCTGAATTGCTATCTCCTTTTTTCAGAATCCGTTTGTCAGATCACACCTTCACAAACTCATCAACATGTGTGAGGCCATGTCAGAGGACCAAGTCATCAGGAAGATAAAATCTTTGTGCCAAGGAAAAGCAAAACCAACTGGAATTGTCTAGTTCATGTTTTATATAAAATAATGTCTGTTGTTTTTTAATTATATGTATTTGAATTGCTTTTGTGCTATGCTGTAAAGAATCAAGCTTTCATAATTCTTTGTGATAATTTTTGTTTAATTGCAGTTTTTATTGTTAAATAGATAATTTTTAATGATCGTGATTACAAAATCTTTGAAAATGTAATAGTGTAGCTTTGGCGTTTAAACCTCATTCTTTTCAAACATTATCCACCAATCGAACAAGCTTTAAACTTATTAAATCACTTCACCCAATCTGTGCTGAGATCTTGGTTTCTGTAACACCTTTTTGTACGTTGCTCCAGAAATATCTTAAATTTTAATTGTATTATAAATTCATCAAATGTATCCTCATATAGTGTAGCATGGCAAAACAATTTCTTTATTTCTTAGTTGCGATTGGAGGCAGAACGCTCTAAAGCAAAGATTCCACTTGAGACATAACTTCAAATGAAAGTCTTGAGACAAAATCAGAGTTGTTCACTTAATTACATTATTAACTGATATAACTACACAACTGGGTGTATTTAAACTTTTAACTCAAGTTTAAATGAATGGAGTGTAATGCATTGTGTAGTTTAGTTAATAAGACCAGTTATTTAATCAGCCAGGACCAAATAAATTTAAGCCACTTTCGCTGACAATCTTTTGAGCAGCAGCTTTGATACTTTTGGAATATTTTTTCAAGCTTAAGAGTTGGTGTTTTGAGTATAGTGTGATATAATTGTTACAAGCTCTTGTCCAAGAATTTCCTACAAAATTCCTAGGAAATGAAATGCAACAGTTCATAAAATTTTGTATAATTAAATAATATATAAATAGCCTATTACCAGTCAATTAAGCCTATTTCAAACACAAGCTAAAGTAAAAATAATTATATATATCTAAACCAAATCTCAAAAAGTAATTTACCCAAATTAACTTTCATATAATATTAATTGGCCTGAGTGACTAAAAGTGAACTTCAAGATCTAGAAGACCTGAATACATTGTTGCTGAAAAACATGTGTTAGGTAACAACTGGATTTGCTTCTTCTACCATGAACTAGCCTGATGAAAGTGTAAAAACTAGTTTGTATGATTTTTATATTATAATATTTTCTAGTAAAAAGTGAAAAGCTAAACCAATAGTCTAATTATTTCAAATAGTTTAAACAAGAAGAAATGTGGAAACTTGGAAGAAATTTGGTAATCTCCATCTTATTATTACAGACAATTCTATTTAAGTGTTGGACAATTTGAGAACATTAGCCTAATTCTGAGGTGGATCGAGTAGCCTCCTAGCTGTTAAAATTTATATTCTTGATTCAAGTAAAAACTTTTGTTTTAGAACAACCTTATCCAAATTCTATATAAAATTATTTAGTAAAAAAAAGAAATCAAAGGCTAACTTTATTATCATAAAAAAAAAATTTCAAATTAAAATAGGCTATTAGCAAGGAAATTGGTAATAAAAGAGAGTTCCAAGCACGAACCTATAAAAACCCTGAGGTTGCAATTGGCGCCCAACGTGGGGCGCCAATTGCAACCTCAGGGTTTTTAGGTTCGTGCTTGGAACTCTCTTTTATTACCAATTTCCTTGCTAATAGCCTATTTTAATTTGAAACTTTTTTTATGATAATAAAGTTAGCCTTTGATTTCTTTTTTTACTAAATAATTTTATATAGAATTTGGATAAGATTGTTCTAAAACAAAAGTCTTTACTTGAATCAAGAATATAGATTTTAACAGCTAGGAGGCTACTCGATCCACCTCAGAATTAGGCTAATGTTCTCAAATTGTCCAACACTTAAATAGAATTGTCTGTAATAATAAGATGGAGATTACCAAATTTCTTCCAAGTTTCCACATTTCTTCTTGTTTAAACTATTTGAAATAATTAGACTATTGGTTTAGCTTTTCACTTTTTACTAGTTACTAGAAAATATTATAATATAAAAATCATACAAACTAGTTTTTACACTTTCATCAGGCTAGTTCATAATAGAAGAAGAAAATCCAGTTGTTACCTCACATGTTTTTCAGCAACAATGTATTCAGGTCTTCTAGATCTTGATGTTCACTGTTACTTTTTAGTCACTTAGGCCAATTTATAGTATATGAAATTTAATTTGGGTAAATTACTTTTTGAGATTTGGTTTAGATATATATAATTATTTTTACTTTAGCTTGTGTTTGAAATAGATTTTAAACATAGTATATTTTAAATAGGCTTTTAGGCTTAATTGACTGGTAATAGACTATTTATTTATTATTTAATTATATACAAATTTATGAACTGTTGCAGAAAACAATGAAGCGATATCAATGACTATTTCGATACACAAGTAGACATCCCATCTATATGAACCAGCTGTTGCCAATTTTTTTACTAACAAATGTAATTTTGTGAGCCCCTCATAGAATGTGCTAGTGGCTAAAACCCTATTGTCCACCTTAATTTTTGTTGCTGACATAGTTGATGGATCATAACAGTTGCTATAGCACATAATAAATCGTTCTATCAGTTTGACTTGGTAAAAAAAATCGTTTGTTCAAAAGAAATTTGTAATTTAGATCAGCGCAATCTGTTGGTGGCTATCATCAACTTCGCCGAATTTGATTAAAAAAAGGCAACCACTTTAAAATGGGGATGGAATGTCTCGTTGTATCAATAGTCAAAGGCGGTAGGTTAGGAAATTGAGTTTGTTCCACTTAAAAATACACAGTACCTTTTCTCTATCTTGATCATTTTGGATTCACCATGTATGTCTAATAGTATCTGATCATTTGTTTATTGAACACTACATTGTTCAATATTATGTTTACAATTCAATACCTTTTGTGTGCTATAGCTGGGTGGTTATAGTTCTTTGGCTAAACAATAACAGATTTAGTTTTAACTGCTTTCCTTTATGTGTTTGTGATTCTCCATACAAAATGCCACTGACTATTTGACATTGAAAACCAAAAACAAGACAATAACGTGGAGTTGAGTGAATTTAAAGTAGTACAAACTTGCAGGTTAATTTTTGTAACATGCTTACTTCATTTACGGAATTTAGGCTGTAGGCCTACCCAATCCGTCATATCCAAGCAGTTATCTCATCAATGCAAGAAGTTAGCATTAATCAATCAAAAATGCATAGTTAAGTTCATGACAGAAATCACTCAAATGTACACTTAAAATAAATATTTATCCATAGCAGAATCACAAAAAGAAAACTTCCAGAAAATTTATTTCTTTAGGTAACAAGTCTCACCAGTTTAAAAACAAAGAAGATTAGGAGACTGAAAAATACCATACGAAAATTAAGCAACATTATGCTTTATTGATGTAATCAAAATAATACATAAAAGGTTCCATTTCGTAAACTGATTACAATGTTCAAACGTCCTCGGGATGAGAGGAGTGATGTTTGACACAAATTAAACTTTATCAACAATATCCACATTTACACCAATCAACATCTCAGTAATGTACGGTAACATTTACAAAATTTTTCAAACAATAATATAATGATTTTAAAAGATAAATCATAAAGCTGTACATGTTAATGATGAACGCACTTTTAACTTTTTTAATCATCAGATAACAAACCAAGCACAATCATTTAATTCAAGAATCGTAATAGAAAGTCTTCAGTTTAAAAGTACTTTAAGATTAAAAAGCTCGAGAAGGAATGTCAAAGAGTTATTAAACGCTAAATTCAGAAATCCAAAAACTAGTTCTGTTATAAACGGTCCATTGTCCCTAAAACATGTATAACTATACAAAATAATATACAATTAGTTTAAACTTATGCTAACACACAGAATATTTTAACATATTACCATCTCATCTGAACAAAATCAATTATTCATTTTATTAGTTCTAAAAATCCTACACTTTAGTAAAAAAGACTAATAACTTATTAGAATTTGTAATATAATACAAATAATGTAATTTAAATTAATCCATGCGGCTGTGTACATAATTAACATTTGCACTGACACAAATAACAATCAGTAATATTACAACATATTACAAAGCAATGGCCAAAATAATGAGGATCAGGTTATCTGAAAAGTATTTATTACATTAATACACTGAATTTACAATAATATACAATATTTATATTTTAACATGATATTTGCATACTCCTACACGAGATTTAAAAAAGATTTTGTATTCTTTGTTGAGTTCAACAAAAATAAACTATAGAAAACTATAATACACAACCATATAGTTTTAGATCATTTTTCCACACTTAAAGGTCATTGAACCTTATTCTTAATATTTATTTTGCAACTAAACATTTTTTTAAATACCTGTGCACGTAATTGCAAGTTTATTCAGCATAGCCTCCAAGATTGATTTATGGCAATATAAAGTATGTTTACATACCTTACATGGTCAATCGTAATTTAGTCTCGGCCGACAAGTTCCAAAACAACTTTAATTTTCAAGCCTCTTGTCGTCAAGCATAAAATTATTTGAACACATTGTCGTCGTCACACAGAAATACAACATATCTTCACATAAAACACAGATACTCTAAGTTCAACTACCCGGTTGTTGGTAGTTGAGTATCATGTCCATCGTCGTGCGTGGTATGGCCGGCTGTGCATTCTTCTACGTTAACATAATATATATGTGTTCAAGTAAATTAAATGTTTAATTTTTGTGTACTGATGGCGACAATGTGTTCAAATAATTTTATGCAACACAAGCGGCTAGAAAATTAAACAGTGCTTTCAAAACTAGTCACCCGAGACTAAGTTAGAATTGACGACATAAACCTAAACATATTTTATATTGTTATAATTAGTTGCAAGATGTTTCTTACATCTAATAAATTAAAGCTTTAAAAAACTTGAAATCTGTGTCCAGTTATATACATTAAACACATACAGGTCTATACAGTACACAAAATAACTTCAAGAAATCCAGTTAGTAAGTACCTTGTCAAAAGTAATATTATATAGTTTAAATCAATTTATTCAAAACCTGGCATTTTTGATTGGTCATAAGAATATATAAATGAAATCCCATTTTCCTGGGTAAAAACGGTAAGCAATCTGCTTCACAAAATTATCCACCCAGACCGCAATATATTGAACACATTCATGGGCAAAAGGAAACACACAATGATTTTTTTCTGTCCAAAGTTGTTAAAACATCAATAGGCCTACATTAGACCTAGTAAAACAGTTGATAAATCCAAATGTTTTTGGTGAATATTTAACCTTTTTTAAGATCACAGTTATAATATCAGATTATGTTTGTGACAGAATGCAATGAGGTGCTATAGGCCCAAACCTTACGGATCTTGTGGACATCTGTCTCTTCACCAACAAATTTGATCGTTCAAGGTATTCAATCCAGTGCAATTCTATATTTTTTGTGACTACACATGCTATTTGATATAAATTGCTCAAATAATGATCAAGAGCGCTATCCCAACCTTACAGTTTGATTTTCATGCCTTAGGGTGAAAACATAGTGGAGCGGCAAAGCTAGAGCGTAGCTGAGCAGAAAAAATAATATATTAACGTAGGTGCCCCAAAACATAGTGGAGTGGAGAGTGAAGCTGGTACCCGCGCCAACATGCTAGCTGTGATATTCGAGGGTTTTATCAAGGTTTGAGGCTTAGCGGTCAAATCATTTACATACATGGTTTAAAATGTAGTTTTATTTCGCCAGTTCCCAAAACGGTTCTCTTTGAAGCCAGGACTAAAGCTAATAATAGGGCCTACCAATATATCAAACAATAACTATATAACTAAAACTTGTAATAATTCATGTCAGAATGTACAGTATCCACTTGAATGACACATTTAAAATATGGAATTTATCTTACAAACAGTTTTTACTATTTCACACAATAATACAACATTTCTAGAAATGCTATAATTTACAATTTTACTGTTTTAAATATTTAAGCAGTTGTATAGCCTAAGCCTAATGAATGACTTTGCTGTACCTTTCACCATCATCATTGGGTTTTTTTCATTGGTTTCTTTACAAAACCAGTGCATATCCTCTCATATAAGGATAAATTAGCTTTTATTTATGTAGGCCTATATTCAAAATTAATTGCTGTACTTAGGCTTCTTGACTGGCTACCGTCGCCGCTCTACTAGTACATGTGAAGCGCCGCTACCATCTGAGATAAAAGACTCTCTACCTAACCGCTCCACCATGTATTCAACCTCAGGTGGTTCGCACTGGAGTAGCCACATTACTTACTGTAATCTTCGCCTGTTCTCCTTTTACAAGCAATGAAATTCTATCTAATAATTGCCTAACGAATAAGTTGGAATTATGGCCATACAGTTGTAAATTTTTTTTTGTTTGGCTTGATGATAATTTTTATTTTCCCTTTCATGAGTAAAAGATCCCTCACATCAACCAATAATCCAAACCATCTGTTAGGGGAAAAAGGCTAGGCCCACCAGTACTGATGAAAAAGGAAAAATAAAGCTATGTGTTCTTACATAATAACCAGGCTGTCCACCGAGGTTGTACATGAATTTAGATGCCAGGGGAAAGTCTGTAAATTTTGCCTCAACAATAGCCTATAGTCAAGCGTCCATTCATTAACGGAGTTCTCTTTTAAGGTCATTGCGTGATAAAGAGAATCGGAGAGACGACTTGGGTGTTGTCATGATTGTGAAAGCAATATATTTATGGCCACCTACAGTTACAAAATACATAGGCCTAGGCTAATGTTTAAGTTTTTTAAATGTAATTTTACGGCATTTATGTCTAAAATCCCAATGATTTGGTAATCTGAACAGGGCCTATAAAATAGCCTACTGAATTCAGTTCCAATAAGTTCAGATCAGCATGACTCTGGTGTATTTTGTGTGTTTTTTCATAAAGATAGGTGAAAAAATTCTTTATCTTCAAATAACTTGTTTATAAAAGCAACCTCAATAAGAATTGAACCTTAGTTTATAAGCAACAGAGATCTAAAATTTTTCTGTTAATTATAACCTTGGGCATATTAGGATTCAAATTAAATACCGGCCTAGGATTCATCTTCCACAGGCCTATATGTTTAGAAAATACATTTTTTCTCAATATCTTAGTAAATATTGGCCTATAAATTTTAGTACCGGTATAGGCCTATATTGAAAACTTTTGGAGCCCACATTGTTGGAAATTACCTTTTTCTAGTGCGGCTAGTAGGCCAACACTAATTCCACATTTTTTAGACACACAATTTAGCTTAGGTAAAAATCTGGAAATGCAATAAAATCGGATGTGTTAGTGAGCCACTTAAGAATTTAACTGGTTAGGCCTAGTTGAAGAAATTAATCAATTTTTGCCCAGAAACAATAGTATTTATAATCTAAAGGAACATATCCCAACTACTTCCTTGGTAGAATATATTACGGTAAGTTAATTTAAACTAACCAAGGTGGTATTTCTGATACCAACTACGACAATGCACATCTGTACTGATTCTAAATCCATCTTAAGTTGAATCAATATGATAAGTTAATAAAGATAAGAGAAAATGGCTGCACAAAATATTAAGCTTGTAACACCTATGGATATTTAACTAATCTTTACCTTGCTTAAATTATACCGCCCATCGAGTAGAATGGAAAGGCCCCAAAATGAGTATTAACAGGTGTCTTGGGTGACGCACAACCATACAAAAAATCATCCGACTGCAGTTGCGTTCTGTTGAGGGTGGGTTCTGATGTAGACCTGTGGATCTTCGGCAAAGCTCGCTGGAGACTCTCTAATGACACTAAAATTTGACGAAATAATGGACGTTCCTCTCTTTTTACTTTTATGCAGTCTTCAGTCAGTCTTCGCAATGCCTTGGGCGTTTCAGAATAAAGCTTCTCAAGATCAGGACGAAGGAAGCCTCGACCAACCATGTAAAATATGACATCTTTGTCATTGCTTGAGTAAGGAAGCTGGCCAGAAAATAGTTCATATAAAACAATCCCAAACGCATAAACATCAGATTGAAAACTGTAAGGATTTTCCTCAGCCATTCGGATCACCTCAGGTGCCATCCATAGAATGGAGCCGGTCGGCTGTAGAGACTGCTGACCGCCGGACCAACGAGTTTTCACTGTTGCAAGGCCAAAATCACCAATTTTCACTGTTAAGTCATGTAAAAATATGTTATTACTCTTCAAATCCCTGTGTATGATGTTCTTTGCGTGAAGATAGTCCATTCCTTGTGCTATTTGTCGTGAAATCTCAATCAGTGTTAGGACTTCAAACTTAGTTTCCAGCACATGGAGATGTCTGTATAAACTCGAACCTTCACACCACTGTGTTACAATGGCGAGTTGAGGTTTACTAACACAGCCCATAAATAAGAGAATATTTAAATGACGTGTTTTCCTTAAGACTGCTACCTCGTTCTTGAACGCTTGAAGCTGTGTTGGTGTGGGGTCTTTCACATTTAGGGTTTTCACTGCAACAGGACCGTGCCAATGACCTTTGTATACAGTTCCGAAAGAACCAGATCCGATTCTTGGCCCAACAAGGATTTCATCAGCAGGGATTTCCCAATCTTCTATAGATTCTCTAGGAGCATCTTTGTGGATCTTAATTTTGTTTGCGCTTTCATCCGCACTTCGAGCTCTTGGTCTCCAAGGTTTTAAAGCATTAGTAGGAGATGCCTGGGCACTTTGACTGTGTGATAGTCTATTGTTAACAACTGGTCCGGGAGCAGTAGTTGAACCTAAACTGACAAATTCTTTTAATGAGGTTATTTCACCTCCAATAGGATTGACAAGATTATAGCACACATTAGGTGCAGAACTTGATCTTTCACCATGACCAAGAGCTCTTGGATGCCGCCCATAACCAGACGGGACCTGCAATATGCCAGCAGAAGTCTCTGTATTTTGTGCAAGAAGCATCTGATAGTAGGTATCTTGCATACGAACCTGTTGACAAAGAGCTGGGACTCCTCCTGCACATCGCTGATGAAATCTGTAGCCACAGGTCCTACAGTAAAAGCCTTGAAACAATAGTCGTCGACAGCACTCACAAAACGCTAATGAAAAGAATGTCTTGCGGACAAAATTGTGTGAGATACTTGTCGCAATTGGAAACTTATCCAGAATTTCAACACGAATTTCGTCACAATCAATCGTAGAAATATCAGCATCCCACGGTATTTGGACACCAGAAGGAATATTGTAGACGATACAAACTTCTGGTGTCAAGTTTCGCAGTTTCATTGCTTTCGATAAAGCCTCTCGAACACTCTGTCCCGGTCTTACCTGTACACTAGTACGCTGTTGATTGGGTAAGTGAGCTCGTACAACTGCCCTAAGATGTGTTTTCACAGGTTTGCAATGTTGGTCATACAAAGACTGTTGATCATATAAAGAACTATAATCACTATCAGCAAGGGTATCTTGAGGACTAGCCCTTCCATTACTTATCTCTTCTATTAACTGTTGCTCTTTTACTTCAAATTCGTGTAATTTACTTGTTAGCTCGTGGTATTCACTTAGATACATTGAGGGAGGATGCTGGAATCCTGCAAACTTAGCAAGTAGAGCGTCAATATTTTCTCTAGTTAAATTAATTACACTCCGAATATTTATCAGTTCATCTTGTAAACTTTCCAAATCTTCAGAGTCCGAGGTCATTTTTATAAACGATTATAACACATGCACAACGAAACAAAAGCTTTATAATAAGTAAAAACTACAACATTATAACCTTTCAATAGTTCGATATAGGTTGGTATTTGGTTGGTAATGTTGAAAACTGAAACTGTTTGACAGCAACAGCGCTCGGGTGAGAGTAGAAGATAGTTGGTTGATGTCTGCTACTAAACAGCGTTGGATTTTTTAGTGGCCAATGTATATACATTACAAAAAGTACACGAAAAACTGAAAGAACCCCAAGAACCCCATATTCAAATGAAATCCTAAGAAACAAGGTTGTTTTGTGAAAACATTGTTTTAGTTAAAATCCATTCAACATCCTATGTTGTTACATGGTAAAATGTTGTTTAACTTGCAATGTTTATTTTATTTTACATTCCAACGGACAGCTCCATTTTGATATTTCATACAAATTAGTGAAATACAAACAAGACTTTCTTAAATCTAGTTATAAAGTAATATTGAGTGAAAACAAAGAAATTAGAATAATTTGATAACAACAACAAAGAGAGACGGCAACAAGATGGCAAAAAGACAGCGGTTGCAACAAAACAAGTGAAAATAAACAAAACAGTTACAACAAAACACATCAGTAAAAGCGTTACAATGGATAACAATAATAAATTTGATTTGAGTAGATAACAATAATAATTAACAAAAAATAAACTTTTAAATTCATTAACAAGAATAAATAGATTAACAAAGAAAAACTATGTGAGTTAACAAAGAAATAAAGTTACAACAAAGATAACAATGTTAACAATGATAAATTGAAAAATTGAAACAAAGTAACAGTGTTGTAGACTATGAAAAGACAAAAACAAAAGGAATGGACTACGTAAACATTCTTCTAATCCTTCGCTTGAATGAGGCAACACCATCCAGGAAGAAGTCAACACCATCAGACACTCCGTTTCCTGCTCGTTGCATGCGTGCCACAGCCCCATTTGCCTCGTAGTTCGTGCGGTGGTGTAGTCTTGCAAAGAGGTCTCTTGAACGGGTGCTCGAAGGAGTTTTGAACTGGATCTGACGCAGGATTTCAGGACAGTTAATACTACCATTTAGTATTTTATGAAGAACTGTCAGATCAGCAATAGTCCTACGATCCTCCAGAGGCTGAAGGCCAAGGACCCGGGACAGGTCTTCAACTGGAACCTGGTGATATGGAATTCCATTTCTGACCCCAACCATCCTGACGAATCTGCGTTGGATCCTCTCTAGTTCATCACAAAGGTACTTCTGATGAGGGCTCCATACAGTTGAACAGTATTCCAGGATCTGTCGCACCAATGCACAGTACAACGTTTTCAACGCAGTCGTGTCCCTAAGATGTTTAGAGAAGCGGAGGATGAAACCAAGCATTCTGTTTGCCCTTCTACAGATGGTGAGTATGTGAGTCTCAGGGTTTAGTGTTGATGTGAAAATTACACCAAGATCCTTTATTTCCTGAACTCTGGAAAGGACTTCCCCTCGAACCCGATAATTGAAGATCTGAGGTGATGCACGCAGCGATGAAAAGTTATAACTTGGCATTTCAAAGTATTGAGATCCATTCGATTTTCAATGCACCAACGATCTAAGTCCTCGAGGCTCCTTTGAATTCTCAAGCAATCTTCTTGACTTGAAACAGTTGAAAAAACCTTAACATCATCAGCAAACATGAGGGAGTCAGCATGCAGGACTTCTGGTAGATCATTAACAAATAAGGAGAATAGATAAGGTCCAAGAAGAGAGCCTTAGGGCACCCCTGAGGTAGACTGAAATTCGGATGAATGTGCACCAGCAAATTTTACACATAGGTGACGATCCGATAAATAACTGGCCAACCATCGTACCACAGAGTTGTCAAATCCAAGGGTGACTAATTTTTTTAGAAGCAGTACATGGTCCACCCTATCAAACGCCTTAGAAAAATCCAAGTACACCGCATCTAACTGTTTGTTTAAGGATTTGAGGATTTCAGACTGAAAGAGTATCAAGTTGGACACAGTTGATCGACCCGTTGTAAATCCATGTTGCTGAGGGCAGGTAATACTAGCCACTTTATGTTTAATACGGACGAGGAAAAGATCTTCAAACACTTTGGCTAAAGCGGACAGAATTGAGATTGGTCTGTAGTTGGAGGCGATGTCCAGTGGACCTGATTTATGGACTGGTAAAACGTAGGCCTTTTTCAAAACGTCTGGGAAAACACCAGTAGACAGGGATGCATTGAGTAGCTTGCATATTGGATCAGCCAATATGTTCCTGCTGTACTTAAGGACCTTTGGTGGAACTTCATCAGGACCCCAGCCTTTTGTATCATCAAGTTTAATTAGTCTCTCCATTATCTCTTGTGGGTTAAATCTCACAGCAGATGTCAAGTCACCGAGACGATCAAACCTATCGATATTGAAGACTTCAGTTGGTCGGGTGAAAACGGAGGAGAAAAAGCTCTTGAACGATTCACACATACCCTGAGGCTCCGAAGTGACAGAGTTGTTATACACAATTCTAGTAGGTATAGAAGAAGTCTTTCTCGATGCATTACATGGCTCCAGAAATAACGAAGATTATTTGGAATCCCAGTCTCAATCCTATTCACATACGACGAAAGTCTCTGTTGGCCGCAGTCTTGCACGCTGCCCTTGCGTTGGAGAATCTGAGGTAGTTAGACGCAGATGGAGTCTGTTTCAAGCGCTTATGAAGAACTTTCTTTGTGATTACTAGATTCTTCAGCTCAGGCGAGAACCATCTAGGGAAAGGGGAAAACCCTGTTCTTCTCAAAGGTGAATGTTCTTTAACAGTTTTGGCAATTGTTGATATGAACCTTTCAGCAGCTCTGTTAACATCATGATCATTCAAAATGACGGGGAAATCAATCGTAGCCAGAGACAGATTAGTAGCCGATAAATTACATTGCTTTAGGTCATATACATAGTACCTTTGGTTGATGTTCTTTGCAGGGGCACTGACAGGGACATAAAAAGACAACGGTGGGTGGTGCGTCTCTTCAACAGGTAATAGAAAATCCTCCTCTTGTTGGACAGCAGTTTCTTCAGATGAACATAAGACTAAATCAAGTAGTACGCCTCTTCTGTTCCAAATTTTGTTTACTTGCCTAAGATTGAATGATTCAATTATGAAAATATAACTCTTGATGCAGGGCAATGCATACGGGCCAGAGGTTCATTCCAGTTAACACCCGGCAGGTTGAAGTCACCCGCAATAACTATCTCATCATATCGTCCACTGTCGGACATGGCTGCTTCAATGGAGAAAAGAAAACTGTTATATTTATCGATTGGCTGTTGCGGTGGGATGTAACATACTGCTAGTAGCCATGTGGTATTCTTGCAGGGCTTAATCTGGACGAGTAGATGCTCAACATCTTGGCCTCCAAAAAAAAATACGAGACGAATTAATTGTGCTTTTAACAGCAATAAGTACACCTCCCTTGCTGGATTTAGAGCTGGTAAGCTGAGATCTGTCGCACCTATATATTGTATATCCACTAGGAGATACTTCAGAATCGCTGATGTCATCAGACAGATTGGTTTCTGTTATCATTAAAATGTCAAAGCTACTCATTGCTATGGATGACTTAAAATCATTTAATTTGCTTCTCATGCCGTTAACATTTTGGTAATAGAAGGTGAGCTGTCCGTTGGATTTAATTAGTTTTTTTGGCTGCTTTACAATGCTAGGCACCCCATTATGATATTTGATAGTAAGATCATCTTCTCCAGCCTGCTTCTTAGCCTCAAGGGTGTTTCTAAGCTCCTTTAGATGAGTCCTCTCCATTTGTGTACGATCTCTAGTGACGTCAATTCTAGAATCAGGAAAAATGTCTTTAAGGGATTCAGGATTGAATTTTTTGAAGAATTGAATAGTCTCTGATGAGTCAGCGAAAGTAACTTTCAGTGGCCGTGGTTTATCAGATGGATGCCTACCAATTCGAATGATTTTGACTACATGGGGTTCATTGAGAGCTAAAGCAAGAAGAATTTTATTGACTGATTCGATGTCTTCCTGTATTTTAGATTCAATGTTGCCAGCACGGGATTCAGGTACACCATATATCATGACGTTCCTAGCACGATATGAGCGATCATTTACTTCTTTTATTATGGTTTCGGGGTCTTGAGGTTTCAGAGCCTGTAAGTTTTTAATATCAGATATGATGCATTCAATTTTGGCTTCATTAGCCGATACTCTAGGTTCAAGGCTGGCTAGCTGATCCTTAATTTGGGCAATATCAGACTTTATTTCCAGAATTCCAGCTGAAACTTCAGGGATTTTATCAATTTTTACTGACCAGCTGTCGATTTTCTCCATGAGTTTATTTACACTACCTGCTAATATAGCCATAGGATCTAGGGCTAGAGGTATGCAGTCAACCCTACTACAAAACTATTTCTTATTTGAATCCTTGGTGAGCTGAGTATATTCCTGTTTAGAAATATTGGTACAAACACGATGAAACCAACGGCCGCAGTTAGCATCACATTGGATCCCCTCATCCGAATCCAATACTTCTTTCATGCATACTTTACAAGTTGTTACCTTAGACGCCATTCTATATATTGAACGTTACTGTCGATATACAACGTTTAATATGCTTGATGATGTTACGATCCCAGTAGAGTGAAAGTACCAGTAACTACTCAATTCACCACTGGTAGCCACCCACAAAATTTACTCCACGGTAATAATGTTGAAATTGGCAGAGTGTTTGCATATAATGTTTAGCTTCATAACCATTTACCACGTGACTTGCAGATGACAGTTTATTTTATTGGTATTTTACTCTTTTCTCTCCCAGATGTTATTTGAATATTAACATTATAACACAGTTTAGAATATTATTTGTCATTGATTATATCCTATAACAAGTTTTCTGTGTAAAATCATTCAATAGGGGTTGATTTGTCATAGATTAACTGATAATACAAATTGTAATAAATTTAGCTAATATATAAACAGACTAACCAACACAGTAGACTTTATATTAGAGTTAATTTCATGATTTATTTGTGTTTTACTGTTTATATAGTTTTACTGTATTATATAGTTTTATTTGGTTAAAAAGGATTTTAAATTACTGAAATAATAATAAACAAATTGTAAACAAAATACGACCTTTAACAATGCACCGGACAGAACTAACGATAAAATTGGCTTTCAACTGTTTCATAAGGATGGGGAATCTACTAGAATAAGGGAGTATGTTTTATCTATGGTGCTATTGCGTTGAAAGTATGATCAAAGATTACATATGCTAACGCAAAAAGTTTGCGTTAGCATATGTAATCTTTGGTATGATTGATGATTATTCCCACCTCTTACCTTACCCATAATAAAGGTTGTTGTAAAGCTAATGTTAGATTGCTGATACCGTTGTAAGCACTGAGCTATAATAATAACAATTAATAATCTATATCGTACTGTATGTTTTATCATAGACTAACTAATATAAATTGGGCTTTAAATTAACGATTTTGGTTAATGAAACAGCTGATCTTATTCAGTAACACTACTTTTTTCTCGTAATGAGAGAATGAGATCTCTACTTGCAGTATCTAAAGTCAATGGAACATCTGGTTCAAATAATTGAGAAATATTCTTGCAGTATCTTAAGTCAATGTTACGTCTATTTCAAGTAAATGGAATGGCTATTTTGAGTATCTAAAGTCAATGGTGCATTAGCCTAATTCCGGTGACCGGTGACCCTAATTATTAATTTGGTGTTCATTTTGTGGGTAACCATGCTCAACGATTTTAATCCGATTAGCTTCAGAGCTCCAGCTGCTCAAAACCAGCTGTGATGTTTTCTTATCTTCCTTTTTCCTTTTTCTTTACTTGTTGTTGTTTGTTGATGTAGTTTGTTTTGTTAACAGTTAGTTGTTAGTTAATAGTTTGCTGTTATTGTTATATGAGGGCACTGGGCAGGCTAGAAAGAAAAGGTTCAGTTCAGAGTACAGGTTGTTTATGTTTTGTTTGGAATTTGGATACTCAAAATAGGCTAGTTCACCTTACATCTTATTGAATTAATTCACTGTTGATAGGCATGATATGATCAAATTCTCGGAAACTCAATTTTGTATGACCTAGCTTTTTGATTTAAGAGCTAGGATCAAACTACAGTACCAACTTTGTGAAACAGTTAAATGTTTTGTCGTCTACCCTTTTCTTATGAAACAATAATAAAATTTCTTTTAATCATTGTGTTAGGTGTGCTCCTGCTGAACATTTATATTTTGTCAATTCTCTTTGGCAGTGAAAAAGTCAAGACTAGGCCGAAATTTTTGAAACAAGTAAGTTAGGCCTAAGTAGGTTTTGATGATCAGGTAAAACTATCAACCTCCAGTCAACGTTATAAAAAAATTTTTTTTTTCCAAAATGTTCGTTTTTTGGTGCTGATTCCAAAAATGATATTCATTTTTTGGGGAAACGTCCCGCCCAACAACCTAACCTAACCAAACTCAACCTGACCTAAACCAACCTAACCTAAACTAAATTAACCTTACCAAACCTAACCTGCATTCCACAATTTTAGGTTCGTTTACTTACAATACTCATGTTATTGATAAACTAACCTAATCTAACCTAACCAAACCAAACTCGGCCAAACCAAACTTAATCTAACCTAACCAAACTTAACCTAACCTAAACTAACTTAACCTAACCTAACCTAACCAAACTTAACCTAACCTAACCAATTCTAACCTAACCTAACCAATTCTAACCCAAAATAAAGCACACATTCTACAATGGCTTAGAGTCACCCGCAATGCTAGCGCTATGCGGGTGACTATCTTTAGTATATAAGTAGCCAGCGGCCGCTTTTCCAGTGATATTTTACTTAATAGTCTTGTTCTAATATTCTTGTTCAGGAGGAAATTCCGCACAATTTGAGTAACTTACCCACAACATGGGTTTTGGGCAAAAAAAGATTTTTCCCGTTTTTCCCATTTTCCGGGAAAACGGGACGTTTCTGCAAAAAATGAATATTATTTTTGGAATCAGCACTAAAAAACGAACATTTCGGGGAAAAAAATGTATTTTTAGAACGTTGACTGGAGGTTGATAAGCCTATTTTGCGTGCTGTGTTTGCTTGGTTTTTCTTAGGTTAAGTTTTACATAATGATTGTATATATTGACAAGTGTATTTTTTGACGATGCCCATTGCATTTTGTACAATGCTTAAAGGAAAATAAGTTTCATTTCATTTCATTTACCGATGAGCATTTTAATTTTGATCAAATATTTAATAATAGGCCTATGTAATCATGTTTAACCTAATTAGTAAATAATTATGTTCCTGGCCGTTACGTCCTACACTCATTCAAATGAATATATCGATCGATATATAGATTTTTTCATTCGATATATCGAGTTTGGTTAGATAGGTTAAAACCTAACCTAACTAACCGAATGAAATAATTGATATATCGAATAATCTAAATAGGTATCGATATCTTTTATTTGATAAACCTATAAGATATCAAGTTTGGCTAGTTAGGTTAACCTAACCTAATTAACCGAATGAAATAATCAATATATAGAAAAATCTATATATCGATATTTTTCATTCGAATGAGTGTAGGACAGATAATAAATTGCAGCCACTGGTAACTTAATTGTGCACAAACCTAACATGTTCAGAAAAGTTACTTGGTTAATAATAGTTAGCCTTCCAAGATTGAATTTAAAACTCAAGCCAAAAAAACTTAGCTTGTTTCCTAACGTGAGCAATAAGTTAACTTATTAATTTTACTTTTAGGCCATTGTTGTGGTGGTGACGTAGATCTAGCCTATCAGAAGCAGCCTCTATCATAATATTAGTCCGTAGGCCTAAATACCTAGTTAACCTTTTATTTGCCTCTGTAAACACGAGGGTTTGTGTCAGGAATCTAAACACATCTAGTTTTGTATCAGTTTTGTAATTATGTATATCTAACATGTGAAACTTAATTGTATTTTTTTCAGAATGATGAAGTTTATATTAAAGCAGAACCCTTCAAACAAAGTAAGGGCATCCACAATGTCAACCAGTCACCTAAGAAAGCAGTGTTTGTTCAGATCAACACCACAGATTTGGCCACAAAGAAAATCCTAGAAAAGGTGGCTGTTCTTGAGAGACAAAATTTTGGTCAATTCTTTCCTGCGAAAATCAAACGCTACCATCAAGCAGTCTTGCACGATGTTAAAGTCACTGAGCCATTTTCAACTGAACTCCTCAAAGATTCTTTTAAAGTACGTGTGTAGTAAGTTATTTTTTCTATATACAGTAGTTCCAAGCAACATATTTTGGAAATACGTTGGATTTGAGATGCTGATTTGTCTGTAGGCCTACAATGGTTTTATTTTTGTATGTACAACAAGCCTATTCATTAAAGAGAATTTTAGTAAGGCTAGATGTTTACTAGTAAAAAAACAATCACATTAGGCTACGATTATTTTGTGAAAAAAGAATCGGACATAGTTTAACTAGAATTGACAAACATATTCTTGTCTTCAAAGTCCAAACTGACTCATGAGAATAATGAGATTCTTCCAATTGTAAATTCAATGATCTGCCAACTCCCTGTGTTGATAGTGGACCAGTGGGCGCCAGCTGTTCCCGGAACCAATGATTCCGCCTCTGGGGCGACTGCTCAACTCGCTGTGTTCCAGCAAGGTAGAGAAAGCCGATAACATGGCGCAAGGAACACAGCTCAAACTGCTCCTCACCCTTGAAGGTGGCTTGAAAGCTGTGTTTAAGCCTCAATGGTGAGTTTAAAGATTTTAAATCTTGAGCTTGACTATAGAGTCCCCATTTATATAGGATATAACTTACCGTAATAATTAAGGATTTAAAAAGCCCAACGTAACAGGTTGTCAGCATAATTTAGTATTAGTTTCCCAACTTATTTGAAACCTTAAACATTATTGAAATATTAATCCCATTGCCAATAGTACTATATTTTATCCAATGCTGTTCTTTATCGCACAACAGTAAGCTCTGACCAACCTGTTATAAGACCATGCATTATGATTTATGATTTCAAATTTTAATAATCTCTAGGTTAATTCTTTAAAAATATCCCTCATTGCTTTGAAATATCATACAAAAATATAAACGTTCACAAAAAAATTTTCTTTTTTTTAACAGCTTTAGGGCTATTTTTGGTTTGTCAGGGTTGGTACGGTCAGGGAAAACCTGGAAATGTCAGGGAATTTTGTTGGTCTGGAAAAGTCAGGGAATTTTGGAAAAAATCTGGAATTTCTCTTGAAAGACTACATTTTTTACAGATATGCTACATTTTGCATCTACGTCTCAATACTTGGTCAAAAACATCGAAGTTTGACAAAAATATTGATGTAACAAAAACATTGGGAACCTACCGTCAATATAAAAAACATCAAACATCGACAGACATTCTATCATCACCCTCTGATTACTGGCTTTAGTTGAACGCACCGAGCTCCCAGTGTGTCTACACGACTAAACAAATATAATCCCGGTCACTAAGTTAAGAAATCCCGTTTAATCCCTTAAGATTTTTGATGTTAAATTCTTAGTGTTAAATTAGACATATTGTGTTTAAATAGTTGTTTTAACGTTGCTATTATATTTTGTTAAGGTACCTAATTATTTCGATTGGGGTTAGTTTTTCACTACATTAAAGCATAGTAAATAAAAACGGACGTCATAGCCAAAACTCCTGTTTTATCCCACATCCCCTTCAAATCCCGCTCATGCTCTAAAAATCCTGTTTTCGGGATATAATCCCACGTATGGAAACACGGCTAGTACCGCGATGCACGGAGGGATAGGCCTACATTCATCGTTTCAATTTCAATACGATACTGAATACAATTCCTCATTGAATTTATACCAATACTGATTCAACCTTTAATAAACTAAAAAAAAACTGCACTTAGAGGAGTTTATAACAAAAATTTTATTCTGTTAGTTGAAACATTTTAATAGTTTCGTTTGGTACTACTTTTTGTCTCCGGTACAAGCATGGTAGTTATTTTTCCAATATCACATGTTTCTTTCGATATAAGCCGATGATATCGCAAGCAAAATATCGATATATATCAGTATCAGAAGCACCGTATCGTCTATCTGCTAGTGTCAAGTCAAGGCCAAGTAGAACATTCGGCCAAGTGTGAGGTTAAGTTAGTCGGTACCCTTAATTTTCCAGATTCCAGATGTTTAATTCTTTTCTTATTGGTTTTATGAGTAAACTATTTAGGCCTAAATTTTTTTAAATAATTCTTGATTCTGACTACCGGTATTCGATATCGTCTTACGGTATACCTGGAAAAAGTATAATATCAGTCTGTAAAACCTGGAAAAGTCAGGGAATTTCATTTTCCAAAATCAGTACCAACCCTGTTTGTGTAATGTAGGCTATAGTGTTAATATTGTTATTTGATATTTTTATCGAACACATTAGCAACTAATTAAAAAAATTTTGGCATTGAGGGGGTTTTCCTTTTTTAGCTTTTATTGAATAGGCCTAGGCCTACATAAAGAATTAAACTGTTTACTCTTTACATGGAATAATGTAGTGTTCAGCTTACTTACTGACCTAACATGTTTTCTGTGTATTAGGTACAAAAGGACAGAGGTTATTGCAGGGTCTGTGTACGCAGGAAAGGATCGTCACAATGGAGAGGTGGCTGCCTTCCACCTGTCATGGTTACTTGGTCTACGAAGAGCTCCGCTGACTGTCGGACGTAGAATTGATCTGCGTCAAGAAGTCATGCCTGTGGCAACGAATGAACTTCTGAAAACATTTGATCAAGAAGGTACACTTTGTATAGTTTAATTGCTAACTTTTATTGATGTAAAAATGTACAGTATTGTGTATTACAGGCAACAAATCATATTTTTACTTGGGTTCAATTATTAGATTAACACTCGTTCGCTACCAATCGTCAACTATAGTTGACGCCAGACTTTAAGTCACTGCCCTAACCTGCAGGCTAGATTTCCCTTTAGGACCAAGCTTATTTAATTGAACATACCCACTGACCAATCTTTTCTATTAGTTTTTCTGATCCAGGTTGTCTAAATAACATTTGCAACATTAAATTCGAATTGCAATATAAAATTCAATCACATAGGGTATTTAAAATCTTTTTTATTGACCACTATAGTTTACATTGATCCATCGCTTACTTTGTCGTATATATCGATGTCTTTATTCTTATACTTGTACTTATACTTTTCAATGAAATGGCGACCATACAAAGTAGGTATTTTAAGCCAAGTTTGAATGGAGATGAGTGTAGGATGAGTGTTTAACAATTAGTAGTACCGGTATGTCGATCTTTATCCATGATATACACAAAAAAGGTTATAATAAACACTCCAACTCACCTCAAGACCTGTATAAATTTATGTGTAAAAAAGCCTACCAGGAAGAAAATCACCCACATGGAAACCACAGCAACAGCATATTTAGGGGCTATTCCAAGACCTACAACTAACAACCAAGTCGATAAAATAAACCTTACATTTGTAACAAGCCATACAGTGTGTGAATGTTGGCGTCAACAGTAGTACACGTCAGTTCAGTCAACTAGAGTTGACACCAGTCTGTGGCAAAACTACCTATGTCAACCATAGTTGACGCTGGTCTGTGGTAAAGGAACTTATTTAACTTGTTGATAGCACACGTGTTAACTAATTTGTAGGCCTATTTATTTGGGGTTCGCAAACCAGACTTCTTTACAGTGGGTCAACGGTCAAGTGAATTGAACTGATTTAAAAGCATTAATTGTTATACTATAATGAGTTTACAGAACAGGTACTGTACATTGGCTCCCGCAGTTAGGCCAACATTTAAATAGTGAACATCTATTGTGGTCGTGGAAAATGAATGTCTCCTTTGGTCAAGGAGCAATTGCAAACCTCTCTTGTGAAGAAATCGCAAATGTCTCCTGCGTTCCCTGTTAAATCGCGAATGCCTCCTATGATCACGTTGAAATTAAGAGTTTCTTCTGCGGTCGTGGCAAAATCAAGAAATTACAGGTTTCTACGGATTATGCCACTTATCAGATTGCACTATTTTACAAAGTATTGTGTTAAACATGCGATACCATGTGTTTTTACACAGTTTGCCACTAAAATATTGTATTTCACAGACAACAACACATGTTTCTATGGAGTCTGCCACTACTGCGGGCCGCACGACCCTGTGTGTGCCTCGGGACAGGTGTTGGAAGGATCCCTGATACTGTGGCTGCCTGAGGAATTCCCCTTGAAGAAGTTTCGCCACCCCTGGCAGAGAACTTACAAACCAAATATTCCAGCCAGGTATTTAGGATATTCTTACCAGTTCCAAATCAATTATAGTCTTATTCTCTGCCACTATTGACAGAGCTCCAAGCTTGTAATGTTTTTTCCGCAATAATTAATTGTGTGACAAAAGAAATAGTATACAGTAGACTCTCGCTCACTGACTAATGTGGCGGACGTCCGGTCCGGATTACGAAAAATCTGGACTATCGAGAGTTGAATGTATATAGCCGTTTTTTTTTTTCAATCTTGTTCCAGGTCCACAGTATTGATAGCCGGGCAAATGCAGTTCCACCGGTAATAAATTGATTTTTGGTACTATTTGGTAGAGAAATATCTGTTTATTCAATCATAAATCACTTATTATTTGTACTGAAATAATTTGTAATACTGTAAAAACTGTAAACATTGGCCGGACTTTTAACTCTTTAAGAGTTCGAATGACAGGCCATCGTTTTGATGTGGTACATGGAGACAAAATAAAACCAATCTATAATCATGCTGCTCACCACAACCAAAGTTTTGAAGGCTGCTACACCCTAAAAGCCCTTCACAAAGTAAACCCACATCAAAACCCTAAATGCAACCAACTGGTCTTAAGAAATTCTGAATAGGCTCACCAGTTGGTACTTAAAACAAAGTTCCCCTCTGGTTTAAATTTAAGATGGTAAAAAAGTTATTCAACTAAGCTGAATTTTAATTTTCTTTTAGGCTGATTTTATTTTTATTTTTTTTATCTGTACTCAATCATATGTTCTCAAAATTCAACTATTTGTAAACTGTTCACATTTCTTTGTTTTGTTAATTTTTACATTTTTCATTAATTTCTGTCTGCTTGAAAACATTTGTAATTTTGTATTAAACGAATATTTGCACTGTTTCATTTTTATAATTTTTCAAGAAATCCTCAAGAACAATATATATATATATACACACACACATATATATAAGAGGATGTTGGTTTGTTTGTATGTTTGTATATTTTATTTGGCAGTGATAATCTCAGACACCGCCGGACTGATGGCCACGAAACTTGGTACGGGAGTATTTCACATGTTCCAAATCGGATGATCCAAAACATTTATATTGCTGATCGGAAGATTTAAAATCATTTGATCCAATAGTTAAATAACCGATCTTTTGGTCCAAAATCGGAAGATCCTACGTTTGTATTGCAGATCGGATGATACATAGATCCAAAAGTACAGTCATAACCAAAAGTACAATTTTACTTCGTGAAGTAAACTTATGAAATAGACTGTCCGTTTCACTTTGGATCATTCGATCGTAGTTGGGTCGTTTGATCCAAAAGTATATGTGAGATCGGATGATCTAAAAGTATGAACTATTGCGTCTCTCAGATTGAAGGTGTTCAATTATTCGCCATCATCATCCGTGTTCTTAGCAACGGTATAGAGTTTCTTAGGTGATATGAATTATTTATTTTAATTAATCTCTCTGCATTCGTACGTACTACATATATTATATATATATATTTGTAATTTCTGTTTACTGTTTTGGACTATTGTCAATAATTAAGCGAAATAGCCAATTTATTCAAATAATTATTAAAGAAAACTAAGTCAATTGCACATATCCTGATTTCGCACATCCTTTATGGTAAGGAAAAACTACATTATAAAGTTAAATCGTATGTTCAACGACAATCACTATATTTGTGTAAAGAAATAATTCTTAACATAAGCATTAAAATGTAATTTAATTTTAAACCACCTTTTAGTTAAAACAGCCTGATACAACTTTAAATTGTTAGCGCCGGTTGCTAGTATAAAATTAACACTTAATTTCTAAAACACACTAAAGTTAGCCTTACCGAAAGTTGTGGCTTCAACTTTTCATATTTCCTAAGTTTACTTTACAATGTAAAATTGTACTTTTAGATCTACCGATCTTTGGATCATCCGATCTGCAATATAAACGTTGAAACAAACGATTTTGGATCAACCGATTGGCAATATAAGTTTAACTTTAATCATCCGATTTTGGATCATTTGAAGATGGTCCCTTGGTACATACAAGTAGAATTTCATGGAATAGGTTTATACACCATAAATTTCGTGATCCATCCAAACGGCTCCGCCCCAGTGGCATTATTAAATGCATCTTTTTTTATAAACTTCAAAACTAATTATAAGATGGGTACAACTCTTTCAAAGTTTTATTGTGAAACTAAAATTTGGATTATCACAGAGTAAGATTATTGTCTTTTCATTTACAAAGTTAACACCCACACATATCAATCATTAGTTTATCTCAGGCTCAATCCAATTATCTTATTATATTTTAAAGCTCTTCCGAATCAAAAGACCCAGGCCTAGACCTACTTATTTAGGAGGGCCTATATAAATTGATTAGGTTACAATGAGGGTAGCAAAATCACTATCATAATTCTAGTTCATAAGATATAGATTGCATAAAGTACCTTCAACACAATAAAAAATACAGGAAACAAAAAAACAAATAGAAAGATAAAAAAACCATAACAAACATTTTAGCTTATAAAATAAGATTGTAGATTAGTTACAAGTTTAATATGTAGCCATAAACAGTTTTATGGCAATAGGCAATGACCAGCGGCAAATTGAATATTCACGAAAATACTGACTGAGTAAGAGATAAAATTTAACAGTCATCATAAAACTATTATTTTTATGATAAAATAGAATTGGGGAAAGTCGTAAAGGAATAAAAGTGATAAAACTCAACATTTCTTGGAAGTACTTGAATACGACAATATGTTGTGATAAAATGTTTATGGATTTGGGAATGCTAATGGGTTTTTTATCGCATCATCACCCTAGTAATAAATTATGAAGATCGTAAACAAACATCTGATAAGATTTTTATGTGTTGAGAACCAACTGTTGACTACGATAGTAAACTGAAAGTACTTTATTACAGTATTATTATAGGCTGTACCTAACCGATCTGTACCATGTAAAATGCTGTACCGAACCGATGACGGTAATTAAGCTTGTACCGTACTGACTTTTTCGGTGCACCGCAGACCCCTAATATTTACTTATGTCATAGATGGGAGTTGGATGCCGGCTACTGCCAAGTTGTCCGCAAAAGTGAGATGTACTCCACAGGTCCCCGTCTACTAGACATCATCGACACGGCAGTCTTTGACTTCCTCATAGGGAACGGAGACAGACATCATTATGAAGTCTTCCAAAATATAAACGATTCTGCTGTTTTATTTATTGACAACGGAAAAAGGTACCTACATGAACTTTTGTTCATGTATTTTTCTTAATTTTATTTTCATCTTTGAGATCAACACTTTACTCCTATATTTTTACTTTCTCACCGTGTCAACAAGTTATATTTGTAATTTTATAAATAAATAAACGGTATCAGCATTCTGATACATACTTTCTCCCATAAGCTCGTCAACAACCTTTATCATGGGTAAGCGGTAAGATTAAAAATGATATTTTATAGTTAAAAATCACAAAAGTTGCAATAACTTTTGAAAAGTAATTGTTACAGCAATGGGGTGTTGTACTATTTTAAAAGCAAAATTACCTGTTATCTACGCCTGACTACCCAAACAGCCTCTATGCATTTATTTTTCAACTTTCAATCTATTGTTAATCTTTTCACTTTCTTTCCAACAAATGTATTACTAACTTAAGGTGTTTTTTGCAGTTTTGGAAACCCGTACGTGGACCACATTGATATTCTGGCTCCTCTTTACCAATGTTGCAGGTAAGCTCTTTTGTAAACTTTTCTTGCAATTATTTTGTGCAACCAAGCATTCATAACCATCAATTCATCATGGTTTTCCTATTTCACAGGTTGCGTTCTACGACGTGGACCCGTTTACTTTGGCTGCAGATGAAGACCATAAGTGAGCCATTACGCGAGGTGTTGGAGTGGAGTCACATCGCTCCAGTGCTCTCTGATGCTCACCTGACTGCGCTCGATCGCCGATTGTTAGTCACCATCGCAGCCGTGCATTTGTGCTTCACCGAGCGCAACGGTCAACACAATGTTATAGTCAATGACTAGCAGGGTCACTAAGGCTGGTTAGCAAATTTCAGTCTCAAGAGGAATCTCAATTGTTTCCTTTGCATAAATGGTTGTAGAGTGAAGTAGATGTGGGAAGGATATTTCAAGAGGTGAAGAAAATGATTGGCAGTCTACCTTTATTTATATTTAAATATTTAAATCCTCAAAATTAGATTTCTAGTCCTCTAACCACTTCCCTGACACTGTTGGAGTTTTCCTGAAAAAAATCTATGAGTGGTGCAACTATCATTTGTCATTCCACTGGGTCGTGAATAAATCGTGCTTTCTAACTGGCTGACAATGGACTATAACGAGACTAAGATTTGGATGTCTTCCTGAAAATTCCCATGGCCTAAAAAGACTCCAAATGAAAACCAAAGATATGATAGACTAAGGTTTTAGAGTAAAGATTAAATAGACTGACTTAGAGTGACATAGTAGAAGTTGGTGATCAATCACTAATAAAAATAATGCTCAGTAGAGCCACAGTATTAATATTAGGGCTGTGCTGATCTCCTTATGTGATTTTGTTCACAACCATTTAGCACACCGTAGAAAGCTCCCATTTGATACCTATCTTGGTGTTGTGCATTAATAGTGTCCAAAGAAAGGCACTACTCATGGGTTGTTTTATGTGTGTCATCCGCTGTTTTTCAATGTAGAATACATATTCCAGATAGTGGAGATGTTAAGAAACGTTAATTGTAAAAAATTTGGTGCAACGTTTCTCACCTGGTGATAAATCCATGATTGTCAAGCGAGTAAAATCAACGTTACTCAAGTATGAATTGGGTTGGATTGTTTTATGCAGCTCTTACATTTGTAGCTTTTACATGTAAATGTGTTCTTAGATATGTGTTTCCATTTCATTAAAAACACTCAGTATCCGATACCGACTCCTGTAATCACTCAGGTTTTATGTTGGTAGCAGAGCATAGTTTGGCCAAACAGTTTATTAACAGAATTTTTGCTTGTATATATCTAACAACCAGTGTGCTTTCTGAAACAATTTTTCTTTCCCAATTTTCCGTTTATTGAGACTGTATTGCTTCATAGTAACGTTGCAGTTCTTGTATGTCACACGTTATAAACATTACATAGTCTTTCAGTCTCTTGGGAGCTTCACAACTCTTACTTAACTTGAACTTTCATCTATTTCTGATTCTACCTCCAATGATATTGTCCTCAGTTCTTAATTCTTTTAAATATTTTTCTTCTTGGGGTTTTAACATTTCAAGGCATGATAACTATAACAAGGATCTCTCAAATAATGGCTCTTCATGAAAAATTACATCTCTTGACCTAATCAAATTGTTTTCCCTTACACCAGATTCGATACCCACCTATATTATTACAACCAATTAAAATACGGAATTCTTTATATCTTTTAACATTTAGGTTTTGTAACATGTTTATAACAATTACATCATATCCTTAGATTCCTTATTACTGGCTTCTTTCCTAACAGCTCAATAGAAGATATCTCATGTACACTTTATGGTCCTGTTCAGTTTAAAATGTAGGCTGCTGTGTTGACCATTTCAGCCCATAATCTTTCTCTTAATGTCTCATGAGCGTGCTTCATCACTCAAGCAGTCTCCACCGTCAAATTGTCTCTCACTATAGTTGTTATATTCAGGCGAGTATGGCACTGTCAATCACTGCTTGATCCAATGATATTGTCAAACTTACCAATGTTGTAATGTGTATTTCCTTCACAATCACTCCCGTAGTCTTACTTTCACCCCAAAACTTTTAATATTTCAGTGGTATTTCAGACTTCTGCTTCATGAAATAGACCTGACTGTATCTAAACAGTAGAATAAAATAATTGATAACCTGACACTTAATCTTACAAATGTCAGCATACCAGACTTAGTTGCTCGTTCTCGAGTACCGTTCAATTTTTCACATGTAATTTATTATGGTGTCCTTAACGTTCATGATAAATCTGCAACAAGTTCTCATCTGAAATTTGTTTGTTGAATTTATATAATTCAGTGGTTTGATTGCTCTCAGAGCAAACCAGGAGGCCTTGATTCCAGAACGAGTTGACGCTCTTCAAGAAGTGGAAAGACCCACAGTCACAAAGTCGTTGTCTCGAAGCAAGTTTGTATAAACCTCCTCTTCTGATGCATGTACCAAACAGCTTTACTTCACCATTAACTTTCAAGAAACAAGTTTCAGTTCTTGAATAGAGCTCAAAATATATGAGGCAAATCTTGAGTGGCAAGCACAAACAATAGGGTTTTCTTAATGTTAATACTAGGTATGTAACACGGACATCTTCGGTTTAATGCTGCTTCCACCTCTACGGTACGGGTACCTTTCCCTAGAGCGCAGACTGGTCTTTCATTTTCCGTTTTCATTACACGATTCTACAAAGGGCTCAAGGGTCCCTGAAATAAGTCGGGAGTCTGAAATAAGCCGTCTTCTTTAAAAGTTACATGATTAGTTGCTCTGTTTTCTACATACCAGCAGTCTTCATTATTAACTTAACTGAATGATATGTGTCCCTGCTGAAGAATACTAAACAGATACATCAAGCGTTCCCTCTGAGAAACTGTCGTACAGTTATGCAGTTCTAGCCTTTGAAAAACACATAACCTTTTGTAAAGATTTCTCCGTCATGTTTTAGGATGGAACAGATTTTCCCTTGTGCACTATCCCTTTGCTGTCTGAATAAAAGTCACATTGTGTTCTATTTATTTTAGAGAAATTAAAGAATCATTGGTCACTAGTTAGTAAAAAAATTTATGAATGTTTTTCTCTAAAATAAGCCGTCTTCTTTAAAAGTTACATGATTAGTTGCTCTGTTTTCTACATACCAGCAGTCTTCATTATTAACTTAACTGAATGATATGTGTCCCTGCTGAAGAATACTAAACAGATACATCAAGCGTTCCCTCTGAGAAACTGTCGTACAGTTATGCAGTTCTAGCCTTTGAAAAACACATAACCTTTTGTAAAGATTTCTCCGTCATGTTTTAGGATGGAACAGATTTTCCCTTGTGCACTATCCCTTTGCTGTCTGAATAAAAGTCACATTGTGTTCTATTTATTTTAGAGTATTTAAAGAATCATTGGTCACTAGTTAGTAAAAAAAATGTATGAATGTTTTTCTCTAAAATGTGGCCATCAATAAATCCTACAATTTTATAAACAATCGTTATACATTTATCTGTTAAGTGAACATTTGTTTTTTATACTTATTTATATGTAAATAAATGTATTTTTACATAAAAATGTTTTAATTTTATCATGTCAGAGGCATAAAATAAACTTAAGCTGTTTTTTGTTTGTTTGGGTGTTACCATCCCTTAAAATGAATGTTAAGGAAGGGAATAGTAGGGGGGGGGGATGTTAGGGGAATGTTGTAGTAGGGAATAATTCTGGACAATTTAATATTTTTATTTTGTAGACAATTTAATAAGCAAAAAGGAAATGGATCCAATTAGCTCCAAGAAGTAGCTGTAGATACATCTTTGAGCGTCTTATTTTCATTTTTTGAACCAGAAAAGTGTATTATCAAGTTACAGTGATCTATCAAGATTTTAGTATTTACAGGATGTTGTAGTTGTCTTAACATCCATTCGAGCAACATACATTTTGCACCTCACAACCTTTTTAAACATTTAGTCAACCTGAAATCCTTGTGTGGGAAGCTTGTTAAAACATTGTAGTGTGGCATAAATACATATTAGGGTGGGCTGAAAAAAAAAATTATTTTTTTTTCTTAATGCTATACCGAAAAAAACTTGTCTCTATGATGGGTTATCAAAATGCAACAAAGAAAAAAAATCTATACCTAACCTCTAGCTAGCGCATTACACTTGAAATTTCAAAATTTCACTCAAATTATAAGCTTTTGTAAATATAATTAAAGCATCTAAATACCTGCATATTGGACTGCTATAGTGATATTACGTTAGAACAGAGCCTTGGAAATACAATAAGTAATTGCAGAAGTTTAATTGTATTAATCTGAGGTAGCGCAATAGTCATTACAATGACGCATTTTTGAGTCAAGTGCGGGATGACAGCTGCGAGTTCGGGCGATGACCCGGCGGCCTTGCCGGGCTCCCCCACCCATACTCTCCACACACCCACAATGCACTTCGCGGGGAGACGTTGAGACGGCCTGTCACTCGGCAGTTTACATCTGTGTACGATTTTGGACTGACGTTTGAGTTGATCTTGTAAATTATGTTTATAATTTTTTGAGTTAAGTTTATTGTGCGTGATGGCCGTTGCCAAGAAAGTGACTCGGAGTGACTTTGATTGTCCTTTGTTTGGCTGTCCAAGGGAATTGCCTGTGAGTAAGCTTCCAAATTACCAGGATGTTATTAGGAGCTGTTTCCATGAACAGTATGTACTAGCATTAGAAAGTAACAAGCCTGTTAGTTTCTCTCAGATATCAAATATTGTTGCTCCAAAAGTAAAAGCAGTCTTTGACAAAGCATCAATACCAACAGTGACGCCTTACAGAATCGTTCAGTTAATAAACTCATACCATGATAGCTACCGTAATCTAATGAAGTCCTTTAAGCGTGACAAGGAAAAAGAGAAGTACAAACAAAAAGTTGAGGAGTTCAGGCAAAAGGCTTTATCACTATTTGATGTATCTGCATGTAAATGTAAAATAACATACTCATGCAACTGCAAAAAAGTCCCTGAGATCTGTGAGTGCCCTTTGTCAATTTCATGTAAATGTGAAAAAGACAAAAAGATTCCCGTGCTTGAACTTAAGTTTATGTATTTCCAAAGATATCTTGGACAAGGAAAAATTGGAAATGTAGACAAGAAGGAGTCGAAAAAAATAATCAAAAGACTGCAACGTAAGGAAATAAAAAATCGGGTTGTGTCGTCTAACATTCCACCAGTTTCATATTCCCAGCCTACATGCTCTAAGAATGTGACGGAGTCAAACATAGATCCAGACAAAATCTTAATGGAAAAAGAAAAGTCTGATGATTCTGATGACGACTACATTCCTATTCCGAGTTCTACTAAACAGCAGTGGCAAATGCGTATACAATTAAAAAATACCGTATTGGCAAGTGACCGATTTGGGGTTTCGGACAGAGCAACAGCTGCTATTGCCTCTAGTGTACTTCATGACCTAGGTCTTGCAACTAAAGAGGACGATTCCCTCATAATAGATAAGAACAAGGTTAGAAGGGAAAAACAATCATTCAGATCGAATCTCCAAGATAGAATAAAAAATGAGCCGGACGTAATTCAAGGGCTATATTTTGATGGCCGAAAGGATAACACATTGAAGATTGACAAACTGAATCAAAAGTGTTTTAGAAGAACTGTAAAAGAGGAACACTACTCTATCATTCAGGAACCTGGCTCAATTTATGTTGGCCATGTATCACCAACTACTGGAACTTCAAAGGACATTGCCAGTGCTGTCTTGGACTATTTACATGAGCAAAATTTTTCGCTGGATGAGCTTGATGTGATTGGATGTGATGGTACTGTCACAAACACCGGCTGGAAAACTGGTGTAATTCGCAAAATCGAAGAGAAAATTAAAAGACCACTGCAGTGGGGAGTTTGCCTTTTGCACCTAAATGAATTACCATTTAGGCACTTGTTTCAAACTTTGGATGGTGAAACGACTGGTCCTACATCTTTTAGTGGTTATATTGGCTCGAAACTCAAAAATTGTGAAAAACTTCCAGTTGTGCAGTTTCAAAGCATTGATTGTGACATACCAGAAATTGATAGGAAAATCTTAAGTAAAGACCAACAGTATCTTCTGGACATAAGTTCGGCTATAAAATCAGGCACCTGCTTGGCAGACTTGGCAGTTCGTGAACCAGGTCCTATTTCTCATTCTCGATGGCTGACAACAGCAAACAGAGTACTGCGTCTCTATTTAAGTGTTGAGAATCCATCTGAAGAACACCAAACTTTGGTACAATTTATACTTAAATCATACATGCCTGTATGGTTTAAGATTAAAAAAAGTAAATACCTTACTGATGGACCAAAACATGTTTTCGATTTAATAACATCATCAAGATTCCTGCCAGAAAACTTGATTAAGGTGGTTGATCCTGTGATCGAAAGAAATGCTTTTTTCGCACATCCAGAAAACTTGCTACTGAGTATGATCGTTGATGAAAGGGCTCATATCAGAGAGTTGGGGTTTAGAAGAGTTATTAAATCAAGGGCCGTGGCTTCCAAAGAAAAGCTAGTCCGAACTTTTAAACCTCCAAAACTCAACTTCCAGGCAAAAGAATATTACGAAATTATTGATTGGACTACTACAGCTATTTATCCACCACCTCTGTTACGAAGAGTAACCGAAGAAGAAATGTGGGCCAAGATTTCAACTGCCAGTACAGCAGAAGAATGGAACTTTCATAAATTCCCGTGTCACACACAAGCAGTTGAGCGCTGTGTGAAATTGGTAACTGAAGCCTCCTCAAAAGTTGTTGGCGTCAAGAACAGAGATGGTTTCATCCGAACAACACTGCTTTCACGAGCTTCAATGCCAAGTTTTACAAGCAAACATGATTTCAAGGTTCCAAATATGTAAATAACTATTCAGTGAGAGTCAAATAGACTACAATTTTGCAGCTTGGGAATCGAAATTTGTATTTAACAATCTATTTTGTATTCATTAAATCCATTTTGATATATGTATGTAAATTGCTTATATCTTTATTTAATTTTCCAAGAGGTTTTCTTAATTTAAGTACCAACATTATAGATCTAAAAACACAATAGTAGTGGGTACAAAAAAGTTAGAGAATGTACTGCACTGCAGTTGGTTAGCATTAAAAACGTCACAAATTTACTATATTGAAGGCCTTTGCGCCACCTCAAATTTAAAAATTACAAAAATTCCTATAGTTTATTGACTATTTGTAACTCTAAAATATATTATTTTCACTATAGCAAACTAATATATAAAGGTTTAGATACTTTTAAAAAATTTTAAAAATCCTATGATTTGAGTGAAATTTTGAAATTTCAAGTGTAATGCGCTAGCTGGAGGTTAGGTATAGATTTTTTTTCTTTGTTGCATTTTGATAACCCATCATAGAGACAAGTTTTTTTTCGGTATAGCATTAAGAAAAAAAAATAATTTTTTTTTTCAGCCCACCCTAATACATATACAGGATAAGACACATAACGTAACATACCCACCACCGCAGCATAACTGCAGGCTAAGCAAATTTTCATTTGCCTAATTGGAGTTTCACTAAAATATCTCCTTAAAAATGTCACATTTCCCTATTTAAATAACATTAAATAAATAAGTACTTAGGTTTGCTGCTACTGGGGTGGTAAGTGTTTTTGATCAAATGTTAATACAGGATAAAGTCTATACATTTTCCAAATTTGATCAAAATATGTTCATAAACAAAAAAACAAGCAAACTAAACCAGTTTACTTATTTCCCATAAGAATAACATGTTTAAGCTCGACAATATGGTATGGAAAGAAGTTGCAAAATCTTATGTTTCAGGGTAAAAAATGGGAAAACCTAATTGTTACCCCATAAACCAGTTCCCATAGTCCGATCATGCTGGTACGGGAACTTGCTCGAATAAATGTCGGTTTGACATGATTATACCAAATTTGATTAAATTAGACCACTTTTGCTAGAGTTAATTTTAGCACACTTTTTTCCTTTTGTTAGCACAACGGACATAGAAGAATTTAGTTTTTGAACAAATGGTTTTTTGGCCTTTGGGGACCTCAAAACGAAAAAGTAAATTGGTGCCGGGTCTAGGTCTTACAATAGCTTATTCCGTATTTGGGAAACTCGCCAACCATCAATACATTTACAACACTTGAATACAGAATCTTCAACTATTTTAAAAAGTTTGTAAACCTTAGAAATATTTTTTTTGAAAGTGTAATGAGCCTTGTCGAACTTTTTAAATATTATTGTGTAGCTCGTTTGGAGCCTACTGAAAAAACTCATATTAAACTTGTTTTTGAAAGAAAAGTAAGAGTGATTGGTAAATTAACTGGTCTCCCAGTAAACAACTTTCTGGTCAACACAGAGTGCAGAAAATAGCTAATCACTGTTTAGTGAGGCAAGAAAAAATAATTAGTCAGTTAGTTGATTTCAGCCAAACTAAAAATACCTATCTAGAAAAAATCTGTTTAAATAGACGAAAGACTAAACAAATTAAGTACTCGAGAACAAAACAGGAAAAGATATTCTCAACAAGTACAAAACAGGAACATCGTTTATTGTTATAATACAAAACTTAACCGTAAATTAAAGTGAAAATGTCTAGACTTTGCAGAGAAGAGCCGAGATGTAAGGGTTTCCTCGTGCCAAGGCTTCAGTTTTCAGCTGAGCTACTGCCTTGGACAGCTCAGTATCGGACATGTCCTTGGCAGCCAGGCTCTTGCACTGGGCAAGCATTTCCTCCATTATGTTCTCACCCTCCTAGAAAAGACATTACAATAATTTCTAACTGAACTACAAGTAGGAGTGCACACATGGATGCTTCTCAAAGTTACACGACCACGGGAGATGTTCATGATTTTGTTCCCATTGCACAAGAGGACAGAGGTGATGAAGATGTCCACGCAGCCGGAAATATGAATTTCTCCGCGGTTGTGGAAAAAAATAATGTCTACCTATATGGCCAAAAAATTATAATAATTAATTTTCCATTATATTGCAAAAGACGATGATGATGTTTCCATTACTGCGAGGGGTGTTCAGAATATTGTCTTGACCGCGGGAGACGATGGTGATGTCCACACAACAACGGGAAATGATCAGAATTCTTGATCGCGGGAGACGATGATGTGTACATGACCTCGAAGACAATCATAATCTTCATTGCAGTATGAATAGCCTCCGGATTGCGAAGAATAACTAATAAATAATGGTGGTTTAAATACCTAGTTTGTGTTCCACAACTAGTTTTGACCACATAGAAGGTTGAGACTAGTTGTGGAATACAACAATTGGATTGCCAGAACCAGGTTATTTAAACCTTTATTATTGGACGATCGTTAAGTCTACATCCCTTATCGCCTTGGGAGATGATCAGAATTTTGCCGTGATAGTGGAAGACAATGATGATTACAGGGCCACAGGAGACAATTATGATGTCTAAATTACCGTAGGAGATATTTGTGATTTTGCCGTGGTCGTGGGAAAACATTTTCGTGACTGCGGGTGACGATTTGGTGTTTCTGTTACCACAGAGCGGTACGTAGGATTTTGCCTCAACCAAGAAAGACATGATGTTTCCATGACTGAAGAAGATATTCAGGGATCCCAGAAGACGAGGATGATGCTTCCTTGACCGCAGGAGATAATCATGATATTACCTCAAGTTTGGCTTTACCAAAAATATCAGGATGGAACACCTCTTGTTATAATTTTTTTTATATCTTTATTTATATTTGAAAATATGGTTGTTATTTAATGTATTTACAAGGGTTTAAACTAAAATTGGCTAGTTGGACATTTTATTGCTGCATTTATTTGTTCTTAACCTACTTGAAAAACATCTCATTACTTCAAAATCACTTTATGGAATGACTTGGAGACAAGGGTTGGAGTAGTATAACCAATCCATAAAAAAAAAAAATATATTGACACATCACTAGACGAATTGTGTGTTCTTAAGGATGATCAACTGTTAACTGAATACTTCAGTAGAACTCCAACCTGAATCAATTGGAACCATACCACATTCATACAAACAAAAATTTGGATAACAAAACTCGAGGTATTGTCACATTGTGTGGTAAATAGGCTGAGTAGAGCAGAGCTTATACTATCGCAATCACAGAACACGTTCACCACTATTGCAGAGTATGATTGAGACAATGATGATATCTCTATAAGACCATAGATGATGTTCCAAGACTTTGTTACGATCAGGGAAGACGATGATGATGTTTCCGAGACCGTGGATGTCTACGTGACCGCGGGAGATGCTCAGAATTTTGCAGATAGCAGCTTTTGTTTTCTTTAATAAATGTTTCATAAATCTCTAGATTTAGGTTCTTAAAATTCTTTCTGTAAGCAATTCTAAGCTTTTCCTAACAGAAATGAATGCAAGACATATTTTTATTACAAAAACTACTAGTTTTCCCCTTCTGTTACTGATATTGGTTTCCACCCAACATACCTGAATGATTTTGCGTTTCTTAGCATCGTTTTCAGCAACTATCAAGCTCTGATAATCTTCAAGTTCAGAAAGTTTCCTTTTTGCATTCTGAAACATAAGTTGTGGCATGTTAAGTCTATTGACCTCTTGTGATCAATTGAAAAACTATTTACACATATTAATTGACATTTTTTGTGCTTTCTTCCCATAATACTAAATATTGTGGATAGTCTTTAAGCCATAGTCTTTATTATTATTGTTACTACTAAACTTTGAGGAGCTTAAAAATAACTGTTTACTTAATAATTTTGAAATATGTGAACTCTATTTTGTGTAATCTCTGAAAGGTTAAGATTTGTTAGAAGGATATAGGTACATGGAAAAATAACTTTCAAGTTTTGTTTTAACCAATCCAAAACTTACTACTTAAGATTTTAATATTACATAAGGTACATATGAATGGTTTTTATTGACAGTTTCATTGAATACTCTACCCAAAAGTGAACCTAAGTTTTATTTTTTTAAAGTTTTCTCAAATTACCATACCTCAATTACCATTGGAGGAAATCTTGCCATTTTCGCCACATGAATGCCAAAGCTTTGATCACATGCTCCTGGACGAACCTGAAGTATAAAAAGTAAGTATTAAAATTTAACAAGCCTTTAATAACAAAAATTGTTTTTTACAAATCGTTTCACTGTTCTTAGCTTAGTTACGGTCCATAGGGTATTTTTTTCTTGTTGCTTGATGGGGACAAGCAATATTTGACTTAAATTATATAAATGATTTCTATTTGTTTACATTACAACCCTTAACTATAGAAACAAACTATTTTTGTCATGAGTAACTCAATCGGACGTAAATAAAATTGTTTTGAGGCAGATGAAATATTGCGGCATCTAGCAGCTAGGCTTGAAGAAATCTCCTCAATCTCAGAAAAAAACCAACTCTCACAGGTGAATTCATTCAAAATTATTTGTAGCCTATAAAAACTCTAAAGTACCTTAAAAATGAGCCATAATCTGTAAAATATAATATTTCCAATACTACTTGGTAGGTACTAGTGACTTATCTGCCATACAGCATCCAGCCAGTTTAACTGCATTCAATTTACAACTCTGTGATGAAATTAAATGTTGCATATATTTCCGTTACCTGGTAGAGCAGCGTAAGAGAGTCTTCTTGGGTGACAGCTGTGACATGGCGGTTGGCAAGCGTCGGAACACTCTCACCGAGTCTTGTTAGCTCATGGAAGTGAGTAGCAAACAAAGTGAACGATTTTGCCTCAGAAGCCAAGTGTCTGGAAAGTAAGTGTTAGGTTTTAATGACAAGGGAAATTTTGAGGTTTTTTTATCCTAATCAAATAAAAAATCTTCATTCTTGTTCAGCCACAAGAAAAATTGACATTCCCAAAAATATTATACATAAAATGGCATCTTATCACTAATAAAACAAGCAAACATTTTACAAAGAGATGGAATAAATTTACACAAATGTACTGTACATACAGTAACCCTGACATTTTCTTCAGTTATTAACAAATCTTTCTATATTGACCAAATATTTAATCAATTCAATTGGTTGAGGGTAATTTTTACTGTAATTTATTTAAATGTGTAGGTCATAGACGGTTAACCTAGTCTGCAGTGATACAGGTACGCTTTGCGACAGTATTATGTAAAGAAGTTATCAATCATAGATATATATATCTAGTTTTGTAATATTATTGGTAATCTTTACTGTCCCTGCCTCAAATGCTTGACTAACACACCCAGTCTATTGTACAGCAGTTAATTCTACCTGTAGGAGTGTTCACTGTTCAGTAATAAACGTTTAAATTTCCTGTTGTTACAAAAAAAAAAGAATCTTCAACTTTAAACTAAAAGTTAAAATAGAGAAAAAGAGTTGTGTAGCCTCCGGATTACTATTTTATACTTAAAAATCGTTTAAATATCTGCAATAATCCTTGATTGCTAAGGTAGCGACTAGTTTCTGTTCATAAATGAACCATTCATCAGGAAAAACTAATACACAAATAATTGTAATATTTGTACCGTATATATTCTGTTGTGTGTAATGTGTTTGTTTTTCATGAATTTTTATTTACTAAACTTTATTAACGTCCTTCAAATGAAGTTATTAATGCTGGCTCCTTAAAATAGGCCTGAAACGAAATTAGTAGCCACTACAGCAGCCAAGAATTACTTTATTCAGGTATCTAAACCATTTTAAAGTAAAATAAGAGAACTGAAAAAAACCAAATACGCCGGAACAAAATTCTATAATAAACTTCCAAAGGACATACAAGCAGAAGTAAGAAATTTCTCATTAGCAGGGCTGTTTATTCATTTGATGAACTGTAATTGACTTCTCTTTCCCTACTAATCAAAGTATGTTTTAACTGTTAGTTTTTTGCTATTTTACAATTTTTCCCATTTACTATAAGCATGTATATTTTATTATAACTATATCATTAAGAAATGTGACACTATTCATGTATAATAAAAATGCCGAATGTACTTGATGAATAAAGATAATTTGAATTTGAAAGTATAAAAAATACAATTTAAAAAAATAACACTATGACCTGTGTAAAACAATAAATGATGATGGAGCATTTTCAAAAACGTTTCCGCTCTCTGTGGCGTCTTAAGTATATTTTTAAACTAAAACTTATAAAAATATCTTTAAGTTTACAAAAATACCTTATTATATGTTATAACCCGAAATTATCGGAGTCCAGAATCAAAAATCGTTTAGAAGAATTTTAGAAAATATTTTACACAACAAAACAAACTTATCAACTCAAAACCACATCTAAAATTGAACCACCAAAACATCCTTGTCATCTGGTTTATTTTGACTCACCCAAGACATTCTAAGCTAACTTTTCTGGGCATTTAATAATCTACAAGAATCACACATGAATTACTTACTCCGCTATAGCCCAGGCAATTCCACAACCTTCAAATGTTGAAGTTCCTCTTCCCAATTCATCAATAATGACTAGAGAACTACTTGTGGCTGTCTGTAAATGAAATAATATGTTATCATCAAGTCTTATTTGACAACCTCATTTCATGAACTAGTGACGGCAAGCCGAACTTCACTTTGCCGGGGCCTTATTTTGTATAAATTATTAATAGTTGGGACATTACTTATTACACTTAATCTGAGTTGAAACATGTATTTATCATTCTTACTTTTATTTTTGTTAGTGAACTTCTTTTAGCACATTATTACAGATTAAAATGTAATCATGCATTCCCTGCTAAACATATGATTTTTTTAACCCATTAGCGCCGACTTAAGAGCTTTACTCGTACGGCCGCTGCAGGCCCGTCGGCCGACTTACAAATGACGCAAATGGTGACAAATGACTCATGTCACCGCTATGCTGCGCCACTAGCCCAGAGGGTTTTAAAGGGTCCAATGTCAGACTTTTGGAACTAAAATGTTTACAAATTAATATAATTTAAAAGCAGATGTTTACTTTCACCAATTGTTTTGTAGGTTTGAATAATCACAACAATGTGTATTAGTCATGATTTGAAATAGTGCCACATTAAACCCCAATCGCAGCATACTTGTGCAGTCAACAACGTTCAAATTCTCCAGTCTCCACTATTAAATATGTAAACATAAAAGGGATGGCAATGATTTAATATTTTTATTATTTTTTCTTCTATACTTACACAACCTAACATATTTTTTTTTTTTTTTGAAAATGTATGTATAATATAAACAAGATGTATAAAGTAATCACTTTTTGACGATCTGTATAACATCTTCGTCCGCCATTGTGTGTTGGAGACCAACTCTTTGTGGGGAGTATTTGGTGCTCGTGCCCCAGACAAGAGCGTATTTGAACTGAGCCGCAAGTGTTCGGTGTATAGAGTGGCAGACATGTTCTACCGTTACACCGCGCCGCAGGATCAATCCATCGTTAAAGTCTGGCAGCTGTCCCGGCTTCTTGGTGTACACTCATATTAGAGCTAGCTCCTCCCATAGCGATTCCAGCAAATAGTCTAGGTTGAGCTTCATGTTGCAACTGACGACAACCGAGTGTGGTTGTCTTGCCAATCTGTCCACTTCCTCCATGCTAATCTGATCTATCTTGTTGTAGACATACAAACAAGGTAGGTACACTCGATTGGCGCTGATCACATCTATCAGCTCGTCTGCCGTTGCATCTTCCCTGAACAACACCTCCGCATTGAAGATCTTATACTCGTGCAAGATCATCTGGACCAGTTTCTCGTCAATCTTGGTCAGCGGACATGTCAAGTTGAATGCTATTCCTCCTCCTTTTTTCACCTTAAGAGGGTTCCCTACCCCCACCTAAAAACGTTAGAAAACCGCTTCGCGCGGTATCATATAGCGATTCTAGTTTTAACATTTAAATTGTGAACCAAACACCATTTTGTACATAAAGAGTGGTTCTACTAAGTTTGCTTTTTAAAAAATGTCTATGCTTACGCAATCAAGGGCAACGACTTGTCAAAGTTAGTGAACTTTAACTGTAAAGTTCACTAACTTTGACAAGTCGTTGCCCTTGATTGCGTAAGCATAGACATTTTTTAAAAAGCAAACTTAGTAGAACCACTCTTTATGTACAAAATGGTGTTTGGTTCACAATTTAAATGTTAAAACTAGAATCGCTATATGATACCGCGCGAAGCGGTTTTCTGACGTTTTTCGGTGGGGGTAGGGAACCCTCTTAAAGTAAATGTTGGGCTTCTCTTTGTTCAGCCTGATTCCCACACTTTCCAGTTCTTTCTCCAACAAGGCTCGTTGAACGTCTTGTTTGGTTGCATCCAGCATCATGAGCACCAGATCAGGTGTTCGAGCTACTGCGATGACATGTCTTCCTCTTCCTTTGCCTTGCGATGCACCTTCAATGATTCCTGGCAGATCGAGCAGCTGTATGTTGGCACCCTTGTACTCAATTACGCCCGGGATACACGTCAGTGTTGTAAACTTGTACGATGCTGCCTCCGACTCAGTGTGCGTCAAGGTAGACAACAGGGTTGATTTACCTACTGAAGGGAAGCCTATTAAAGCTACACGAGCGTCTCCAGATTTCAAGACATCAAATCCCTCTCCTTTCTCAGATTTTTTTGAGGGTTCTAGCAACTGAGCTCTATGCTTAGCAAGCTTTGCCTTCAATACTCCAAGATGGTATTCAGTAGCTTTGTTTTTTTGAGTCCGAGCAATTTCTTTTTCTATTTCAGATATTTTTTCTAATATACCCATTGTTTTAAAAGCTTAACTTGGCAAATGGTGTTAGTTACACTTCAATAACAGGCTCTAAAATAAAAACATCTTCAAAATGTCACGTTTGTTTCTTTTCTGCTGAGAAGAGAGTTATTAAGTGAATTATTTAGAGAATTATTATTTTTATTATTACTAAACCAATCTTCTATACGAAAAACCTTAGGATGGTCTTCAATTTACAATATGAGAATTATAATAACATCAGAAGAATTATTTAAGAGAATTATTAAGTGAATAATAATTGTGCGTGCTATTTTAGGTATTCTAAAGCCCTTATGATCCCATAAGAATACCAAAGATTTCATCTGAATTACCATTTGAATACAAATTTCCTTTGCGTCTTGATTTCGCAATCACTGTTATAAGGCACAAGGGCAATCCCTGACTATCGCCGGTTTAAATTTAGAAAATGCATGCTTTTCACACGGACAGCTGTATGTTGCGTGCTCACGTGGTGGTACGTACGCCTGAAAACTTATATATTTATTTATACACCTAATGAAAAAACAAAAAACATTGTTTATCCACTGGCAATTAAGTAAGATAAATATTATATTTTTGTTTTTGGTATACATTTTTATTACTTATTGTAAAGAACACTACCATTAATAGTATATTTCGTACCTAGGGCCGAAAATGAGGTTTTGCCGGCTCGAGATAGTTTTTAAGTTCGAGACGAAGTCGAGAACTTAAATCGATCGAGAGCCGCAAAACCATTTCGGTCCGTGGTACGAACGCTATTTTTCACCACACTATACCCTATTACCACTATTCACCACAATAATAATGCACACTGATAGTCAACACAACTACAACTTTAAGGTTATGTGAAGAAATAATTTGAGGAATCAGCAAAAATAAAAATATATAGTTGCTAGGCAACGGTGACAATAACACAATTCTATTGAAATGCTATGGATTTTGATTATGTATTTAAAATGCATTCATGTTTTAAGTAAGTAAGCGGACAGCTGATTTTGCGGCCCCGGCCTGTAAAAACCTGCTCGGTCCCCAAATTATGGACAGCTGGCATCGCCAGCAAAACGTAACTTTCGGCCACCAATTAACGTATGTAATACAGCCAAAAACATGATAGTGTGGTGAAAATATAATAGTTGTTAGCGCAGCAACGCGCGCTGGGTAACCGCTAGTTAACAATAAGAATTGATTTTTTTGTTCATTTTTCAGCTTCAGCTTGTGATTTTTATATGTAGGGAATTAATTAAACTTTACAATAGTAGTGTGTTAGTGTCATTTGGTGTCTGGATTAATCTTGGAATTTGTAAACCAACTTTACTTTTAAAAAATAGTTAAAAAAATGTTATTTTTATAAACTTTAATTTTTTTTTTTATTTCAGTGATTTATCCATTTACCACTTTTTTGTAGACAATTTTACTGTGAGCAAAATGACAAAAGAATTAATAGTTTATTACCTAAGGTTTTCTTTCTATAACAATAAAAAATTGTAAAAGTCTACAAATTTGGTAAAATTAATTGCCGACAGAGGGTGCTGCAGGCAGCACATTAACCCTCGAGCTGGCATTCGGGCGATTTACGCCGCGGCCGAACGTCACGGAAATCGCCGATTTTAGAACGAAAATGAAACTAATATCACTTAATATAGTATTTATTTGGTTCAGAAATGAATAATCTATCGATTGATGTGCATTTCAACTATTTGGTTTCCTTTGGGAAAACTTAAAACTCTATGAAAATAACGCATCAGCTGACGACATTGTCATAATGTCATGATGACGCAATCGCTTATTGCCGGCGTCTGTTCTGTTGTTGTTGTTGTTTATTTCGCGTTGTGTTTGGTTAGTTTCGGTGTTATAAGTTTAATTTTTTATTGAAATGTGAGTTTATTTCACTTCAAGATGTCTGATCGTAACTACCGTGACCGATCTAGTGAATTACGAGAGTTGATCTATGACCCAATTCTAAGTGGCGAGGAGACTAGTGATAGTGAACCTGACAAAAATACTCCAAGTGACAATCCCCTAACTTCTAGTGATGATGAACATAGCTTAACTGACTTTTCATCTGGTAGCTCGGATAACTATGTGCCCAATGAGGAGGAAATATTAGATTGGACTAGGGAACATGATACAGATTTCGAACCTCATGTAAGTCATGTAAGAAATGAAGAGCCAGTTAGGCCTGACTCACCTATTGTGCCTGGGCCTAGGCCTAATGAACCTGCTGTGCCTGCTGACAATATGTTGCCTAATATTCCTAGGCCTTTACCAATTTCTAATGACCCAAGATGGGTGTTAGTTTACCCCCCAGAAGAAGAAAAGGTTGCAGACTTTTTGGTAAGGGAGGGATGCACTGGAATTCAGAACTGTCCCCCGCGTAACTCTCCACCTATAGCTTATTTATTTTTATTTTTTACTCAGACCATATGGAGGATGATTGTACGTGAAACTAATAAGTATGCTGCAATAAACATTGAAAATGCTAATGATTCAGGAAGGATGCGTAGGCACAGTCGATTGAGATCTTGGTATGGACGTCACGGTGAAAGAAATGAAAAAGTTCATTGCAATAATGCTGAATATGGGTCTAATCCATAAACAAAATATTGAATCCTATTGGGACACTTCTAAAACTCAAAGAACACCTTTCTTTCCTGAGACGATGTCATTAAAAAGATTCCAGTCATCAGTTCCATGCTGCATTGCAACTGTGAACCAGCGATTCCTCGCGGACAACCTGATTTCGACCCTTGGCACAAAATTAGGCCATATATAGACGAATTAAATGGTAAGTTTAAGCAATTTTTTGTGCCAAAACAGCCTATCTGCATAGATGAAAGCATGTTGGGGATGAAGAACAGATGTATTTATATACAATATATGCCTAACAAGAGGCACAACAGGTTTGGCATAAAAAAATTCAAAATTTGTGACAGCAAAACCTCTTACGTTCTCCATTCGGAACTGTACAGCGGTAAGGACTTTATGTCAGATGGAGATGACCCCTTAGCACAGAAGGTGGTTTTGGATTTACTTACAAAATGTAATCTCCTCGGTAAAGGGTACCATTTATTTACCGATAATTGGTATACTAAAATCCCTCTGGCACAAGCACTTTTAGATCAAAACACCTACCTGACAGGCACTGTTAGAAAGAAATCAAAGGGCTTATCTAAAAATCTGCTGCAGAGGACACTTCAAGTAGGAGAGACTGTCTACTTTAGGAAAAATAACATCCTTCTTGTTGGATTTAAAGAAAAGAAAACCCGTAAACCAGTTTATTGTCTGACAACGGCGTGCCATGCCGAAAACATGCTTGTCAGGAGCAAAGGTGGATGAGAGGCCATAAAGCCTATACTTATTGCCAAGTACAATGCTCACATGGGAGGGGTTGATACCAAGGATAAGACCATGTATCACTACTCTTGTGACAGGCCAACTAGACGCTACTGGAAAAAAGTGTTCACAAATTTTCTAGATATGGCGCTTCACAATGCGTACGTTTGGCACAAAGCCAACACCGACCGAGAACACATGAAAAATCACAGGGACTTTCTAATGAACATCATAGAGGATTTGTCCACTGACCAAGCCCAGCCTGATAATGTACCAGGTCCAGGTGGTGATGTCCTTGGACCTCGACATGAGTTGACCAAACTACCTGGAGAGGACAATCGCCTGTGTGTGGTGTGTCTGGACAAAAATATAAAAAGGAAAACCACCTATTGGTGTCCTGGCTGTAATGGGGGAATTCACCAGAATTGTTATCACCTTCTATACCACTATTACAGGCCTACAAAAAAGAGCAGGAAGAGAAGGCATTCTAGTGATTCGGAGTGAAGAGAGTGATGAGTGACGTAACCGATACGTGTAAATATGTAAATAAACTTATGTAAATAGTGTGTATATGAAATTCCAAAAACAAACAGTGGCTTTTCTACAGGCAACTATTCCTGGGATTATCTAGGTATGTAATATAACTTGAGTATTTTATAAATTATTTCTTGTATGAAATTAGACCTGAACGTTTTGCTTCAAGTATTCGTGTAGGTTGTACAACGAATGTGTATATAGTAATAAAAACCGTTATAAGTATTTTTTTTTAGGAACAAGGTACATGTATTATATATCATTCTTTTCCTCATAAAATTGTACACAATTTGTATATTTTGAAAAATTATTTTGAGTTCATTGGTTTGAGTTATAGAACGGAATATATATGCATATAAATAAAAAAAAATCTGCTAAATAAATATAAATTTTTTTTTGTAAATCAAAATTTCATATATAAAATTTATATAATATTATTCCTTGTTTTATGCTGAAAAAAAAGATATATAATATAATATATTTACAAACTTATTTACTGTTTAAAAAATGTGTTATAAAAAATGTTGCGCGACCCATTAAAAACCATTGCCACCACAGCATAAAAAGACCGCCAGCTCGAGGGTTAACAGGGTGTATACTATTTTATTAAAGTGAAATTCCAGGTTTTTTCCAGGTTTTTCCTGGTTTTTCAAAGTTTTTCCAGGTTCCCGCGTATTTCTTTGGTTCCACTTAAACTATAATCAATTTAAGACTTGCAGCTTAAGTATACAATATAAACTTATATAAAATTTGTTTCAAAGTTCATAGTGAGCTAGTGTTGAAAAAGTAATAATCCTTATTATAGTAATCATTTTCATTATCATCATTACTTAAGGCCTCGGAAACATCTTCTCTCTCGATAGCAGCAAAATCCTGAATATTATCTTAATTTTTTATGAACACATTATCAACGGCGGCAAAATCCTGAATATTTCCTGCGGTTGTGTGGTTGCTTCCCACAGTGACGTAAACGTCATCACAGTCTTACGTTATCATGGAAAAATCCTGGACAACTCCCGCGGTATGTATACATTATCGCCGTCTCTCGCGATCACGGAAACGTAATCATCGTCATCCACGATCGCGGCTAAATCATGAACATCTGCAGCCGTGTAGACATAATCATAGCCTCCCGCAGTCACGGAAACGTCATGCATTCGTCGTCGTCCGCAATCTCGGCAAAATCATGAATATTTCCCGCGGCAGTGTAAACATCATCGTTGATCCCGCGGTCACGTAAACGTCATCGTCGTCGTCCGCGATCGCGGCTAAATCATGAACATCTGCGGCCGTGTAGACATAATCATAGCCTTCCGCAGTCACGGAAACGTCATCGTCGTCTCCCGCGGTCACGGAAACGTCATCATCGTCTCATGCGGTCACGGAAACGTCATCGTCGTCTCCCGCGGTCACGGAAACGTCAACGTCGTTTCCCGCGGTCACGGAAACGTCATCGTCGTCGGCCGCAATCACGGCAAAATCATGAGCATATCACGCGGCCGTGTAGAAATCATCATCGTCGTCTTTCGCGGTCACGGCAAATCACGAAAATCTTACGCGGCCGTGTAGACATCATCATTGCCTCTCGCAGATATGGAAATGTCATCGCCGTCGTCCGCGGTCACGAAAACGTCATCGTCGTCTCCCGCGGTCACGGAAACGTCAACGTCGTTTCCCGCGGTCACGGAAACGTCATCGTCGTCGGCCGCAATCACGGCAAAATCGTGAGCATATCACGTGGCCGTGTAGAAATCATCATCGTCGGCTTTCGCTGTCACATCAAATCACGAAAATCTTACGCGGCCGTGTAGAAATCATCATTGCCTCTCACAGATATGGAAACGTCATCGCCGTCGTCCGCGGTCACGAAAACGTCATCGTCGTCTTCCGCGGTCACGGAAACGTCATCGTCGTCTCCCGCGGTCACGGAAACGTCATCGTCGTCTCCCGCGGTCGCGGAAACGTCATCGTCGTCGGCCACTATCGTGGCAAAATCATGAGCATTTCACGCGGCCGTGTAGAAATCATCATCGTCGTCTTTCGCGGTCACGGAAACGTTATTGTCGTCTCCCGCGGTCACGGAAACGTCATCGTCGTCTCCCGCGGTCACGGAAACGTCATCGTCGTCTCCCGCGGTCACGGAAACGTCATCGTTGTCTCCCGCGGTCATGGAAACGTCATCGTCGTCTCCCGCGGTCTCGAAAACGTCATCGTCGCCGCCCGTGATCGCGGCAAGACGCATTTTACGACTACAATCTTCTACCGGGGCTAAAATAAAAATCCCGGAATCGTTCCAAAAATCCCGGCTTTTTCCCGGTTTTTTCCAGGTCCCTTCAAATTCAAGGTTATTTCCCGGTTCTCCCGGTTTTCCCGGTTGGTATACACCCTGGTTAATTCCTTTCCCAATGGGTTAACCAACATTGAAAGGTATTATAATGTAAAATAGCAATTATTATAGCTATAAAGTTAATTATCTGGAGCATTATTACAAAAAAAAAAAAAAATAATAATAATAAAGTTAAAAAGAGTATAAATTATCCTGAAGTCTGTGAAAACAATGCTGAGCAGTAAACTCACCCTGATGATTGAAGCAGTCTCGACCATTTCAACCATAAACGTGGACATTCCCTTGACTTGGGAGTCTGACGCACCGACGCGAGCCAGTATGCTGTCCAATACTGACATCTCGGCACTCTCACACGGCACCAGGCTGCCTATGTGAGCCAGGAGTGCCACGACGCCGGCACTGCGGATGTATGTGCTCTTGCCTCCCATGTTGGGTCCAGTCACCATGTAGAAAGTGCAATCCCCTGATGTGTGAACACAATAAAACTACAAAAATCTTGTTAAATAAAATTATTTGCACCCTTAATGAAACTGAAAGACAGTTTATTTTATTTAGCAACAAAGGGATTCAGAGGACTCCAGGTCAATAGTTCAATCAAAGCTCCTTTTTTCATGAAAAAATAAAAAAATCTTATTAAGTTACTACAATGATAACTTAATAAGAGGCTATTAGCAGAGTAAAAAATCTCAGTAATTATTCCTTATAGTTACAATGGTTAAACATGTAATTTTGATATGTCTACTTACAGTTTTTGCACGCTGAATTCGAAAATGTGATTAGTTTTTATCAGAAAGATTCCTAAGTGACCTTACAATCAAATAACTAAAAAGAAACTTCAGTTTCATTGAGTAATTCAGATGGTTGTGGTTTGGGTGAGTCCATGTTCTGCAAGCATTTTTGAAATTGTTATTTTGTTGTGTTTCACCCACTATTTCAATTGTGGATGAAACTATCTAACTATACTACTTGGATACTTGGAGAATTCCCACTGGTATCGCATCAGCGACGTGGTCGTCAGGTTTTTTTTTTTTACATTTCTTGATAATAATTTAAATAGATGGATTCATTTCCTCTTCAGGGATATACATGGCCTAGACATATCAACAACGTAGTAGAGCGTCAACACTGTAGTAGGCCGCTTGACTTAAGAATGTTTTTAGCAGGTTCTTGAATTTGTTGATAGAGGGCTCTTGCGTGATGTACTGAGGCAATTTATTGTAAATTTTTATACTATTGAAGTAAGGGCTCTTGCTTGCAAGGGTGGAATTTACTTGAGGTACATGTGGATTTGTTGCTCTTCCTGTTTTGTAATTGTGGACCATGCTGTTTGTTACAAAAATATTGGGATTCTTCTTAACAAGCAATGCGGATTCCAATATAAAGAGGGACCGAAGTGAGAGAATGTTCAGTTCTTGGAACAAAGGTTTACAGTGAGTCCGTCTATGGACTCCACATATTCTTCTAATTGCACGCTTTTGAAGGATGAAGATGCGTTTTGCCTCACTGCAACCACCCCAAAATACCAAACCATATGAGATTATGCTATGAAAACAGCCATAATAAACCTTAAGGAGAATCTCAATGTCAACCAGCTTTTGAAGTCTAAACAGCAGGTAGGTGACAGATGACAGTCTGGGCGCTATTGAATCGACATGTGTTCCCCAATTAAGGTTCTCCGTAATGTGTAGGCCCAAGTATTTGGCTTCACTACAGGTTTCAAGTGGCACCCCGTCCAAGGTTAATATCGGAGGTGGTTCAGGCTTCTTCCTGTTATAAAATTCCATTAATTTGGTTTTACTAGAATTTAGGACCAGATGATTTTTGCTACACCAAGTTGACATTTCAAGCAAGCCAGATTGGGCATTTTCAATCGTGATGTTTCGATTTGGGCTTGGGACTAAGTAACAGGCGTCATCGGCAAAAAGCCACAAATTTCCAAAGGATATGAAGCCAGGCAAGTCATTCACGTATAACAGGAATAGGATGGGCCCAAGGTTTGATCCCTGGGGGACACCGATGTTCAGAGCTGGTGATGGAGACGATTTATATGTCCGGAGGATGTTGTCAGGGCCTCTGTGCTTCAAGGATACAATCATGTGCCGATCTTTAAGATACGATGAAATCCATCGCAGTGGGTTTCCAGAAATGCCAAGCATTCGCAGCTTATCCAGAAGGATCCTATGGTCAAGAAGATCAAAAGCCTTTGTCATGTCGTAAAAGAGACATAGTAAGCTGTCAGATATGTCAAGGTGGTTATATACTTCCTTTAAAAGGGTGAAAATGGAATCACAGGTAGACATGTTTTTTCTGAACCCAAATTGGTTATTTGACAAGATGTTATTTGTTTCAATAAAACTTAGCGATCTTTTAAGAAAAATAATCTCAAAGATTTTACCAAAACAAGGCTGAACAGAAATAGGCCGGTAGTTACTTGCGTTAAGAGGATCATTTTTCTTAAATACAGGGACAACCTTTGAAGTTTTCAACGAATCAGGAAAGCAACCAGATTCAAACGACTTGTTAATAGCGCAGGCCAATGCTTCAAAGATGTTTTCATTGCAAATTTTGAGAAGGCTGCATGGGACTTCATCAATGCCAGAACTTTTTCTTGATCCTATTAATAAGACGACTTCACAAACCTCAGACGCAGAAGTAGGAGATAGTACAAAGCGACTCGCTTCGAGATCAGTGGGCAACAAAGGGGCTACATTATCTTTAGCCAATGTACATATCTCCTGGTGAAAAGATTTACAGAAATAGTCTACTATTGTCTGAGGATTTTTGACTTCCACGTCATCGATCATAAGAATCAGGTTTGATTGGGTCTGATACTTTTCATCGCACAGTGTACGGACCACTACCCAAGATTCCTTGCTTGTGTTTTTGGAATTTAATATTTTGTTACCAAAAAAGGCCTTTTTGGTTTTGTTAACAAGTGCAGAGTGGTGACGTTTAGCTGCGCGGTAAGCATTTTTTCCATCGAAAGTACTAATATACCTAACTTTAAAACACATGAATCTGAATGACTTACAGTCACGAATCTGAATAAATCCCGACCTACCTTCATCACATGCCTAAATAAGAGCTGATTAGTCTGCAAACAAATCGATTCCATTGCCCATGAAGTTGAGTATCAACAGCTGTTTGTGTCAATCAACAACTGTGCTTTGAGATGAACAGCTGTTTGATCTCCTCAGTCCACATACGGACTCGTCCAAACCACCATATTACCATCCGTACCGTTACACTTAATCAAATAATTGTATGTGTAAAATATAACCTTTCACATTTATTAATTGAAAATGTATTTGATTACACATATTGAAAAAAATTGCAATGCCCATAATCATGCAGAAGCCCAACCGCATTAAAACATTTCAAGGATTCAAATATTGGTGGATCAACTGAATTTATAAAAAAATATTTTAAACCTGACTGTCTAATGTGATTGAAGATATAAAATATAGGATTCTAGAATAAGATATTGAACAGGACCGTAAACAACTTGTATCTGACACATATAATGTAATAAAATCAAAGAGTGAGCTTTTAACTCTTTTAAGGAATTAATTTGTATCGTTCTTTAGGTCAGGTCTGGTAACTAAAGTGGTTTCATAGTAAATGTGAGAGTTAATGTCCGTCAACTTCTGAATGGATACAACGCCATTTACAAGAAGATGTCATATAATTTAAATCAAAACCTGTTCAAGGATTTTGGATCACTTAGAAGACATGGTAATTTGAGCCAGTTAACATTTTAACAGTGATTTGGATAGGCTAATTCAATGATAACAAATGAAGGTAGGCCTATTTCAATCTTAATGTTTACTTTCAACCAACCTTGCTTGAAGTCGATGTCGTTAGCGATGTAGGATACGCTGTCTTGCATCTCCAGGCAAGGGTGGCGAGCCTGCTTGAGCCTGAACACACCTGTATTCTTGTCGTGCATGACTGGTCGCACGTAAGGTATCGGTGCACTCACGGCCACCTGCGCCAGACTCACCAGAGCATCCAGCTGGGCCACTTGGTAACTCAGAGACTGCAGAGTTGTGCTGTAGCCAGCTAGGAATGTAATCAGTTCAAATTAGTGGTATAAAACTAGCTAGTGAAAACAAACAAATTGAATACAAGAACTTGTAAAATACTCTTTGTAATAGCTTGTGTTTCAATTTAGCAAATTTACCAGCATGATGAAGAGTTTACTCCGGCACAAGAAACCCAAAATACTTAACACTAGAAATTTTTTCTCATTTGCACTAAAAATGTTGTTGAAACTGTTGACAATATATTTACAACACTGTAAACGACTCATTGGCCACCAATGGACCTGAAGACTCATTCTTCCCAACTCAACCCTTTCTTAGTTGAAAGTTCTGTCAGTGACCATGAAATATTCTATTTTTTGTGTTTCTTTGGCCAGATTGGACTCTTTTATATTCAGGACAAGCCAGCTATCTTTAAAAAAGTCCTAAAAACTCACTTAGAATTTTTAGGAGAGCCTTTCGGCTCTCTGTTACCTACGTCTCTAAAATACTAATAAGTAACATACAGAAACAAAAAGGGTATAATATGAATTGTGAATCGGTATTAATAATTAAGGTGACAAAAAGGTGCTAATATACTCCGACTTAGTAAACGGACTACTTGCTCGTACTGTAGTAACAGTGCAATTCGGTCGTGTAAGTTATTAATTAATCACTGCACATACGATTCAATAAGTGTAATAAGCTCAGTAGTTAATATAATGCATGTTAATTCATATTAAAAAAGTATAGCACGTTGTAGAATTGTACTACTGTACTAAAAAAAAAAATAAATAAAAAATGAAATGACATAAAAACTGATACTTTGAGGTTATGATTTGTTTTTAGGGAGGGTATCAGGCTGGATTTATTGTGGGTTCCGAATTAATGAGGGACTACTGTACAAACAGAATAAATGTTACAATTACAAATTAATCGGTTACAACTTCTTATTTGTAATGATTATTGCCACAAGTTGACATCAGCTGTTATATATGTACCTGCCACGGAGATGACTTCGCTCACTATTGCCTCCTGTTGCTGAGTGTACTGGTCCTTCGCCTCCTGATACTCACTGTTCAGCTCTGTCAGCTGATCGTTGCGGAACCTTACTCCACTCTTGTTGGCATCCAGCTGAGTAAAACCTCGGACGTTGCGAATCACCTTCTCTTCCTTCAACCAAGATTGACAATTACTCAGTTATAAGTTAGTAGTGATGGGTATTTACTTGAGGGCAGTTCTTGGTCCAGTTTACAATATGATGATAAAGCTTCCATGGCATCATGCAAGTTACAGGTGTTGATTGTAGAACGGCCACCGAGGGAGTGACCACCAATTATGAAGAGGCGGCAGTGCTCTTTTCTCCTGTAGCACAGAAAACGTACTACTATAACCCAGAATGCCAACCGCATGGTAAAAAGCATTAAGCGTTTTGAGAGAGCTTTGCCTGTCAATCCGCTGGTGGCTCTGCCTACGGATTGACAGGCAAAGCTCTCTCAAAACACTTAATGCTTTTTACCATGCGGTTGGCATTCTGGGTTATAGTAGTACGTTTTCTGTGCCTGTAGTGAGTAAAGAGGAGGCGACTATCAGAATAGTGCCTATGGGTGATAGATAATACATGCATGATATACTTTAATAACATGAATCATCTCAAAACATAAAAAATTTGCTACTTGTAGTAACTGAACTAAAAATGAGATTTGTGGTTTGTTTTCATTTTGCCTTGTTATTTATACAGGCAAAACCCCCTATAAAATAACCCCTCATAAAACCCTATAAACATTTAAAAAAACTCAAGTAAAAAAGGGCTCTAGAATAAATGATGAAAATAAGGCCAGGCTTACCTTTGAACAGAATGTGTTTTTCTCAACACACATAGAAATACGAGGACTATCCAGAAAGTAGATTACATTTTGGAATTGAGGATAAACAAAGTCTTGGAAAAATATGTTATTATATACAAATGAAAGCCACACTTAAATACTACTTTTCAACTTAGTCACCTTTCAAAGTAAGGCACTTCTCGTAGCGACGGACCAGCTTAGAAATTCCTTCGTCGTAGAATTCAGCCACCTGTGTCTTCAACCACTTTGTTACCTCTTCTTGAAGCTGTGCGTCATCATCAAAACGCTGCATAGATCCCACATCTTCATTGCTGGGAATGCGTGAAAGTCCCTTGGTACCAGGCCGGGGCTGTACGGTGGATGAGAAAACAACTCCCACTTGAAAGATTCAAGAATTTCGAAATTTGCCATGTGGGGCCGGACATTGTCGTGAACCAACAGGACCTTTCAGCTTAGCTTTCCCCTGCGCTTGTTTTGTATCGCTCTTCTAATGTTTTGCAGAGTTTGGCAATACCTTTGAGAGTTTATTGAAGTGCCTCTTTCTAGGAAGTCCACAAAAATTACACCTTCCCTATCTCAAAAAGCAGTCCCAATCACCTTCCTTGACGACATCATTTGCATGCATTTCTTAGGTTGGGGGGAATTTGTGTGCCCCTCTGCATTGACTGCAATTTTGTTTCCCAGTTTTCAAATGTTTGACCCATGTTTTGTCACCAGTAACGATGTAATCGAGTAGTGAGTCAGAATTTTTATCGTAAGCTTCCAGAAACGCTAGTGCTGCAGTCATTCGCTGAATTTTGAGACTGTCTGTCAAGATTTTCAGTACCCATCTTGCACAAACCTGTGGTAACCAAGCTTTTCGGTAATGATCTTGTGCAACAAACTTCGTGAAATTGATGGAAAACCCATAGAGAGTTCTGCTATTGTGAATTTTCAAGTTTTAGGGGACTTCGGCATCGACTTTTTTAATAAGTTTGGCAGTCACTATGCTGGGTATTCCACTTCGCTCTTCGTCGTGAACGTTAGTTCTGCTATTTCAAAATTTTATGATCCACTGACACACTCCATCTTCAGTGATAATGTTGTCCCCATAAACTTCACAAAGTTGCCGATACATTTCTATCGGTTTACAGTCTTTTTGTAGTAAAAAACCTTATTATTGCAAGCACTTCACAGTTGGCGGCATTTTCAATCAACATGGACATTTTAAACTGTCACAGTAACTCCACTGAGTACAGCAGACTAGCACAACAAGATGCCGATTGAGCTGCCTAACGAGCTGACACCAAGATGGTTGCGCTAGCCCCACCCCTTGCGGATACAGACAAAAACGTAATTAACTTTCTGGACAGCCCTCGTATATCAAGTAGCTTAAAGTTTTCCACACTTTCACACCTTTTTATAATTTTTAAATAATTTTACTGGCTACATTAATTAGTTTGAAAAAAGTTATCAAGGAACCTTGGAATGTTAACCCCACCTTGAGGGTGACCCTAAAGTAGTAGCCGTACTGAGAGTTGGACTCCAGTTTGATGGTTTTGCCAGGATCCAGAGATAGATCTCGGGCAGCTTTGTACAACGTCTTCTGGATGTCCTCATCCAAGCTGTCCATTTTGCTTCTCAACTCTGAAAAATAATATGAAAAAGTTATAAGTACAGTAACTGTGAAGGAAAAAAATTTAGAAGTTCTAACCTTGACTAACGTGAAAACAAAATTTATGAGAGTAGCAAGGGAAGAAGATGGATAATGACAATTTTCTCAAAATTAACAACCACGAATTCCAAAGAGTTAATAATTTCAGATATCTAGGTGTTGCACTATCAGATAGAGTACAACGTACTACGTACAACATACTACGTACAACGTAGAAGACATTGAAATTCAGAATATGATAAATGCAGCAAATAAAAGTTGGTATGCATGTGGAAAACTAATTAAATCAAAGCTGTTATCAAGGAAAACCAAAATTAGAATCTACAAAACAATAATTAGACCAGTACTTTTATATGGAGGGGAAAATTGGATCCTGAGCAAAAACACGGAAAACAAGATTAAACCTTTGAGAATAAAGTTCTAAGAGCTATATATGGTCCAGTGTGTGAAGATGGAGTATGGAGAATCCACCACAACCAAGAGTTAAGATAATCATTCCGAGACCCCGATATTGTAGAAAAGGCCAAAGCAGAAGGCTAAGGTGGGTTGGCCATATCTTGAGGACCAATCAGGAGAGCTTGTTGAAAAAGTTAAAGGGGAGATCCGAGGGGAAGGAGACCAGTAGGAAGACCAAAGGCCAGGTGGTGGGATCAAGTCCGAAAAGATTTGGAAAAGATGAGACTAGTAGAGGAAGATTCGGAGGACCAAGATAACTGGCAACATGTTCGCGAGGCCAAGTACCAGCTTGGGTACAAGTGGCCATGGCAGTAATCACTAGTAAGTAAACCTTGACTCTCAAGTTACAGTAAAGAAATTCCAAACAAAGCTTTCAATCGTTTTCTTTGACTTATTTTTGCAAAACTAGATGGCATTAGATGTATGTTATGTTACTCTAGCTTTCAATATACAAACCTTTGGAGCTCAAATAGTTAATATAATTGACCACTTTTCATCAGAATGTGAGTAGTAAGTAATAAAGCAATTTCTATTCTTTCATTGTAAAATGTCAAAAGAACCTTTCAGATCATCGTCAAAGTCAGCCTTGATGAGGAACTCCCCCTTGTCCACCAAGGCCATGTCCAGGGTCGATTCCACCATCTCCAGCAGCTTCTCAGTGTCCGCGTACAGCTCTCGGATGGGACTGACGATGAGAGCCTCCAGAGTGGGATGGGAACACCCAGAGTCCTGGATGGCCTGGAGCAGGAGCGGGAATCTCTGCAGTGCCTGGTAGATCCTGGCGGACAACCATTAATGTACAATTACAATCTAGAATGATCAAAAGATGTGTGTGTGAAGACTGTCAGTACTTTGAACTGTAAACTAAGGTTAGATATTAAGAAAAAGCAATGTGGCTGATTGAAGGGCTTTTTGAAAAGAGAAACTGATGCTCTCGTAAAGTGCCACTGGCGTAGAAAGAAAAAAAGAAGAGAGATTTTGGCTTGCTTCCCTAAGATGTTAGATTTCAGGGGCTTGGCGATGCCCTAACACCTTTCACAACACATCACTGATATTCTATCTGAGAGTAGGACTTCTATTTAAGTATGGATTCTCTATTCCCCAGCCCATTTTAATTTTCTAATAAAAATCAAATGTAAAACTTTAAGGGTGGGCGAGTACCCGACGTTTGAGTAACTACTCGACTATTTCCAAGGTACTCTAATTGAGTAGAGTAGTAACTACTACTCGGAATTCGAGTCGAGTAGTTATAAAAAGTGACACATTTAATGTTGATGTAGGTGTCTAAAGAAGTGTTTTCAACTCGGGTGTCACATCTGCACCCACTGCATTTTCCGGTTATGACGTCATCAAAATGGCTGACATGTTACGTTTTCACCACCTATTTTACTTCAAATAAGACCATTACCCCCTTTTATGCAAATAAAAGCAAACAACAACAAGCAAACAAGAAGAAACAAACAATGAAGCAAACAATCAATGTAATTGATCTAAAGGAATGTTCCCACTATATAAAAATGTGTTTTTGAAAATCACATCACTGCTTCTCCGCCATTTTGGAAAAAAATTCTCCATTTTTAATCATTGAAAGCTTTTAGTTTGTAAGGCAAATTGCGAGGCTCAGTATAAAGTGAGAAACATTTTTTATATTTTATTTGATTGATGATAAAATTACTTTTAAGGAAATATGAAGTGTTGTCAAGGCTTATTGCCTTGACAACACTTCATATTTCCTTCATATTCCTAACAAACTTGTTATAAAACTATTGATAAAAAAAGAACAATGCGATTTTTATGTTTTACTACATTAAAGTTTGCTAAAAATGGCTGCTTCATTCTCTTTCTGAATAAACCATTAGGCCTACTAAATTTTTCAAAACAATCAAAACTAATCACAAGGCATCTACTTAACTACTAAAACTTGATAAATACAATCTCTGGTTGCCGTATTTTGATAAAATATCCTTTACATGAAACATGAAACTAGCTGTTACCCACGGGCTTCACGCCGTTTGACATTATAAGTATTAATAAACTATTGATTGGTTAAGTTGACCTGAAATAAACAAAATACAGTAAAAGAAACAAATAATCACACCTGATTGTAATGCTACTAATATTATAAATGAGAAAGTTTGGATGTATGGATGTATGGATGTATGTTTGTGACAAGTAAACGCATTAACCACTGGACGGATTTTGCTGAAATTTGGCATGATGATAGCTCACATTCCCGATTAACATATAGGCATATTCTTATCTCAAAAATCCTTTCGGGCTCTTCTATGATATGCAAAAGCATTAAAACTACCAACAGGGTGCAGCACTATATTTATTTTGCATTCATGAAAACTGCTAATTTGAACTAAGCAGTAACAAAAAAACTGTGATATGCAATGAGAACTAACTGTCAAAGTAGGATTGTTTACAGTTATGTTTATGTTTTTAATTTCAGGAATAATTTGTGATATTTTGTGATTTTTTTAAAATTTATTTTTCTCTATTGTTTAGGTGAAGAAGTAGAACATAATGGCTATGGTAGATGTGTGATACTATAGAATACTGTAAATTTGAAGTAGTAAATTTGATCAAACTTTGTTCTCCCTCATTGCAAACGCAAAGCTTGAGTATGACTGCAATAAGCATTTTATAGCCAACCCCGTACGAAGGAACGGGTAATCTGCTAGTAAGGTAATAAATTGAAAGAATAGAATAACAAACAAATAAGTACAGCTGAGGTATTTTTAACATTAGGTATATTAAAAGTTCCCTTTAGAAAGGAATTACGACCTTAAAGGGCAATTTATGAAATAATGGATAGTTTTGCGCAACTCATGACGAACATTTTAAGTATATGGTTTATGCGGGTGTGACTTGTAGTTTTCTCAAAAGTTCATGGCTTTGGCTTTATATATAGATAGTCTATAGGCTATGCATGCAGTTCTTAATTAAAGGGCAATTTATGAAATAATGGATAGTTTTGCGCAAGTCATGACGAACATTTTAAGTACAGTATATGGTTTATGGGGGTGTGACTTGTAGTTTTCTCAAAAGTTCATGGCTTTGGCTTTATATATAGATTGTCTATAGGCTATGCATGCATGCAGGTCTTAATTAAATTAAACTTTGATTTACTCAAATACTCGACTCAACTGAAATTGAAAAATCACTACTCGCCCAGCCCTATAAAACTCCAATACATCATGTAAATAATAGTACAGGTTAGGTATCCTATTTAATTACTGATAGCCAAAAAGAATTTAGCCAACTTTATAAAAAAATCATAAAGTCAATAGACAGAAAAACGCTATCACAGTTTAAGGGTTTTGATATGAAATTTGATATCTAGAAAGAGCTGATCCACCATATGGAGAATTTGACCACAGAGAGGTAATGAGAGAGAGATCAGATCAGAGCTAGCAATCTAGTGGGGCTTCAGTTCAACGTTATTCAGAGTTCAGTCACTAAAGGATTAAATGTCTTCTTTACAAAATGTTAAGTCTTGACCGTATCAAAAATTTAACACCTTCTTGATTAAGTTGTTTGTGTTAGCAGAGTTGTTGTTGTTATCAGAGTGTCACCTGTAACAGTCCTGCATGGAAGCCTTTTTCCGCTGCAGCCGACGCGCAAGTGCCTGCAAGTCAGGCATTCTGCGCAAGTGGTCCTCGTGGAGCGACTGTCGCAGTTCTGTCTCTAGTGTCAATATCTCCACGATGTCGTGCCGCTCAGTAATGGACGCCAAGTCACGTAACGGCTGCTTCACCCACTGAGCTATCAACCTACAAGCATATCTGTTGTCAGCATAACGCTTAGTTTAAGGGATTACCATACCTAAAACAAAGGTTATTTGGTAATATTTTCATCAAGGAAATCAAACACCTAAATACATACAGACTCTGTCACTAATAGAATATTTTCCCAAATTGTAAAATGTAATATCTGAATTACTTCTTGTGCTCTTAAATCAGCACAAGATTTATAAATTACCACCACCACTGGAAAATAGTTTTCCTGAGAATTTCTAAAGTAGTTACAATTGTTGTGGCTTTAACAGCAGAATATGAATAGTTTTGTTAGGGTTTTTTAAGAGTAAATATAAATAATGTAAACATAGACTCAAAGAGTTTGAAGGTGAAAAGTGACATCAGCACTAGTACAGGTTGAACAATTCATTAACTTAACCGTACAAAACAAGGGATGGCAGGTAGAAAGCCGGCAGACTGAATCCTCAAAAGACTGAAGACGGATAAGGTACGTCAACCTTTTTACTTTAAAATAAATACCTGTCACACATCAGTTACCTGTGGCCCTGTGGAGTCCTGCAGTGATCCAGCAGTCCTAGGACACTATGGTGTTTCATGTGAGCCGCAGCTGCGCCTGGGGGAGGCAGCAGACTCAGGGCTGCCACTACAGCACTGTCCAGGTGTACCAACCTGCTGTGCTCCAGGGGCCGCAGAGTGAACTGCTCAAAGTTGTCTTGGTCATTGCACAGCTAGAAAGTGAAACAGTTGTCTAAACAAATGTTTAACAATTGGTACAGATTATTATGTACAAGGATAGGGATCTACCTGGTAGACAGAGTCCAGATTAGCCTTGGTAACACACATAAAACGAGACAGAAAACTTAATATTGCGTCCCAGTTAGGGACTTCATCAGAAGGGGAAAGAAACAGGGTGTCTAGTTTATTTCCTTTTTTAAAATTCAAGACTAATTCCAGATTTTTCAAGACTAGTTTTTTTCAACAAATAGTCTGTGTTGATACCAAAATGTATTAATTCTCCTCTTTGTTTAAAGTTCATTGTTGGTGATGGTGAGTCAATGTTGTTCAAAGGTTTATTGCGGACATTTTCCATCACGATGGGAAAAAACAATACACAACGTTTCGGGATCTGGAATCTGATCCCGTCCTCAGGTGAAAATACTTAACAATTACTTAACAACAATACTTAACAATAACATTACAACTAACAATACACAAACGCCCAGCCTTAGTTGGAATACACAACAGAGGGTAGCAGTAAAAAAATATGCACTGTATAGCAGTCAAGTCATGATACAACATGCAAGTAGTAACCAATCGCAAAACACTATAGTCTACAAAAGGTGTAGTGTGAACAGCTCACACAATGGAACACTAATCACACAGTTCGCAAAGAATCCACCAATGAGACTCCACAGTAATGAAACACCGTTGACTTTGTCGCAACAATGAGATAACGATTAATCTTAGTTCAGTTACTCAAAAAACAAATTTTAAGCTGTTCAAGAAGTTTGGTTGGGTTAGGTTAGGTTAGAACGGTGTCATCTAACTTAACCTGACCTAACCAACCAAACTTCTCGATCAGCTTAAAATTAGCAGTAGGAGTAGTTATTCTACTATTTTGTGTTTTCTCCAAACTTATATAGCGTGTGATCAAAAACCTATTCTAAATATTGTATTTTTCATTATTTATTACCTATAAAGGTTTCACTTAGTTATAGAAGTGTAATTGGAAAAATATAGTTAGTTGTGGGCACGTAACGGATTTTGACCAAAAGTTTGTTGTTTAATTATTCTCTCAACTCACCTCCAAGTACCTGACTGCGGCCCCCAGAGCTGACATTGCAGTGGTGAGCCTACTCTCAGGTAGAGAGTTGACTGTTTGCTGTTGCCCCTCGGCGAACCTCAGCAGCCTGTTCAGGTCTTGGTCTGTGTCATCGCGGCTGAACTCGCCTCGCTTTCGCGTCGTCACTAGTAGCCCGCTACGCTCTATAACCTGCAGCAAACAACCAATGTGTCTATATTTTGGTGAGAACCTAATTAAAATTATAGGTAAATTATTTGACAATTGTGTCAAATAATTTACCTATGATCTATTGACCTATGAGCTATGATCAATGATTTTGATTATAAGACGAAATTAAGTTGTCAGTCACAACCATTTGAATCATCCAGATATAAAATTGTTACTCCATTCATAAATAGTCTGGTAAATGTACGGGGTGCGGCAAAAAAACTGACCTATTTTCTTCGGCGCACTGTTCAGCAACAGGCCGTCTGAGGGTAGTGGGAGTAGGCTCGTTGGATAGCCTATACAATGCCATTTTTTTGTAGTCATAGAGCAGTGGTCGCCTGAGCTACGTGCAGTTGTTATGGAGTTGTTTTTAAAAAGTATTGAATTCATTCATTGCAACTCAGCAGCATCGGCAGTTCTTTCAATTAAGGTGACATGGAGAAGTTCGGTTGTGTATCACAATAACGCGGTGGGTTACTAACTTTAGAACGACGGCTTCTGCGTTGAAAAGGAAGCTGAAAGGCCGTCCAAAGTCAGATCGGATGCCAGACAACTAACATTCGATAGAGTTTGTGATGCTGTGGAAAACAGTCCTCGCAGGTCCGCCCGAAAACAAGTGGCTGCCCGAACTGCTCAGTTACACGAATTTTAAGGTTAATTTTCATCCCTACAGATTAATTAGAATATTAATCTGTTTAATTGTGTTATCCATACAGATAATCACGGCAGAACCTCTCCACGTCAACCTAATAGAATAAAAGCACGGAACTGCTACTGAGTTGCAATGACTGATTCATTACTTTTTAAAAGCGACTAGATAACAACCGCACATAGCTCATACAACCACTGCTCTATGACTACAAAAAATGGCATTGTATAGGCTATCCAACGAGCCTACTCCCACTACCCTCAGACGGACTGTCGCTGAACAGTGCGCCGAAGAAAATAGGTCGGTTTTTTTGCCGCACTCTGTATTTAGGCAGCCATTAGTAACTTTGAGATTGAGTTGAAACTTCTACATCCACCAGGTTGGAACTTATTGAGAGCAAAGTATCAACTTACGACAATACCATTTGACTTTCAGTTTTAAGGACTTCTGAACTATTGGGCTATGCTTCAGTGTATGTTAAAGCGATCCACAATTCCATAGCCTCCTCTAATTCAAGGTCGTTGCATTGGTTAGTGGCAATGTCACACCGGTTGGCCTATTGCCAAGGTAATAATAGTAAAAAAACATGTAAACATAAACACTGCACAGACACTATAGGCCTATATAAATTAGTGCTGTTTTGGTTTGCCAGGACAGCTGTTCAGCTACTTTTGTCTCGCCACGGCCATGTATTAGAGGATTCTATGACCATTCTCAACAAGTGTTAAATCCCTCAAATCTTACAGAAATATTTCAAAGCATAAGATTTTTTACTTCAAACACCAGCCCAAAAAACCACTCTGTAAAACACAATGACACCAGTTGTGAAATTACCTTCTTGATGGCTTCCACCTCGGCGGACGACTCTTGGGGTAGAAGACACTCGCGAGGGGAGTGTTGCACCACTAGGCCTTCCAACTCACTATAGTAGTCATTGTCAGCGAACTCGCACACTGAGAAAGTGTGGTCTGTAGTGTCCACGACAGCGACACCAACAACCTACACAGCCAAACTGTAGTATTTAATTTTAATCAATAATTTCACTAAAACAATTTGTTTAAGATTTGTAAAAAAAGTTTCTCTTTAATTTCATTAAAATAATTTCACACTTAGCTCAAAGTGCTACAAAAATTGTAGCGTCTTATCAGTCATTGGTCCAACCTCGTAAAGTCTTACTCCGTAGCTCACTGTCACCATGCAGTTTTGCTCAATTCCTAGACTCATCAAATATTCTCTTTAGGCCATTAGTGTAATTTGATTATTTACTGTATTTGTCTAATTTAAACTGTCCAAACCACTGAATTAACAATTGTTTATAATGCTTGGTAAATATTAAATTCTAAAACAAAAATAAGGTATAAAAAAAAGTAGTCTTGCAGCAATCAATTGTTTGATGGTTTTATACTCTGGTCAATAGAGAAACTAAAGTCATTGCTGCAAAAATATCAGCGTTTAAGCATAGACAAATATAAGAAATATAGATTGTCAAAGGAAGGTTCTACGATTTGCCGCTAGGAGTGCTGTGTAGTTACGTGTACTAACTACACATGACTATTAACTACACGGCACTCCTAGCGGTGGACGCCAGAACTGCAGCACTGCTGTCGGTCTATATTTATTCTATTTGTCTATGGTTTAGGCGTCTACAATAGTTCAACATCTTCACCACAGACCAAGACGACTCCCATCATTAAAGGACACCTCTATCCCCCAGTCATCTCAACTCTACCCAAAGCTATTGAACCACGCAAGGAGATTTAACTATGCAAAACCTTTTTATTCCACTAAATCTTCTTTTGGAGCCCAGCAAAAATGATTAAAAACTCATTTATCATTCAGCTATTGAAGTAATTTTCAGAACACAATTTTTGTAGGGACTTAAATAGCATAAAGGTTCAAACAATTTTCTCTGCTGAATGATTTGACATTTTTATTTGCTCTAGCCATCTGAATTTGTTGAAATCGTATAGGTATCAATTACCTTGGACTTTTGATCAACAGAAGGTCGCACAGATATGATGGCTGAGCCACTCAGTTGTTCTCCACCAGCAAACAGCAAGTCTTCGAACTGCGACAAATTGCCTGGAGAACCCTGTTACATCATACTATTTACGCACTCTGTAGTAAAATGTAGTGGTAAGTACAACCTAAACTAGAAACGTCTTTAAATAGACGTAGAATAGAAACGTCTCTGAACAAGAATCTAAATTAGTCAGACCATAAAGTTGACTGTACATTTAGATAGATAGATACTACTACAATCGAGACACCAGATCAGAGTATAGTTTAGACGAAGGTTAAGTGTTGATTGACTTATATGCGGACTTATACTTGAGCGCTGCGGCGGTTATGTTAGGTTGGGTTATCATAAATAGAAAGTATGACTCATCTGGTATTGTTTGATTCATAACAAAACGAGGAAAGTCCTACAAACATATTTATGATAACCCAACCAAGCAGAACCACCGCAGCGTGCTGCACAATAAGTGGCCTCCGTATAATACCAAAGTACCCAAAAGAAACTACTGTACCGCATTATTTGTTGTTGGTTATTTTGGTAAACTAAACAGTGCTGGGGGATTAATAATAATATTAAGGTAATTAAGGTTATACTGAACTACTTTTTTTCAGTTTGCAGGGTTGCCACCATAGTGAGATGACAAAATTCATGCAGAATTCATGGTTTTCATTGGTATAGTATGAAAAAATTCATAGTCAATACGCTCATACAAGTTGCGGCAAAAAACCAATCTATTTTATGTAGCGCACTATTCAGCAACATGTCGTTTGAGAGTGGTGGGGTTAGGCTCGTTAGAAAGCCTTCACGATGCCATTATCTGTGGTCATAGAGCAGTGGTCACTTGAGCATCGTGCGTTTGTGATCGAGTCAAATTTAAAAAGTAATGAGTCATTGCAACTCAGCGGCAGTTTGGTGATTTTTTGTTTTTTTACTAGGGCGACGTCGATTCCGTCATGTGGCACAATCATGTGGTGGACAATCAACTATAGAACAATGGTTTCTGCATTCAAAAAGAAGCTGACAAGCCACCCAAAGTCAGATCGGACGTCAGACAACTAACATTCGATAGAGTCCGTGCTGCTGTGGAAAACAGTCCTCGTATGCCCGCTTGAAAACGAACATCATCTTTAAACATGTCTGACTGCTCGGTTACACTAATTTTGAGTTAGATCTGGTTCACCCGGCCAAAAAGTCCTGTTTTACCCCCCCCCCCCCCCCATATGAATTTCATGAAATATCCTGTATTCTAGTTTATCTTATTACACAATGTACTTATTGGTTTTATCACAGACTATAGACACAATTAATGGTCTATTGCCTGTGGTTTTATCCTCAAAGCTAAAAACATCAGGCGTGAGAGCAAGAAATTCAGTTTTATTGTTTTATAATGTGCCCCGTTTCAATTTCGTGCATGGTCTAAAACTTCTGTTTTTGTGATTAAAGTCCCCATACCCCTGTACCCATACGCAGGGGTAGGCCACCTAATGATTTTTCAAACCATATACAGTCGAAGATCTCAATACATCGGAAGACTCAGCTGACATCAGCATCTAAGCTAAAATGAATTGGAATGAACTAAGCAATTGTTTCTGAACGTGGAAAATTTTAAATAATCGTCTCCAAATGGTATTCTCTCTTGGTGTTCGTTTTTCTGAACGGTTTTTAAACATGAAATTTTGGCAAATTTAATGGTACCGGTACTGGTTGAATATTTTTTCCTGATTTTGAAAATTCATGGTCTAATGGAGAAATTCATGCATAATCCATGCCTTTTTTCATGGTCACAAGAATTTATGCATAATTCAAGCTTTTCAAGGTTTTCATGGCTGGTGGCAAACCTGGTTTGTTAAATAACAAATTTAATAAATACTGTGATTCTAAAAAAAAAAAACATTTCACACTAAATACTTTATATTTGAAACATTTTTTTAACATTCTATTTTAGTTTCTCGAGATATTTAGTTATTCAATAAAGTACACTAATTATCAGTAAAAGTAAGCTAAATTTTCAGGATAACCTTGTACTCGACAGTCCATGCATTGTTGGATGCTTTGCCAGGCTTGGTGTAGACCTCAACTCTGTAATGCTTCACGAGTAGCAGCTCTCGAACAAACTTCTCAAACTGTGTCTTGTTAACAATGAGGGAGTCCAAAGTATTGCTACCTGAAATCAACAGGCTGTAGTATTTAATTTTAATCAATAATTTCACTAAAACAATTTGTTTTAGATTTGTTAAAAAAATTACTTTTTATTTTCTTCTTTTTTTTAAGTATTGAACCACTGCAGTGCAGTACATCAGTTACTAATCATGGATCTAAAGTTGGGACCACATAAGTTTGCAGTTGAGGGAGGAGCCTATTTAGCATATGGTTTTGAATGAACCAATGAGAACCTTGCGGTGTTGCCAAATCTAATAATACCAGCTGATTTGAAAATATTGCTTAGTATATTTTAATTAATGTTGTCAACGGGCGAAGTGGCAACGTCGCACTAGCCTTGTCTTGTGATTGGCTGGCACCAACTGCAAACTTATGTGGTCCCGACTGTAGTATTGGGCTAGTGTGTGTATTTAAACTTCAGATGTGAAAGACAAGTTGAATGAAAGCAATTTATATATCAGCTGACTATAGCAATTCCAACACTAGGCAAAAGGAACTTAAGGCACCAACTTAATTTTACTAGGTAGTTTTTTAAACTGATAAAACTTTGCTTAACTTTTTAGTTTTTACCACCAAACGTCTAGGCACAATGGAAGGGAATGTTGTCCAAATATCATGAGGTGTTAAGACAATAATAAAAGGAAAGGAAGAGGATGTTAATGAGTCAGACTGGACCTAAAAAGGTTTGCTTGCATCACATCAGGATCAAATCATAAAAAAACACAAGCAGTGACCAAGGACTCGGCTAAATGATATTTTTTGGTTTGAAGACACAAAAAGTACAGAGCAGCAAAGATTGGGAAAACCATGAGAAGTGTCAAAAGGTACAAAGTTGTAAAAAATCGTGTATAAACAGTACTTATAATCATACACTTTTTAGCCTAAGATAACTTCTAAATGATAGGATACATTTGATTTATGAACAACTAAAGATAAATAAAATAGCCAAAAGTAAACTCATTGTAGTGCATTAAAACTATGAGTAGGCTAAAGCATTGTGTAGTCAAGTAACTGTTTTATATTCCCAAAATTTTAGGTGATTAAATCAAATCAAATGAAAAAAAGAAACACCACACTCACCAGAACCAATTGTCTTGATGACAGCAGTGCTCCTAAAAATTTCCTTTGCAGCAAAACTAGCATCGGAACCATGTAAAGTGTAGTACTCGACACGATTGTAGAACCTCACTGTGGTGGCTGGTTTCTGTAACATTTTCAGCAAAGATAGCTTCAGAACCCCATACAAAATGTAGCAATAATTAATGAATTTAGAGGTGGAAGAATATTGGAAAAATATATGAAAAAATGTAAGAAAAATGTGAATAATGTATGAAAAATGTAAAAATGTAATGTTACAATGTTGTTCTAGATGTAATTAGTTTTAATAATGCATAGCCGAGTTAATAATTGAGCCGTCTTTAATATTTAGCAAATAATTTTGGTATTTTCATCTATAAAATGAGATTCGCACACATTAAGATTTTGATGTTTCATAATTTGTATTAAAAGTTTAATTTTTCCCAAATTGAAAAAAATTGCCTGTATTAATACTGAGGTAAGAAAGGGTTGACTTTTCAGGTCTTCCATATTTTGCATGGGCTTGGTGTTCTTTAAGTCTAGTTGGGTTTTTTGTTTTGTTTGGCTGATATATTTTATATTACAATCATTACAATTTATTTCATAAATTCCAGATATGTCCAATTTTAATGGTTTTTGTTAACCCTTTCGATGCTAGAAACTTTTGTCTAATCTTCTGAAAAATGCTAGAGAGTTTTTTTACTTATTTCTTCCGAAAAGTGCTAGGCTTGCCAAGGGACAAAGCCTACTGTGCGAGAAAAATAATCAGTCAAAATAAAATTATTCATCTTAAGAGCGCTGCTAAGGAATAATATATCGAGCCTCGATCGTATGAGGAATCGAAAGAAACCATCGCTGTTTTGAAACAACAACCGATATGCCCATTTAAACTCACACGATCGAAAGTCACGCCAGCATGATACATCGTCGCTTAGCACTGAAATGGTTAAGGATAGAATAATTTTGATTTCAGTAGCTTAATTGGTCTGAAAGCTAAGCTTTATGATGTTTATTCTTGACTTTAATATTATACTTAAAAAAGGTATTCCTTTAGTACCTTATATTGCATTACATTAATTTGCAAATATCTCCAATAGGCCTATAAGTTATTAAGATTAAGTTAAAATTTCTAATCTTAATGAAGTTGTCTTAGGTAACAAAAATTCAGCAAATTCACTGAAAGTTCGCTTTCTCCCAAATTTGCTGTGAGGGTATTTAAAATGGGATGAAAAGTTACTGACAGTTACTGAAAGTTAGCTGACATATCTCACGTTAACAATCATAAATGAACAATTCATCTACAAATAAATTGTTTTTAAAAGGAAAAATTTAAGCATATTACTAATACAAGTAGGCTATTACAATCAATATTAAAACTTCAGTAGGCCCATCCAATAGATGGTTACTGTAAGCTTAGTTAACCTGTACCAAACCTATTTCAATATAAATATTATAATAATTATGCTACACAATGTAAAAATTGTCAAGAGCAATAAATAAATAAATAAACCATAGCCCAGGGGTTAATAGATAAGATAGGTACATAAAATTAAAAGGTCACAAAACATAACACTGATATTTGATAATAATACATGACTTTTTCACAGATTAGATTTTAGATAGGCCTAAATGTTTTCTTTAATCTACATAATTCTCGGTAAATACTAGGTAAGCTACCTGAACCCCTATTCTTTTTCAAAACAATAATTAATTGTGGACAGATAATATTATTATCCGTCTACATATCTCCCAGCCAATTGGATTTCCTTTAACATCCTAAATCTACAAATAATAAAACCTGTTTAAGTTTACCTCAGGCAAATTCTTGAAGTACGAAACAAACACATTTTGCTGGGCTGGATCTGAAAAAGGTAGGTACATTTTATTACAAAAGTAAATGCAGCAGTGTATTTAAATATTTGCTATGCCCTCCAACTTATTGGAAGATTGTAGGAATTTATGGACCATTTCCCACAAAATAGGCTAGTACAGATTTAAATCAAAGTTTGATACATTAACTTATGATGAGCTTAGGCAATGATCAACTTTACCTTTCACATCTTAAATAATTTTGGCTGTCTAGCAGGGAGAAATGATTGATCAAATTTTCAAAGGAATAACATTTTTACTCAAAATAAGAGGTTGGCGGCCTCTTTTAACCTTGCATTTGACCGTCTGACCTGTACCGTGCATTGAACTGCACTGATAAATTTTTGTGGCAGTGACCAGGATCCGAACCCACGACATCGCTGTCTTGGGCCCGAAGTCCGCGACGCTACCAACTGAGCCACCGACACACATAATAGTTAAAATAATTAGGTTCGCCATTAGAAAACTTCAAAGAGTACAAGATTTCAAACAAGCAATGTTAAGAGTGAAACAATTTTATAGTCCAAAACCTTAGGCTACATAGTTTTAATCCACAGTTTGAAAAATTCTCTTTTAGGTCAATAATAGCAACATTAAATTTTATGAGCAAGTCTAAGTCTGCTATAACACAAGCTGAAATTATGCAGAGAGGTATTTGATAGTCTTGAGAAACATTTTGAGAAACAATTTGGTTCTATGATACATTTATTTCATTAACATAAAAAAGGTTTACCAACAGGGTACAGCACTATAATTTTTTTTCATTTATGACAACTGCTAAACTAAACAGCAAAAAAAAAAAAACTGTGATACAAAAGGAGAACTTTATGTTTATGTTTTTAATTTAATAAATAATTTGTAACATTGTACAAACGTTTGATAATTTACTTTTTTATAATGTTTAGGTGCAATGGTAGAATATTACGGCTATGGTAACTTAGGCCTGGATGTGTTATACTAAAGCATACCGTAAATTTAAAGAACCAAACTTTCTAACCGTGTCCTCCCCCATTGCAAACGCAGAGCACAGGTATAACTGCAATAAGCATTTTATACTTATACGCAAACCCCGTACAAAGGACGGTTACTTAAGGTACTTTGCTAGTTACACTATACTACTTAGCTGTTACCCTCGGGCTTTCACCCCGTTTTACTTCATAAACAATTATTGATTTGTTAGGTTAAGCTGAAATAAACAAAACAGAATAAGTCACAGTACCGGTAATACAAACAAATAAGTGCAGCTGAGGTATTAACATTAGGTAGGCTATATGGAAAGTTCCCTTTAGAAAGGAATTGCGACCTTAAAGGGCTTTATGGAAGGAATTTATGAAATAATGGATAGTTTTGCGCAAGGTTTCTCGTCATGACGAACATTTTAAGTATATGGTTTATGAGGGTGTGACTTGTGGTTTTCTCAAAAGTTCATGGGTCTGGGTACTTTGGGCTTTATAAGTTATATAGATAAGTATTAAAGCAGTTTGTGGAAATAATCACTGCTCATCAACACCAGGCCAATTGTTCGATGAATTCGTGTTGCTGAATTAAGTCATTAATTCATTAATTAACTATCAACTTGAACTCTAGCATTGCTGTAACTTGTTGAGGATATATAAGACATCGCATAAGTGGGATAGAGTTAGGTCAATCAACTAATACAATGTTTTACAAAGGTAAGTAGAGTAGGCCTATAGTATCAATTATATGTCATGTCTTACCCAGACCCAACAGTTGAGTTGGTTTAGAAGTCATGTTGAGGACCGTAGGCTAGACAATTAGGCTAATTGTAAAATCTGAAAGTTGAACTTTACGGACGGAATTTAAATTACTCGTCAATAAACCTTCTGTTTTCATCAGTTCAAATAAATTTTAACGTCAATCAACAACATAAAAAACCAGTGAATCAATATTGAAGCAGTGAATAGTGATAACAATATATTCCTACAAAAGTAGAATAGTACAATAAAGTGTTTGTTTAACCTCAAAACGCGAAACTTGTTTTGTTTAAAAAGTTGCAAGGCAGAAGAAGAAAAGTCAACAATATCCTCCTTCCCGCCTTGGTGAGTGAGTTTACTATATTGGTATATTAAAATAAGCTTTCAGTATTATTGCCATTGATTACAATACACTGAGATGAATGTTTCATAATCAATACCGTTTTAGAATTGGAACAAGCTATTTTTTTATTATTTATGGTCCTAAATGAAGAATAGAACTGCGTACATGCGTAACATTGAACTGCGTATACGGTTATTTTTACGCATGAAGACATATATATAAACGTATAAAAATGAAAAAATAAGTTAAACTGAAACTGTAATAATATGATCGGTTAAAAGTGTAAAGTAACGTGTGACAATTCTTATTTTTTTTATTTTGTTATTTTACCTTCCAACGGTCATGAACCAATTTACAATATGGTATACAAGATGATTTAATCTAACTTAAACATTACATACTACAAAAGTAATTTTTTGAAAATGACATGCAGTTATATCAAAATACCCCCGCCGCAGCAAACCTGCAGACTTAGCGAATTTCCATTTGCCTGATTGGATTTAAACTAAAATGTCTCCTTAAAAATATCACATTTATTCCCTATTTAAACAGAATTAGTTTAATGAGTACTTAGGTTTGCTGCAACAGGGAGGGTAAAAAAGTTTTTTTTTAATGTAAAATGTTAAAAGGTACTGTGGTTTAGTAAGAAATTCATGTATTTTCCAAATTTGATCAAAATATGTTCATAAACAAGCAAACTACAACAGTTGACTTATTCTCCATAAGAATAACATGGGCATTTTAAAATTACAATTTTTTTGAATTTTCTCCGTAACAATTAGGCGCATAATAACGCTTCAATATACTAAGTTATTTGTTTTTTTAAGCTCTACAAAATGGTATAAAAAGAAATTGTGAAATTTCGTGTTTTTAGGGTCAAAAATGGGAAAAACCTATTTTTACCCCATAAAACCCCCCATAAACATCCGTTGTCATAGTCCGATCATGCTGGTTCGCGAACTCATTTAAGTTTATCCCGCCTTACACCTTCAAACCAAATTTTATCAAAATCGGACAAAAATTACTCAAGTTATCGTGCGGATGGACACATATATATATATATATACTAGCTGACCCGGTGAACTTCGTATCGCCTAAGTTATAGGTTTCCCCTAAGACAGACCGATGGAAAGAAAGTACCGTTACGTTTAATTTTCAAGATGATCTCGTTCGCATCGCTCAATCACGTCCTGGTTGAAGTTCGTTCGCTACGCTCACTCACCTTTGGGTTGGAGCTCGTTCGCTACGCTCACTCACCTTTAGGTTGGAGCTCGTTCGCTGCGCTCACTTGCCTTCAGGTTAGCTCGTTCGCTACGCTCACTCACCTTTTGGTTGCAAATTAGCTGTTGTCATAAATGTAAAAGAAATAATAGTGCTGCACCCTGTTGGTAATCCTTGTAACTTTAATGCTATTGAACATCATAGAACAGAACCAACTTGTTTAATTGAAACAGCTGTTAAGATTCATTAATTCCATTTCTCATAAGGTTAACATGGGAAACTCCAGAGCCACTGGGGCGGAGCCCTTTTAAGAATTTCGAAACGGGAAATAGTTTACGTCCGATTCGCATACCTACAGAATTTACACACCAAATTTCATAACGATCGGTGAAGTCGTTCCGGAGGAGTTTGCAGACAAACACTGTGACACGAGAATTTTATATATTAGATATATATATATATTATTTTCTTGCATTTTTAGGGCTACTTATATAATAAAATCAAAACATATATAACAAAGTACCCTTTTAGTAATTATTTTATTTTTCATGACGACATGTTTCGGAACTAAGTCCATTGTCAAGTCATTTTTACCATAACCTCATTCTTTTTTTCAATGGTAAAAATATATATATACACTTTATTGTACTATTCTACTTTTGTAGGAATATATTGTTATCACTATTCACTGCTTCAATATTGATTCACTGGTTTTTTATGTTGTTGATTGACGTTAATAAAAAGATTGAGGTTATGGTAAAAATGACTTGACAATGGACTTAGTTCCGAAACATGTCGTCATGAAAAATAAAATAATTACTAAAAGGGTACTTTGTTATATATGTTTTGATTTTAATATATATATATATATATATATATCTATATATAGATATATAAAAATTTGAACGAATGGTGTTTTTGGCCTCTGGGGACATCAAAATGAAAAAGTAAATCAGTCCCGGGCTTAGGTCTTACCATGAGACCTACGGTAATAGCTACTTCCCTATAGGGAAATTCGCTAAAAGGGAAAACGGCCTTAAACTGTAGTACAGTATTTACAAAATAAATTAGGTCATTTACATCAGGTACAAGCATACTAAATAGAAGTACACAATCGAAACTTTAAATAACAACCAATGAATGAACATGAATAACAAACAAGAATGAAAATAGAGAAAATGAAAATATAGTGAAAATGTAAATAAACGACAAACAATAAATATGTGAGTTTCAACAATAACAATAAATATAAGAATTTCAACTAACAATACATTAATATGAGTTTCAACAACAACAAAGATAACAATATTTGTAACAAGAGAGAAAAGTACATTGGTCTGAAACAAAGATAATAAGAGTGATTTTGGGTGGTAATGATGAGCGGTGGAAGTCAGCCAGTACCCTCTTCCGGATTGTTTTTTGGCTGTCTGTGAAGATGTCGAAACTGGCACAGAAGACATTCCCATTTCGAAGCATCCTTGCTAGGGGTCCATTATATAGGTATCCATCCACGTGCATAGTGCCTCCTTCCGAATAGGTTATTGACTATAAATTTTGAGAGAGAGAGAGAGAGAGAGTTAAAAAGTGTTGTTCCCATGTATGTAGGGGTTTTACTTGTTTTGTGTAGTGTTTGTTGGTTTTAGTTTGGATTGGTCCCTGACCTAATGTTAATGTTGTATTGATGGCATTCTGCTTGTCTGGTTTGTGGTGGATCGATTTTAATTGCAATGATTGTGTCATGGGTGCATTGGAAAGTGAGAGTAAGGATTTTATATTGGATAGTATAGTGGCTTGTAATGTTCTTCATTTTGGACCCTAGTGATGATCCGGATAGATTTTTGCTGGAGCGTGAAGATATTTTGTGGGTGAGTTTCATTTGCTCCTCCCCAGGCTATAAGTCTGTAAAAATATCAGATGAGATGAGAAAAGTGCATGGTAGGTCGTTTTTTATTGATGTATTATTTGTCATTTCTCTGATTCTTCCGATTGCGAAATTTGCCCATGATAGTTTTGAGTGTAGGATTTCTAGGTGTTTTGCCAGTTTACAATTTCATCAAGGCTAACTCCAAGGAATGTTGTATGGTTTGCCCTGTAGATCAGATGTTGTTTTTAGTTTGTGGGCTAGTGACTTCTTCATTACCGGTTCCGGTAATCTTTTTTTAGTTTTGATCTGTATTTTGTTAGGTGGTCGTTTGATAAGTATACTATTTCCACTAGTTGTTAACTGTGCTCCAGATAGTTGTGGATTCAGCGGAGGGCTTTGTCATAATTTACCTAGTCATAATTGAGATTGCATTGACAAATTTGAAGGAGACTGCAAGAGCCGCTCAGCTCAGAGAAATTGTTCAGAACCAAGAAAAAAGAACTATTCTCACTGTTGTGTAGACTCTTTCAATTGTGTAAAATATCGCTGATGAATCAAATCTTATAATTTGTTCTACAAAGAGCGGGAAATTCAAATTGAAGATAGGCCATTCTTTTTAAACAGCACGGGTGAGTCTAGAAAGAGTCTACACAACAGTGAGAATAGTTCTTTTTTCTTGGTTCTGAACAATTTCTCTGAGCTGAGCGGCTCTTGCAGTCTCCTTCAAATTTGTCAATGCAATCTCAATTATGACTAGGTAAATTATGACAAAGCCCTCCGCTGAATCCACAACTACCTGGAGCACAGTTAACAACTAGTGGAAATAGTATACTTATCAAACAACCACCTAACAAAAATAATAATTATTATAATAATAATTATTATTATTCCCTAATGGTCAACATCCCATTATTTTATCATAGACTAAGTTTTATCTATGGTTTTATAATGGTAGACCCCCTGATGTATGGTTGACAATTTCAACGCTATGGGGAGTCGATCACCTGGGACCCCCTTTAAACATGCATACAATATAATTAACAACAGTTTTAGATGTATGAACTTCATACTGTACGCATACAATTACAATTGGTAAACTAGTCTTTACATGCTATGACATAAACTTGGTATCTCTATGTTATTTTTGATTCTTCGTAGTTCTCTTTTTCCTCAATAGGTAGCAGTAGTATGAACTCAAGTCAAGGTTTCCATTCCATCCAATCCAATCTCTTTTCAACTGTCTTTATTTTGTTCTCGTCTTAGTCTCTTCTGGTTTAGTTTGTCTGTTTATTTATGTCAATCAAAGTTGTGTTGCGCACATGAAGTCTTTTCAATGCTAGAGTTCAGTTTCATGATAGTTTTATTATTTTGAAATTTAAAATGGTATAGGCCTAGTTGGTTTATGATTTGGACCTAATTCGACTACCTTACAGAAAAATCTTCTTTTTTTATATAAAGCTACATAAAAGTCTCTAGAAAAAAAGAATACTATCACAAATTTATGGGACGGCAGTCGTATGGTTTTGGGGGCGTGGTTTGTTCTGATTGATGTAATGTAGGAGGGCTTTGTTTAAAAGAATAATACAGTAGCCTACTACAAGAGAATTGTAATTCACACCAGTTTGTATTATTGAAGATAATGAACTACGTTACAACTTAGTCACTCCCAGAGCAATACAATTCCAATTCATTGATAAAACACTCGTAATAACCTACTCTAAACAAACCAAAGACACTCAGAGGTAGGTGGCGCTTCCTATGATTGGCATGCTGCGAGAGAAAAGAGACGCGCAAACTCGAAATCTCATTGGCTAGGTTTTAAAGACTTCCTTCGTAATGGCACTTCCACTGAAGGTTTTATAGCGTTCAGACTGTGAGTGGCACCACCTCCCCTGAAAGTTCCCCCAACTAGTCATTCTCTGTTTGTAACAAACGTTTAACTAATTATACTACCCCTAAACAGTGAGTCGGGAATCACGTGTTTTGTTTTAGTTTGGGTTTGGTGTTATGTGCGTTCGCGATGAAATATTGTGCGGTGACATTGGTGGTTTGGTGAGGGACAGTGCTTCAATGTTTGTGTTGTTGTAAACGTCGTTAACTCAATCTCTGTTTAAGTTAGTTGACTAGTGTGTTCTTGGTTCATTTACTGAAATCTCGTTTTTAAGTTGGTGCTTGAAATCAGTTTTCATGTGCGGAATAAGTGATAATTTATAGGTTAGAATATTATGGACGAACAGAATCGGATGATGCATCCTGTTACTGGTCAAGTAGGTATGATGCCACAAAGTTACGGAATGCAACCTGTAGATCCAAACCATGGAGCACCTGCCACTCCAGATCAAGATACGAGAAAACAGGATATTGGTGAAATTCTCCAACAAATAATGAACATTACTGATCAATCTCTGGATGAAGCTCAAGCAAGGTAAACATTTATTTTAGTGAGGTTAGGTTTACAAGGGTTAAGTAAACAACTTGGCGATCTCACATACAGGGATGTTTATGTTCGCCAAAGAAATGGGATAATCGTTATGCTATGGACAGGTTCTTTCTGAAAAAAATTATAGGCCTATTTGGTAAACAAGAACGTTCAACAGTAAACTTGCACAAGACAAAGGATCAAAGGATTGCCTTACCTAAAACTGTCACATAAACTTCACCAAATTTCGTTAGCCAGTTTTTTTACATCTAGGCCTATAATTAATTTATATCTCTTTATGTGTAGGCCTATAGTGGTAACGGTAAACCCTCAACCAACTGCTAAGTAACTTAAGACTTACATGGTTAAATTTAATGTTTTAAACAATGTTCGTAATCCATGTTCACGACGTAAGCCTATTCCGTAATTTTTCTCCATTAAAATGAGCTAGAATAACTTAAGTATGTCTTTATTTTTTACTCCACAATAGGGCCTATTTTTGGTTTTTGTTTCTGACCATATTTCTAAGTATGTGTACCGATTGGACCATTGTAGGGTGTATGAAATAAGTTAAACATACTTGAGGGTGTCAATTGCCTAAGTTCATATTTGAGGTTCAATTTTTTAAATCAAATTTTAAGTTAGGTACGGTACCTTAATGTTTCACAACTCAAATTCAAGATTTTATAGGCTAGTAGGCTACATATTTTAATCATAATTAAAGCTAAAAGCAGGTTTAACTGTCTTAACTTAAATGTTATGCTCATTACTATTTCTTAATAGGGTTTGCAATTTTGTTAGTCTACATAGAATTTAAATCCATGTGTGTAGCCCCTGAGCTGTTGGACATAATGTAAGACTAAATTACTTACGCAGGCCTAATTCCCGTCACAGCTCAATAAAATATGTCTATTCAGGACATGTTTCGGTGTTAAAACACCATCGTCAGAAGATAAACACAGTACGATCACGAATAAATACATAAAACAATTATGTAAACATTTAAAAAACAGACCTGTTCTAACAAAGATGACCGACCGCACAGGTAGCAAGGGACAGAACAAGGGGCAGTGTCTGTCCCTTAAATGTGTCCTGTTTTAAATTTTTAATTGTTTTATGTATTAATTCGTGTTCGTACTGTGTTTATCTTCTGAAGATGTTAACTACCTACTGAACTCTACATTATGTAGCCTACCTGAAGCTGACGATGGTGTTTTAACACCGAAACATGTCCTGAATAGATATATTTTATTGAGCTGTGACGGGAATTAGGCCTACTTAAAAGTACTAGCTGTAACCCGCGGGCTTTGCCCCGTTTAACTTCTTAATTTTCAAGATTATCTCGTTCGCATGGCTCAATCACGTCCTGGTTGAAGTTTGTTCGCTACGCTCACTCACCTTTAGGTTGGAGCTCGTTCGCTACGCTCACTCACCTTTAGGTTGGAGCTCGTTCGCTGCGCTCACTTGCCTTCAGGTTAGCTCGTTCGCTACGCTAACTCGCCTCCAGGTTGAAGTTCGTTCGCTACGCTCACTCACCTTTTGGTTGCAAATTAGCTGTTGTCATAAATGTAAAAGAAATAATAGTGCTGCACCCTGTTGGTAATCCTTGTAACTTTAATGCTATTGAACATCATAGAACAGAACCAACTTGTTTAATTGAAACAGCTGTTAATATTCAATAATTCCATTTCTCATAAGGTTAACATGGGAAACTCCAGAGCCACTGGGGCGGAGCCCGAAAGAATTTTTGAAATAAGAATATGCCTATATGTTAATCGGAAATGTGAGCTATCATCATGCCAAATTTGAGCCCAATCCGACCAGTATTTTTCGCGTTCACTTGTCACAAACATCCAAACTTTCTCATTTATAATATTAGTAGGATTTAGTCTTACATTATTGTTACATAGGCCTATGGTACATGAGTAAGCAAAATAACTTAGGTACCTGTCGCATGATGATTGTGGTTGAAAAGCATTGTGTACAACTTAGTGTAGGCCTAAGTGATAAATAGGCTAATATAATGTTACCTTATTCCGTTCCAAATGTGTAGTCTAAGACGAGTTTCGTCAACACAGTGACATCATCAGGTTATCCGCTATCGCTTCGTCTTGAACATTAAAATAAAACAATACCACAATTGCACAATTCTCAAACACATTAAGAACCGATCGGTATTTTTGGTTGGGTTGGGTTATGTTAGGTCAGAATAGTGTAGCCACATTGTGGGTTGAGAGGGTAATATTAACTTTAAAATGGCATATAAATAATCAATCATTAAATGTGTCTTGGCCTATTAACTTTGATTTTACTGTGTAAATATTGATGTGCAGATCAACGTTCCTAATACAACATTAAAATAAGATTCAAACGCGTAGTTTATTCAGTTTTTGTGACAGCGGAAAGATTTTTGCAACATTGTTTTCAGGTAGAAATCTAGTTTCTAATGATATAAATTACTATGGTTCCCTTGGTCACCTTCTCCGACATAATTACCGGCTATTTGTATGGTTTCTGTATGCCAGTTAGCTTTGTCGTCCACTTATTAGAAATCGCTTAATGTTGGTACCCTATTCCAATTAAAGTAAAATGCCATCCTTAGCTTATCCTATTTCCCAGTTACAGTTGGGTTAGCAGCCTGTAAATAACAAGTTGTAGGTAAAATAACAGATTTTTAGAACTATTACCAATAATTAACTTGGTGACTTAGAAGTAATAAAAATTTTGTTTACCTTAACTTACATCTGTGCCATATACCTAAATTTAATGGGAACTAAAGTGCAGAATTCTCCAACATTATTTTTTAACTGGTTTTAAAATCCATATAGGCTATAAAGCCCAAAGTACCCGATGAACCTTTGAGAAAACTACAAATCACACCCCCATAAGTCATATAGGCCTACTTAAAATGTTCGTCATGACGAAAAACCTTGCGCAAAACTATCCATTATTTTACAAATTGTCCCTTAAGAGTCTTCCTTAGTGGAAGCCATGTTGGATTTCTTCCCCATAAGAACAATGTTAAACATTACCGGTACATCATTTGTGGACACGTAACGGCGTTATTTGTTAAGATATAGCTTTGAAATTTATAATTTGTATTTTTAACATAATAGACTCGTGACTGAGGTTTTTGAATTTCGAAAATCCATTTTCATTTCCTTTCAATAATTAGCTTAATTTTAAGCTAATTAATAATCAATTATTCATTATAACAATTAAAAATTGTGAAATAAAAAACGTCAATCTCTAGAGGACCGCAATTCCTTAAATTTAACTCCTTATCCATAATTATATGACAATTTGCTGATGAGATATTTGGACCCAAAGTTAACATTGTTCTTATGGGGAAGAAATCCAACATGGCTTCCACTAAGGAAGACTCTTAACCCTCCGAGTGTTATGTGTCGAAAAATCGACACATAACACACTTTGTGTAGTGTTTTGTGTCAATTTTTTTACTCACAAACACTGTTTACGGCGAAGGCTCTATGACTGACAAAATCGGATTGAACTGGATCGAGTTAGGTATCGTTTTATTTGGCAGATTCTAAGCTTTCTCCCGAGGTCTGTCTCTAAGCGCTTTTTTTTCTCGAGCCGATCATAATTGTAGCAGACAGCTGACGTGCGTATATTTGTAAACAGCTTGGTTAACCTCGCACCGGTGACTGATGTGTTTTATTACGTTTATCATTGTTTTAGTGTTAAAAATCCAAATTAGTGATATACTTGGTGCATTATAAGAAGATTTAACACGTTCGCTACTGAGCGTCGCATATATGCGACGCCGCGGTCATTGCCACAGACCGAGGTATACATTTGAATCTTACATACAGACCGGCTGTCACTTGGATAACAGTACACACAGACCACGGGCGAAAACCTGTAAAACAGTGATCATTTACATTGTAATACGCTACAATCGTGTTTGTATATATAAATTATTCTTGTTTTTTGTATTTTTTATAACCTTTAGTAATGTCGCATATTTGCGACGCCCGGTCTACAGCGAAGACAATAGTGAAAATTATCATAGTTTTCTTGAAATAGACTAAGCGTCGCATATATGCGACAGTTCATTTTTTTGTGTTTTAAGGTGAAAGTAAGTAAAAAAATAAACAGATTATTCAAGAACAGTTTATAACTGAACAAATATAAAAGCTACATAGGATAATGCAGCATACGTACTGCATACATACATACAGTGATGCAGAAAAGTAAAAGCCAGTTTTTCCAACTGTTATATGACGTCACCAATCATCATATCCACAGACCAAGCGACGCAGTTGTGCGTCAGACATCTCTGTAGACCACTGCAGGGAATTCAGTGCCTTCAAATAGACCACTACAAAGATATAAGCATTTTAATAACATTAGAACCCCGACGCAAATATGCGTCGGCAGTCTATTTTAATGTGTCTAGCCGTCGCATATATGCGACGGCAGTCTATGGGTGGAAACCGGCCGTCGCATATGTGCGTCGCTGGTCCATGTGAATGGAAAATTTCGTACTATTGCAGTAGCGAACGTGTTAAGTGATTTTGAAGGGCTGGTTGATGATCCTGAAGAAGTAGGTACGGTAGTGATATTGATGTAAATTATCAGCCATATTCCTAGTTATGGTTAGGCTATGCATTCTTAGCTAAACGCTATGTACTGAAATCTGTTTTATGCCCATAACTTATTTATTTGCAAATCTACTTCCTTATATTATTATATATTTGTAATCCTCATAAAATTTAGAACAAAGTGGCTATTTTCCAATATTTATAGGCCTATAATTTATACAATTTCATTGAGCGCAAACTTATTTTTTTTTTTAATTTTCCAAAATATTTTTTTTTACCTAAAAATTTTTTTTGAAACAAATGTTCCTTATGTTTTATGTATAATATTGAAGCCCATGAGTTTTCCAAACAAAATGGTATATAGAACAGTATAATTAACATTGTTTTCAAGCTTCTCAGATCCGTTTTAATAAAACCTTGCAAATGAGCAAAAAATAGGCAGACATTAAAGCCAAAACAAGGGACACTCGGAGGGTTAATACATTTTTTTAAAATTGACTATTATCTATTAACACTAGGCAAGTTCATCGGTGTCTATAGGGTGTATTTTTGAATTGCCACTCAGAGGTAAATTTTCTACCAGCGATTTTAGGTACCCTATGGCTCTAAAAGATCTCCTTTATTTTGGTTTCAACTAGCTCAATGTTAAGGTCGCATCTTTGCAGATTTCATTCCTGTTCCTAACATTTTATCCAAAAAGCTTGATTAAACTATTTTCATTATTGCCATTCAACTCAAGATTCTGGTACCGTAAAACAATCAGCCCCAGTTACGATGTTATCTCTTTCTATTCAGTACTCCGCTTACAGGAATTAACCTTCAGATTGCACTTCGGCTACTCGTAACTTAGGCCTATTGTGATGGTGTTGTAGGAATCACAATCCAAGGCACTACTTAAAGGCTACTTAAACTTGTTAAAACCAATCAAATGACAGTATGAAGGTATTAAATACGGTAGTGTAGATCTTTATGTGAAAGTAATAGTTTCAGATAGACTAGTAGCTGTTTGATTCTAGCCTTTAAAACAGCTCTTGTGTCATAATCTTTTTTGAGTGCATAGCAACGCTGGTGGCGCTGCTTACGAATTGACAGGCAAAGCTCTCTCAAAGTAATTAACGCTTTTTACCATGCGGTTGGCATTCTGGGTTATAGTAGTATGTTTTCTGTGGTACTACACCGAAAATTCGAGATAGCTAACGAGGTGTTGGATTCTGACAGTGGCAACGTCACGACCTTTATAACTTGACTTTTACACCCAAATCTTTATGAATTGAGCTCTAGCTATCTACGTACTGTAGAGTAACTGTGGAAGCAATATAAAAATTAATCATCCATACAAATGGTATACTGAATGGCCTTCTCTTGTAATATCAGTCCTAGGATTGTTTTTATCTCAACACTGTTTTAACCACGTTAAAATAAATTTATTAATTCCAAATTCCTTGGTGATTCACTTTTCTTTTCTTTACTTTAACCCATAGCCAACTGCTTTACTCACTTTCATCTTTTTGTGTCACTCCATTTAATTGACGACATGATGTCCGACACGCAAAAAATAATCTCAATAACTGGCAAAATAGGAGTGCTGCTAGTCATTGCTAAAAAAACAAAGTCTGATTTCTTGAGCCACATCGTGCGAACTTCGACTAATGAAGCCTAAACTTCGAGTTATTGAAGCTCGATAAATAAAAAAATTGAGTCACGAGAGGTTGAGTAACTGATCAAAAACCGTTTAAATTTGACTCATGTTGGGGTTAAATATTGGTACTTTCCTATTATATGGAGGCCACTTATTTTACAACGTGCTTTGGCGGTTAGGTTAGGTTGGGTTATCATAAATATATTTGTAGGACTTTTCTCGTTTCGTTATGAATCGAATGATACTAGATGAGTCATAACAAAATTATAATAACTCAACCTTATCTAACCTTATTTAGTGTGCTGTATTTGGGTGGCCTCCGTATTGTACCTAAATATTTACCTAAAACCTTTGACTTTTATAGGTACTTTTAAAAATTATGATTTACGGGGATTTCAAGGGGATAAAAAATAAATCAAGATATTAAGGTTTGAGTTTTGATGTCCTATTGTAGCCTACTGTAGTCTTATCCAAATATTGATTCAAGGCTTAAAATGTTTTTACTCCATAGCTTTATATTTCTCGCCTAGTCTAATACTTGTGATGCTTAATATAAATAGCGTTTCTCCTTTATTAGGCTACGGTATTTTAGAATTAATTAATTTTTTTTTTCAGGAAACACACGTTAAACTGTCATCGGATGAAACCTTCTTTATTCAGCGTGCTATGTGAAATCAAGGAGAAAACAGGTAAGAGCCTTATAAAATTTATTTGTGTTAAGATATATAATCACAAGGACTTAGTGATGATTTTAAGTCTCGAGTTAAATATGGAAGGTGAGGGAGGAACTTATGGAGGGTTGAAATGTAACTTTGAACCTTTAATACAATTCTTTTGTTTACTTTTTCTTTGTTATTTTGTTAAACCAACATAATTAACTGCATGGCAATCCTTAAGGCCAATGTTTTTTATTAGTATAGACCAAAAGTGAAATAACAATAACCTTTTATCATGTCACAACAAGGGGTTTTGTAGGAAATACCTACCTAAAGACAGGCCTGTGCTCACTATTATATAATTTAAGTGTAACTTGAGACTTAAAGCCACTAGTAGTTACCTGGCGCGCGTTGCTGCGCTGAAAACTATTATATTATATGGTAATTTGTTCTTTACGATAAATAATAAAAATGTATACCAAAAATTGAATATTTATTTAACTTGATTGCCAGTGGATAAACAATGTTTTTTGTTTTTCCATTAGGTGTATAAATATATAAGTTTTTAGGCGTAGTTACCACCATGTGAGCAAGCAACATACAGCTGTCCGTGTGAAAAGCATGCATTTTCTAAACTTAAACCGGCGATAGTCAGGGATTTCCCTTATGCCTTATAATGGTGATTGCGAAAGCAAGACGCAAAGGAAACTGTAGTCGCTTGAATTCAAGGCAATTTGGATAAAATCATCAGTATTCTTAGGAGTAAGACTATTTCTCCTTTGAACTTACCACTGATGATTCTTGCTTCGATCAAGTTTTGTGTCATTTTTTATTGTCAGTCTGGCTCCATTGCACAGCTTGGGTGGATTTTAGTTTTGCATTAGTATTACTGGAGTTCCTTCTTTTAATGATAGTAATGTGGTGGGTTAATGACAAATGGGAGGCATTTGAATACCTGAGATAGCACATACTATTATTATTCAGTAATAAATTATGTTAAATTGTTTGAGTATAGAACAAAAGATAAAAATATTAAGGCATTGCCATCCCTTTTATTGTTTTTAATACATTGATAAAGGTTCTTACGTTTTATGTTTACATATTTAATAGCGGAGAATTTAAACGTTGTTGAGTGCACAGGTGTGATGAGATTGGGGTTTAATATATTTGGGCTTATCCAAAAGTAAAATAGTTTTCTGTGTAGGCTATGCATAATTTGTAATATCATTTGTGGTCTATTTTTATATATGACCAATACAAATTTCTACAGTATGAAATATTTGTTTACAATATAAATGAAGAGGTCATAAATTGGGGTTATTGCTACAGTATGCAAATCGTATATTGAGACTCTTGTTTCTTTCAGAAAAGACTGCCTTGTAAAAATATTTTTTATTAATTTTTAGCGAATTTCCCATATAGGGAATAAGCTATTACCGTAGTACTCATGGTAAGACCTGGACGCGGGACCGATTTTTTTGTTTGTTTTGAGGTCCCTAGAGGCCAAAAACACCATCCGTTCAAATTCATATATATATATATATATATTTATATATTTATATATATATATATATATATATATGTGTGTCCGTCAGCACGATAACTCGAGCAAAAATGATCCGATTTTGATGAAATTTGGTACAAAAGTGTAAACGTACGTTTATTCGAACGAGTTCGCGATCCAACATGATCGGACCATGGGAACGGGGGTTTACGGGGGGTTTTATGGGGTAAAAATAGGTTTTTCCCATTTTTGACCCAAAAAACATAAAATTTAGCAATTTCTTTCCAAACCATTTTGTAAAGCTTAAAAAAACAAATAATTTAGTATATTGAAGCGTTATTATGCGCCTAATGGTTATGGAGAAAATTCCAAAAAATTGTAAATTTAAAATTCACATGTTATTCTTATGGAGAATAAGTAAACTGTTGTAGTTTGCTTGTTTGTGAACATTTTTGATCAAATTTGGAAAATGTTTTGATTTCTTACTAACTATTCACATTTACAAAAAAAAAAACAGTTTTACCCTCCCTGATGCAGCAAACCTAAGTACTTGTTAAACTAATTCTATTTAAATCAAATGTTATATTTTTAAGTAGACGTTTCAGTGTAAATCCAATCAGTCAAATGGAAATTCGCTTAGTCTGCAGGTTTGCTGCGGCGGGGGTATTTTAATTAACTATGCAAGCTGTGGTAAAAGAAAGTGTCCTTTTGGAATAGCTAACCAGCAAGTTCCCGGGTTGAAGTTTAACAAGTAATATAAAGTTTAGTCGCTAGTTGGCATGGAAATGCCTTAAAATGGTTCCACCTGCCGGCTAGTTACTATGTAAACATGGTCCTACAAAAAAGAACTCTGTTGCATTATTAAAGTGTTAATCGAGTTGAAATAAACTGTAAAATATTCACAAAGATTCAAACTATGTCCTGGATGAACTGAAACTTTGTAATTGTTTCTTTAAGTATTTAGAAAATCCGTAAATTAGTCTTTTTCACATGCGATTTTAGCTTCTAAATAATAGTTTAAAATTAATTTATCCACATCCATTGCAAGCTCTGATATGTTAAGAACACAAAAAGTACACAATCATTGGAAACAAATTAGTGTTAGAGTGTTGAGATCTTATCCCTTAGAGGCATGTTTAGAAACATTAACATGTTTAGCCGCCATCTTGAATTGACCTGGGAGAACCCTCTTAAAACACTGAGTGGTACCTGTTGAGAGTATGAAATATTGACAGTAATAAGCCTCCCTCTGACTAAGTCTTATGCTGTGATCTTGACTCTGGCAAACTTGTCGACTAAAGGTGTTTTGCCGATGTCTGAGTAAAGCCACTCAAAGCTGAATAAAGATTTTTATAGGGGTAAGAAAATCAAATAGGTTTACAAACTTACAAAACTACCATTTGCTGAAATTGTCATACCGTATTGAAAATATTTAAACCTTCCATTCAAATAACTCTGAGCATGAAACATATTTTGAAACATCTTCATACATATTGGCCAAAATAAGCTGATCTTCTTATAGATTTCATTTTAGGGTAAGAATGGTTAGTACAGTCCAGATAGAAGAACAGAATGGACATGGTAACAAAAAAACATGAAATTCAGCAAGGCAGTGTTTCGACCACTCAAAATTGCACGTTCAGGCAGCACCGCCCTGAAGTATGGCGTCTTCTGGTCATATTTTTATAGATGTCTTTAAATAATCAAAGATCTATCTTTGATACTAATAACTTTACTTAGTTTTTCTCAAAACATAAGAAAAAGGTTTGTGTATATTTTAAGCCACAGTGTTGAGAATTAATTATCAAGATACCAAGAATAAAACTGATCCTCTCTTTTATTCCCCTTAAACATAATGAGCATAATTACTAGGGGTGATTTTATAATTCCAAACGTTAATGTTTTATAACAAAGTCAAATATATCCAATTCTTTAATAAATATATTTTATGATCACTAATTTTATAAAGTCTCTTGTCCAATGCTCTCTCAGCTCTTAAATATATTGTGTCCCGTAGTTTCTCTCCTGACAGGGTGCAACCTACTCCTCTTTATTATGGATTTTATAAATATAAATTTACTTAAAATAGATAATAAAAATTCCAATTAAGTTACAATAAGGTATATTTAGGTTCTATAGCTTATATTACAACAATCTCATGGGGCTATGACAGTTAAATTACCATATTTTGGTCTAGGTTTTTATAGATGGGCTAGGTAACAATTTGGAGAGCAAATTATCTTAATCTAGGGGTTGGTTCATGCTGGGTATGAAATTCTGATAGGCTAATTAACTTAATTTATAGGTACTAATATAGGCTAAATAATATGAGATAATAATAGTGTCAAAAATTTAGGCTATAGGTTCTTAGTTTGAAACAATCACTTGAATTTAGTCTATTCACAATGTCGTGATGGTGGTTGGAAATTAATGGTGATTTTTAAATGTCTATTGAATTTGATACTACCAATTTTTGTTTAATCTTCTTTCTTGATTTCTCTTTATAGGCTAATCGATATTTCTATATGATCTGAATGTTAATTTTATAGACTTTTGAATGTTTAATCACTGGAGACTTGGCTCCCACAGCCATCTCTATCTACATATCTTCCACCACAAGCACATTTTCTTCCTTTAGCTTTTCTTCCAACAATGCTACTTCACACCTGGACACTGGACAGTACATAGGAAATATTTCCTACCTACACACTATTTAATTTTAGAATATTATTTTTGAATATAGTTTTTCTTCTTCACTAATTTATATTTAATTAAAAATAAATATTATTTTTTGAAAATACAGTAATTAATAAATATTGAAAGTAATTTAGTTACAATTCACATTTGAATACTTTCATGTTTTATCTCAAGGGAAAAGGGGTGAAATTAGTTAGATAAACCAACTAAGTTTTATAAGGTTTCAAACCGCCATATGCTAAAAAAATAAATCTGTACAGTTTATGTTTAACAATGAATAAAATAGTGTCTTAATATAGCCCCTATTAAATAAAGTACAAGAAAAATTTACTAGGAATGTAATTAAATCATATGCTTAATAAAGAAACATATATTGTACAAACGTGTCAATCAAAAACAAACACCTGCCGTTTACCAGTTGCAGTACAACAAAAATAGTAGTTTTCATCACTAGGAGCAAAAGTGGCTCTTTTTGGTACGCAATCACGCGCCGAGCTTGGATATACGATTAGGTACCACCTTTCCTCCTTGTGATGAACAACTATTTTCATCATACTGTGGAAATTACCTTCAAATTGTTACAAAATTGGGCCACATAATTTGAGCTTGTACAAAGTCATCATCAATGTTTACATTTCTGTTGTTTACAAACACAACTTTAAATATCGTTTGATAAGTAGAGTTTTCATAATGCACTGATAAAATTTTGAGGTTGGCGAACCAAAAATATTACCATATGTTTTTTCTGTCCCCTAATTGATGTTTCCCGAAAACTATGATTTTGCTGACGATTTTAAGGAACTAAAAACAGCTGATTTCCGGACAGTGCGAT